AAAATATCTGTGCTGAATATTTAAAAGATTATTTGTTTATATAGAATTTTAAATACTTTCAAAATGTACACATATAACTTCATGAACACACACTCACAATAAAAACATGTTTTTTCAGAGTTCAAAATGAGAAATTCAGTGGCATTTCAAATTCCAAATCTGATCTAATTATCTTCCAAATGGATATTTCTTTGCAAAGTACAATGTAATCAATAGGTCAGACTGGTCATTTCCGCCCATCTGGAAGTACGGCATCATCACATACTAGATGTGAAAGCTGAAAGCTGTAAACAGGCCGTACACTCTAATGGCTAATGTTCATTGCCGGATCTGCCATAATATTTTCTCATAATATTGAATTCAAAATCATCAGAAATCTAATTGTCAAGCGGGCTTAAGGGTGTAAACAAATCAGAGAAATGTGCATGTCTTATTTCCCAGAGTTCAGGTCAGTGTGGTTGAGCCAATAAGGGAAAGGCATGGTCTGTCCACAGCAAAAAAAAAAAAAAAAAAACTTGGTGTAAAACATGTTAAAGAGAAAGAAAGAAGTAAATGTGTTTTATCTCCCTGAGTTCAGATGGAAGTGATTGACAGGCAGACTAACCAATCAGAGAATTTCACGGTCTGTTCATATCAAAACAAGCATGCTGGTTTATATGTGTTAAATGAAAGAAAAAAAACAACACAAAGGACTGAGAAATGTCACGTATTTTTTTGCACAATCAATGAACAAAAGCGTAAACACTGTAAATCTGAGATGAGAACTTTGATTTTGTTCTAAATGATCTGAAATCAACGAAACTCTGCGTGTATGCTTTCCCATTCAGCATAGACTGTAAACATATCATCATATAGTTTCATTATGTGACCAGTTGATACTTTGCAGCAGATGGAACGTTGTCTGGGGGTGTGACGCAACTAAAGTAGGGTGACCACATTGGGGTTATCAAAAAGGAGGACACCTGGTTTGGAGGTGAAAAAAATTGGCGATATTTGTACTTTGTAACGGGCGATTTCTGTTGGTGTTTGAATTTAATATTACAAATGTGTGATATTATGTGTATCGGGGGTCTTGGGTAGCCAGGCTCAGTTTTATTTCTCTCCAGCGACTAGGTCAGGAATCAGAATACACTAGATGGTTTGCAAGAACCTTGGAAGTTGACCACACACCGGCCAATCAGCGAAGATCAGATTCAGTGTTGGCAACGATTCCGGAGATAGAGGATTTAAAGCCGAAACAAAGAGAATGTTTGGTGAATTTTATCAAGGGAAAGACGTTATTGTCCTTCTTCCTACAGGATATGAGAAAAGTTTAATATACTAGTTAAACCTGTTAGTGGTGCATTACATACATCACAACCGAACAGCAGAGATTGGTTAAATAAAAAAAGTACCCACCTACCATTGAGCGAACAAATCCTAATGCTGTGAGGTCAGACAGTTTCCACAAAGTGAACCCAACTGATGAATCCTCCTAGGGGAATTTTGGACAAACTGTGCAATTTTCTCTATTTCACTGCATTTTAGAAATCTATAAAGCCAGTTGAATAATATAATCTATATTTATTTTTTCATGGGTTGAGGATTTAGTGGCTATATGTCCCTTGTCTCCTGCTCTGACAGGGCCCAGCTCCTGTCACTTCTCACAGACACGAGGCTTCAGAGTGTGCTTCAGAGCAGCACAAGCATTAAAGGATGGCTGAACACAAGTTTTATCCTGGAGTATTCATCGTGAGATACTGCTGAGAGGGTCACACTATTCCCGTAAAGCGTGTGCGTGCTGCGGTTAAGTGCATCTGAGTTCTCAATGCTACAGACTTTTTCAGTTGGGATTTATGAAGGTATCTCTGCTAATATGAGGTCAATTTTCACCAAATAAAAAGTGGTGTAGAGTTTTAGACGTGAAGACCTGTGTCGTGATCATCCAACATCCCCACAGTAGCTAATGTGCCTTTGTAATACACTTTATAAATGTAGGTGCATTTTCTGATCAAAGGAGCAGTCTGTCCCCTCGCAGTGAACGAACACAGGAGCAAGGAGGGGAAAGGCAGAGTTTAGATACACAGTGCTGGAAAAGTGCTGGTGACTGTGTCCATGGAAGTATAAAAAGAACTTATTACAGACCCATGATCGCGTCTGATCAGATGAAAAAAAGATAATCGTCAAAACTAAGATAAGTGTCCCACTCAAAGCTGTCAAATGATAGGCCAAAATTCTGGATATTTTTAGCCAGGCTGGCACCACCTAGTGCCTCCGCTCAATTTCATTTCTCTCCAGCGACTAGGTCAGGAATGAGAATACGCTAGACGGTTCGCAAAAACCCCGGAAGTGTGAGTTCAGGCACCAGTCAATCAGTGAAGATCCAGACATTCAGTGTTGTCAACGATTTCTGAGATTGAGGATTTAAAGCCGGAATAAAGAGAATGTTAAATTGGTTAATTTTATCAAGGGGAAAGACGTTATTGTCCTTCTTCCTATGGGATTTGGGAAAACTTAATATACCAGTTAGCCCCGTTAGCAGTGCATTACATATGTCAAAAAGAGTACCCGCCTACTGTCGAGCGAATGAAATCTAAGGCTGCAAGGTCAGACGGTTTGTAAAAAGTGAAATTAAGTTAAAAAAAAAGTAAAACCGGATGATGAATCAGGCCAGGATATTTTGGGCTCATTTAGAAATTCCTCCTGGACGGTTTTTTGGGTCCCCAAAGGAGGACATGTCTGGGAAAAAGAGGACATGTGGTTGCCCTGTCAGGAGCTCTATCGTGACTTTCCAGATGATCTTGGTTATGGCTGAACATTTCACCATAGAGCTACATGTAGAACACCCTCCACGCAATGTTACTGCAAAGTATCAATAGGTTGCATTCACTTTACATCACAACATTCTAGAATCCCTTTAGTTTAACATTGAGCTGGAGGACAGGTTAGATTTCTATGTTGGAATTTGCTGTTTCAGAGTCTGATTGCAGAGTTGTCCTGGTTTATGGTTAATTTCTCTTTGTTTACTGGGCCTATCCACATGAAGCAAAATATTTCAGGTTCAACGCCTTCTGTGTCAGTAGAAATAAACAAAAGCTAAATTTCTCACAATATTCTACCACATTAAAATGGCAAGCTTGTGGAGCCAATCTTTATCAAACAGTGATAAGGCTCAACTTTTTTGGACTTAATGTTTGGATATTTCTTCCAAAAACAGCAAATTTCCCACACAGATATCTACACCTCTGCCCTCCATCTGAAGTTATGACATCAAATTCTAACGTGATGATGATGTCTCTTCCGGGTCCAAACAGAAACTTCACAACTGAGTTCCAGTTTTGTTTTTGTTCCTTATTCATCAAACAAGACACAGTTAAGTATGAACCACAAACTGTCACATATATGCAAAGAATGAAGTCATAATCTATCATAACATACGATGAAACTCTTTTCTCCGTGGAGATGTTATTGCTTTATCTGGAATGTTTCACAGTATGGCATTAAATTTTCTATCTTCATGGAGACCAAACCAGACCAAGTTACAGGTCAGATCTGTGGAGTGGCGACACCGTTCACAGTCAGAATGCCTGATTTTCAAAGTATTTTAAAGCTATAATTTAGCAAAAGTAAGGTAGAGCTCTTTAATGTCATACTGTGGAACATTTCCAAAAATTACAGAGTGTATCTTTTAAACTACAGCAATCTCTTTTTGACGTTAAATGTGCCGTTGCTGGTTCCATGCTGCTATTCTGACATGCCACTATTTAGACATTAACGTTTAATTGCCACAGTAGCGGCACAAACATTATTTTTCAAGTGTCCCACTACTTCAACATTTTTTTTCATTGCTGGAGTAGTGGCACTACTACAAACACTCTACTTTTCTGACATGAATAATGTTAATGTGATAGCCTATTATACTTTGCGCTCCCATATATCATAGATGCTTGGGCTGGTGCAAAGTATTTGATCAGAGAACAGAGTCCTGCACTGGGTCAGGTATCCGCAAATAGTTGCTGAAATGAGCGGGTTTTAACGTTCTGGAATTTTACGGGCAGGTATGCAGGCGGGTGGTGATTATACATGGGCGGGTCAGGTGAATCAAATGAACAAAGGATGGGAGAAAAATACTTGACAAGCGTCCATGGCGTCCGGTGCCCTGGAAGCAACGTGCCATTTCCTGTCTTTTCCTGTCTTTTTTATTACATAAACCATCAGCGGAGGTGATTGGATCAGCGGCTGCGCTCCAGGTTTGGTCTTGGTTTAGTCCTGGGTTAGACCTGGTTAAGTCCTGGTGTAATCCTGGTCCAGTCCTGGTGTAGTCCTGGTGTAGTCCTGGCTCAGTCCTGGTGTAGTCCTGGTGTAGTCCTGGTCCAGTCCTGGTTCAGTCCTGGTGTAGTCCTGGCTCAGGGCTCAGTCCTGGTGTAGTCCTGGTTCTGTCCTGTTGTAGCCCTGGTCCAGTCCTGGTCCAGTCCTGGTGTAGTCCTGGCTCAGTCCTGGTGTAGTCCTGGTTCTGTCCTGTTGTAGCCCTGGTCCAGTCCTGGTCCAGTCCTGGTCCAGTCCTGGTGTAGTCCTCAGCTCTGCGGTTAGCGGCGTGTATATATTTATAATCCGCTAATGGCACGGCGTAGGGTCAGTCCTGGTTCAGTCCTGGTGCTGACCCGGTTTGTTTCAGGCACGGGCGGGTGAAATGTTAACGGTTCCGGGTTAACGGGCGGGTGTGATGCTGTACTGCGGGTTTGTGGGGTGTGGGTCTCCAAAAATGGACCTGTGCAGGACTCTATCAGAGAATACTTGGGCCACAGAGGAGATCAGACAGTGGGGAAACGTCTTCACTGATTGCCGAGGGAAACAGTCATGCATTTTTTAAAAAGAGCATAGGCCAGTTTTCGGGAAAATATCTAATCTAAAACAAAGGCTGCATGGGCCCTTTGTGCGTCATTCATTTTGTCATGTAGGTGATTTGTGGAAAACACCGTATATGACATGTTGGAATAACGATACTAAAAAGTGTCGGAAAACCAGCACGTCTAAATAGAGACATGTTATAATGAAGGGATGTCGGAATAAGCGGTGGACCCCATCGTCACTAAAAAAGATAAAACTGTAAACACGATCTTTGTTGTCAATCAGCTGATGGACCCGGAAGTGACATCACAACTCTAGAGCCTGCGTAAATGTCATCACGTAGTCCCCATAGAAACCGCTCCGTTGTCTTCTGGTCTTGTCCTCTTGAACAGTTTCACCAGGTCCTCTCTGAACTTCTGAGACATAAGCACGTATAAAATGGGGTTGACTACCGTGGAGGAGGTAGCCATGAGTCTCGCGAACACGCTGAACCCTCCGTACCGCGGTGACGTCCCGGTAGCTCCCGACGTTTCTTCTGCTACGAGTGCAAGCGTCAGCCCGTAAGAAGGCAACCAGCAGACCGTGAACGCCAGCACCAGCATGGCCGACGTTTGGGTTACTTTACTTTGATAGCGCTCAACTTGAGGAGCCCTTGTTTGATGTCTGGTCACCCATAGGAACACGTAGATACCGCTATACGCTACTGCAATTGTAAACAACGGTAGTAAAAACGCTACGACAAAATGAACTAGTCCGTAGATCATTTGTCCTTTATGGGATAAGAAGGAAAAGCAAATTAACCCATCCGGAGTGCTTTTGGGAGTGCCTACGTATCGAAAAATTAACTGCGGCGCCGCTAATCCACAAGCAGGAATCCAAAGAAGACATGCAACTAAAGAGACGCGTTTTGGAGAAAGTAGGAAGTATGCTTTCGCCGGCTTGACAACAGTTAGATAGCGAGAAACGGCCAAAGCGGCGAGCGTAAATACAGACGCAGAGGTGCAGGCCGACCCGAGAAAACCGACCACTCTGCACATAACGTCTCCGAAAGGCCAGTGCTGAAGGGCTATGGCGGTGGTGTGGAACGGGAGCACGGAGAGAAGCAGGAGATCCGCGGCGCTGAGGGCCAACAGCAAGATGTCCGTCCCGGTGCCGGTGACTGAATTCTGGGGGGAGGATCCAGGCGGGGGGCCCCTTCGTCTTCCGCACAGAATCACCATCACCATGCTGTGTCCGCAAATGCCCAGAGTCAGTATCAGGACGTCCAAAATGGGCACCAGGACTCGCTCCACCTGCCCCAGACCAGAGGCGCTGCTGTTCCCATCCGGAGAGGTGGAGTTCCACTGGTGCATTTTACCGACAGAGGAGTGAGAGGAGAGGGGAGGTCATGCTGCTGCTGTGGAGAGAACGACAGAGCAGTTAGGGTCTGGTGTGGTGAGTGTTTGAGAACAAATAAGAAATATATCTAAGAGACAAAGAGGGAGAGGCGCTTTAAGATTATGCTCTACTCTTAAGATTCTTGCTACAACTGTTGAAGGTTTTGTAATGCGTTTGTTAGACTTTATTAGACCTTATTTGAACACTAAAGCCTTGGTCTAATTACAATGTATAACATATTCTTTTATGTATAAAAACACCAGCAGAGGTTGTAAGAATTCCAGCTGGTGGGCCATTCAGTACTGAAGTTACAGCTAAAGTGGCCTAAAATACTCAGATGTTATAATACATTGAAACAGTGAAACCTCCCTGTTCATTATACAACTTGACCCTTAAGGTCCTTGACAAAAAGCCCAGACACTGACACCACTGTGAAATTTAAGAGAAACATAACCTATTTAACTTGGAAGATGTTACCACTTTTAATTATCTTACATTATTTTTTAAGTGTCTTAACTCCTATACTAGCCTAGTGCCTCCACTCTATTTCATTTCTCTCCAGTGACTAGGTCGGGAATCAAAATACACTAGACAGTTTGCAAAAACCCCAGAAGTGCGAGTTCGGGCTCCAGCCAATCAGTGAAAAGCCATATATTCTGAGTTGGCAACGATTCCTGAGATCAAGGATTTACAGCTGGAACAAAGTAAAGAGAAGCTCGAAGCTGTCAATTGATAGGCCAAAATTCTGGATATTTTTAGCCAGGCTGGCCCCACCTAGTGCGTCCGCTCAATTTCATTTCTCTCCAGCGACTAGGTCAGGAATGAGAATACACTAGATGGTTCGCAAAAACCCCGGAAGTGTGAGTTCAGGCACCAGTCAATCAGTGAAGAGCCAGACATTCAGTGTTGTCAACGATTTCTGAGATCAAGGATTTAAAGCCGGAATAAAGAGAATGTTTGGTGAATTTTATCAAGGGGAAAGACGTTATTGTCCTTCTTCCTACGGGATTTTGGAAAAGCTTAATATACCAGTTAGCCCCGTTAGCGGCGCATTACATACGTCACGACCAAATAGCAGCAATTGGTAAAAAGTACCCGCCTACCGTCAAGTGAACGATTTCTAACACTGCTTGGTCAGACGGTTTCTACGAAGTGAAACCGTCTGATGAATCAGGCTACTCTGGTACATGACTGAATTCAGAATTTACCAGGACCATAAAATGTACATATCAAATAAATAAGGCCGAGACTAACACCCAAAGAAGATGTTTATCAGTTAGTGGAGTAGATCTGTGGAATAGTCTGGATGACAGGTTAAAAGGATCGACATCAATAAAGGCATTAAAAAAAACAAAAAACTTTATTATTATTTTTTTCTCTGTGTTGTCCCAGTTGTTTCTTTTCGTTTGCTGACAGTCTTATTATTGACATCATCATTTGAAAACCAGGTCAGACATTCAGAAGTGATTTCTCTTTCGCCTAAACCCCTTTGGTCAGAGTTTGAGGTGAAATGTTTGTAACAGTTTATAAAGAACATGATTAAGTACATGAAGAAGATAATAAACTACTACTACTACTACTACACAGAGCTACTACAAAAGGTACTACTCATGGTAATTGTGTTGTTGCAAAGTACTGGACAACTCATGGTCACTCCTCATTCTCTGCAACCAGCTGATTTAAAATTGTAAACAAATAGCAACAAATTTAATAGTAAATTAAAATTATGATATGTTTTCAACCAAAAACACTCTAACTGAAAATGTAATAATGCTATATATTTCTTATCTTTGGGCAACTAATGTGTCTTGTCTGTTTTTATGAATGTATTTTATATTTTTTTCTACAGACAGGTGTTGAAAACTAACACTTGCACTAAAACACTCAGAGTAATGCATCTGGTTTGTCTAATGTGATTGTGATGTTTTACATAAAACTATAATGAAGACGTTTTTAGTGGTGAAATGATTTAAAGGTGCTCTAGGGAATTTTTCAGGTAGAGCGTCTGTCACCTGCTTGTCAACTTCGAATTTTTATTAATCTATCTGACTTTATTTTATTGCTCAAACAATTCCTTGAAAAACATGCATTCTTTCTGGGTGGGGCCGCTTCTCCACAGATCTGACCTTTAGTACTGTCTTTATCTTATAAATAAACAGCTTTTCAAGTTTTCATTTATATAATTTGTCCCTATTTTGTGTGTTTATACAATGAAATGCTGATATTACAAAAACAAATCTTAATTGTGCATGTGTCATATTCATAGCTCTTATCTGTGTACTTTTGATACATGATCCCATTTGAATATTGTTTTAATGGAATTACATGTATTTAAATGTCTTTAAATGTCCCACTGCTGCTTTTGCTACTGTAAACAGATAAAACAATAGCATTGTGTGTGTTCACTGTTGTAAAAGTGCAGATAGCACAAGCCTCAGGGATGAATCAAAGGTTAATCAGTCAGTACCCGGAAATACCTGAGCATTCACAGGCATTTAAAGCAATTGTCACACAGGGTTATCTGTTGGAGGGTTTGGTCCTGGTTTGGTTCTGATTTAGTCCTTGTATTGTCCTTGTTTAGTCCTGGTTTGGTTCTGATTTAGTCCTTGTTTAGTCCTGGTTTAGTCCTTGTTTAATCCTTATTTAGTTCTTGTTTAGTCCTGGTTTGGTTCTGATTTAGTCCTTGTTTAGTCCTAGTTTATTCCTTGTTTGGTCCTGGTTTGGTCCTTGTTTGGTCCTGGTTTGGTTCTGATTTAGTCCTTGCATTGTCCTTGTTTAGTCCTGGTTTGGTTCTGATTTAGTCCTTGTTTAGTCCTGGTTTAGTTCTTGTTTAGTCCTGGTTTAGTTTAGTCCTTGTTTAGTCCTGTTTAGTTGTTCCTGGTTGTTTTTTGTTTAGTCCTGGTTTGGTTTGTTTAGTCCTTGTTTAGTTTAGTCCTTGTTTAGTCCTGGTTTAGTTTAGTCTTGTTTAGTCCTTGTCCTTGTTTAGATTTAATCCTTGTTTAGTCCTGGTTTGGTCCTTGTTTAGTCCTTATTTGGTTCTGATTTAATCCTTGTTTTAGTTTTTGTTTAGTCCTTGTTTAATCCTGGATTGGTACTGATTTAATCCTTGTTTAGCCCTTGTTTAGTCCTGGATTGGTCTTAATTTAGTCCTTGTCTAGTCCTGGTTTAGTCCTGGTTTAGTCCTGGATTGGTTCAGATTTTGTCCTTGTTTGTGTATTTCGTCCTTGTTTTTAAGGGTTTGTCTGTGCCTGTGTGAATGCAGTTTAAAACTACTTCATAATATATAGTATCCGCCATAAAATTAGTATTATTCAAGTAGAAATAAGTGAAGTGTTCGTTGTAAAGCTTTAGGTGAAAACAAATGTTGCATTAGTCCTGACCTACTTGATGTAAATATGAAGCAGATTTAACATTTTAGTAATGCCCAAACAAACTAAACGCAACACTTTTCAAATTAACATAAAAATATATTTCTAAATCACTACAATACGCTTCTGAAAACCAATATTACGACAACTGAGGATTAAGTGTGCGGCTGTGCAGTTCCATTTGAATTGAGACTGGATTTCGGTGATTTCTAATGGTCAGTTATCAACGAGGGTCTTATTAAATGAGAGTCCGCAGCATATCCAGAGTCAGAAAGAGCGTGTGATTTGGAGTTCTGATTTAGGAAGGACTGTTGTTGCGTTAAAATGCAATCCTTCAAAGTCAGGAAATGTACTTGTGATAGTTTTAATAAGAGACACACTAAATCAAACAGAGAACCGTGACTGATCAATATGACGAGTGAATGACAGCCCTGATTAAATACAATAAAACTTCATCATAAAAGTGCAATTATTAGTTGGTGCAGAACCGTCTAGAGGTGGCACGTCTCCTGCATGATTCTATGGAAATAAAAAATTTAAACCGTGCTTTGAAACATCATTTCCACAGAAACAAGCAAGAGGAGGGCTAGGTTAGGTCCGTGGAGATGCAAGCCCGCTTTTTCAGTGCAGTAAACACAACCAAATTGCAAAAACAAAAAAAACAAAAAAAATATGCTTCAGTTTAAATCAATGTTTTGGCCAAAATTTGACTTATTATGGCTTTAAATATAATATATGTTGCAATTAAAGTTCTACAATTTAATGTAAATGTTGCCGGTCTATTACAAAAATCTGACTTAACACTTTTGACACCGTTTTAACTTTAACACACTTACACTTTTCATTCACTGCAATCACTGGTACTTCCCCGGTAACATAATGTTCACTGATTTCACTGTAAAAAACTCCGGACTCCAGCTAAGTAACGACAATTGTACTATTACTTTTTACCTCAAAGCAGCCGGAGACTCCTCACTGTTCCTCAATCAAATCCATTCATGAATCCACGCGCGGGTCAGCCTCCAAATAAGCGAAAGAAGAGAGGAAATAGGGAGAAATTGTGAGGTGCAACATAATAGCTTTAAAGACATAAACGGAATGAGAGACAGAGAAGAAGAGGGAGAGAAAGAGAGAGAGAGAGTACGCTGAACTCTGGACTCATGACTGAAGCTGCTACGCGATTGGCTGACTCGTGCTCAGTGGGCGGGGCTTTAAGAGACAAAACAGACTTTTTCCCATGTGCACTGTTATACTCAAGTGGGTGAAGTGCTTTGGCTCTTCAGTAAAACAAAGGTCTTAAATTACTCAAAATTGATGCTTGTGAGTTTTAAGTCATGTTATAAAGTTGTTACCACCTCAAAAACAGACCTGGAGTTGTGTTTTGTTTCATTCACACATCTGAGTAATCCTGTTTTATTAGTCTGTCTGCATGTCCAAAGCTCAAAATGCTCGGCTCCACCTTGTGAACAGCTCCTTTTACCTTTAGTTCAGCAGAGATCGGCAAGTCCAGAGCTGAAATTATTCCAGTAATTCCAGTGAAGGTGTATGGAGTTTAAAAACACAGTGGAGTGCTTCCTGTAATTCCATATGACAACACAAGGTGGAGCAGAGTATTGACAAGAACAAGGCTACGTTCAGACTGCAGGGCTTAACGCTCAATTCAGATTTTTTTGTGAAATCCGATGTTTTTGCGAGGTCGTTCACATTTCCAATTAAATTCGACTTGTATGTGATCTCCAGTGTGAACGTTAAACTGCCTGAAAGTGTCCCACATGTGCACTGGAGGACATGATGACGTCAACTACAGCGAGCGTGTTCTGTGTTTACGGAAGTTGTCCAAACATGGACGCGAGCATTGAGCACCTGGAGATTTTAAAGTTCCTCTCGTACCGGAGCTAGAACATGAACAACTTACTTGTTTTAAGGAGGAGATTGAGAAGGACGAGGTTTTTGGTCGTGGTGTTTTGTGGGACAGCGGCAGCGATGTCTGTTGAAAGGAACATGTGGATGTGGAGACGTAGCCAAGAGTGATGAGTGGTGATGTGCTTCACTTCAGTGACACGGAGTTCATTAACAATTTTGGGCTACTTCAGTATAGCTATAGTGACGTTTGTGGCTTGTTGATAACGTGTAGGTCGAATGAAAGCACTTTGGCCGTTCAGACTGAAGTCACATGTCAAAAGATCAGATATGTATCGGTTTCAGGACCACATATCCAAGTGGTCTGGGTCACATTTGAAAAAATCGGATCTGTGTCGTTCAGTCTGTCATTAAAAGATCAGATACAGGTCACATAGGGGCCAAAAAATCGGATTTGGGTCACTTCAGGCTGCAGTCTGAACGCAGCCATAGTGTGCAAAACATGTATGAAACAAAACACAATGTTGGGTCTGTTTGTGATGAGGAAACAACATCATAACATAGTTCAGAAAAGTACAGTAATATGGGCACTTTAATGTACAGGGTGTCCCAAAAATTTGACATCATTTTAAAAGCAATTATCTTGAAAAATACTAAGTCTAGTCTAGTTTAGGTCAGGGGTGGGCAAACTACAACCTGGGGGCCCTCCTATCTTTTTAATCCGTCCCGCCAAACTTGAATAATAATAAAAATCGTCTTCAGTCATTTCAATAAATATTAAATATCGTGGGATTTGAAAGACAGATATTTTATTGTAATGCTTTGTAATGATTTAACAATAACATGGGATATGTTTTCTACATATTATTCTCTATATTATATTATCCCATGTTATTTTTTTTTATTTTATGCAGTGGATTACCAAAAAACTCCACCTATCTGCTCCTGGTCCGGCTCTTCTCTCAAATTTTAGAACCCTTTGTGCCCACCCCTGGTTTAGGTGTTGAGCACTGTAAAGGTTATTATGGGACTGAAAAGCAGTTATTTGGAAAGGTTTGGCTCAATGATGATGTTGATTAGGAGTGCGCAAAAATATCAATAAAACATATAGTTTAATGTGATGATACAGTATCGATATCATGCACTGCTGTATCGATATATCGCCAAGAGTATTTTTTGATATATTTTTACTAATTATTTGTTACAGAGCTACAGTTTTGTTGCTTGTTCAGAGGAAGATAACTCGTTTATGCAACACATTTGACATTTTCATTGTTTTGATGATTAAAATGGGCATTTTTCAGATGAACTCTGCATAAGAAGTGGTTTAACAAAGACTTTTAGTATCACAGCCATGACTTAGCTTTTGTTTTTTACTGAACTGTATCGAATCGAATTGAAATATATCGTATTGAACCAAAACTGCACTGTATTGACATATGTATCACAATGTAGCCTGTGTATCGAGGTATGTATCGTATCAGCAGCTTCTTAATGATAGCAGCCCTAATGTTGATGTTGATCTGTCAGATCCTTTAGTCCTGCATAAACAGATCATTCCTCCTTAAATTTTTGGTACCAAGTCCAAATTTGTTTGTCAGTTTTTGAAGTTTTCCAAATGTTGCATTGAAGGGTTAGTGTGTGCGAGCTGATTCCAAAACACAAAGTGACTTCTCTTTGGGAGTGAACGGCTCAACCTGAAAACAGAACAAAACTAAAACATTAAATATAAAGCCTTGATCTGTTTCTATACATTCTGTAAAAATTTGAGGTTATTGCCTAAATTATTGGCCTGCGAAATTATGTCACAGTTTTTGGGACACCATGTATTTTGAGCATATGTAGTAGTATTAGTGGTTGGCAGTAGTAGTAGGAGTGGTAGTAGTACAGGTTATTATAGTGGTAGTAGTGGTATTATCAGTTAAAGGAATTGCTTTATTTAAAATTCAATACACAATCGTTGCATTCCCATAGCTAACATGTAGTAGTAGTAGTAGTAGTATAAGTAGTAGTAGTAGTATCAGTATCAATAGTAGTAGTATCAGTATCAGTATCAGTAGTAGTAGTATCAGTATCAGTAGTAGTAGTAGTAGTAGTTTCAGTATCAGTATCAGTAGTAGTAGTATCAGTACAGTAGAGGTAGTAGTAGTATCAGTATCAATAGTAGTAGTCGTAGTATCAGTATCAGTAGTAGTACTAGTATCAGTATCAGTATCAGTAGTATCAGTATCATTAGTAGAAGTAGTAGTATCAGTATCAGTAGTAGTAGTATCAGTATCAGTAGTAGTAGTAGTAGTAGTAGTAGTAGTAGTAGTATCAGTAGTAGTAGTAGTAGTAGTATCAGTATCAGTAGTAGTAGTAGTAGTAGTAGTAGTATCAGTAGTAGTAGTAGTAGTAGTAGTATCAGTAGTATCAGTAGTAGTAGTAGTAGTAGTAGTAGTATCAGTAGTATCAGTATCAGTAGTAGTAGTAGTATCAGTATCAGTATCAGTAGTAGTAGTAGTAGTAGTATCAGTATCAGTAGTAGTAGTAGTAGTATCAGTATCAGTAGTTGTAGTAGTAGTAGTTTCAGTATCAGTAGTAGTAGTAGTAGCAGTAGTAGTAATAGTAGTAGCAGTAGTAGCGGTAGTAGCAGTAGTAGTAGTGATGGTATCAGTATCTGTATCAGTATCTGTTCAAGTAGCAGTAACTTAAAAGTGGCCTATGTAACTTTTCTGAGGGAGGGTCTTTTATTTGCTCGTCTCATAAACATGGCTGGAATGGTGTAATAATATATATTTATTCAATTATATACTTTTGTATTATTAGTCAGTCTACATTTCCAAAGTTCAAAATGCTCTGTTCGACCTTGTGATGTCATGAAGTGGTAGTTTTCAAGTGAACAGCTCCTTTGGCAATTTAAGGGCTGAAATGATCCAAATGATTCTAGTCAAGGTGTGTGGAGTTTACATACACTTACAACACAAATCAGAATAGGCGTAATATAAGCCTTTTATTGTATTTATCTATTAATAGCCCTTTGAGATCACCCGTATCTTGGTGAAGGGGGTGTTGAACTTGTGCACTTCTGCATTCACTATCACTGAAAAACCAAACATGAGACGATATGGAGTGTATGGTCAAATAGAGCTTCAGAAGGAGTGCAGATAGCGTGCGCGGGGAGTACACAGTGTTGTCACAAACTGGAGATAATTGTAATAAAAATACACGAGGAGCAGTGTAACAAGGCGAGTTCAAGAGCCGTAAATCCTCTCATCACTGATACTGTGAACACAAGAGCATGGAGAGGATCCCACTCAGACCTGTGTCTACTATCAAGTATAAACACAACCAGAGCCATAACAGGAACTTCAGAGCTCAGGGAGACAGAGTTTATTAAAGAGCCCATCTCATGTAAAATCTACTTTTCAGAGCTTTCTGCCTTTTAAAAGTGATGTGCGGGCCTTGTATTTGTCGCCGTAGTGGTTTTTAGATTGATTCTGCTTTTTTTTTTTTTAACAAATTGCAGCGTATTTCTGCCACTCTCCCACATAATAAGGAACTAAAGCTGCTACAGCGATGACACGGCAGATACACCTATGACGCTTTTGACGTAGCAGAAGGCGCTTCGTACCACCCCCCCTCCCCCGCTCCTCCGCCCACCTCCACCCCGCATCGGCTGACAATTCCCGCATGAACACCTAAACAACATTAAAACACAATGGACTCCAGGCACTCCAAAGTAGAAAAAGTAAAAAATCTCATGAGGAAAAATATAGTTATCAGGGCTTAGAAAACCAGTTAAGGTCGAAACATGTTGGCTTTGGCCATTCAGATAAAAGCCTTTTAACTATATTTTTCCTAAGGAGATTTTTTACTTTTTCTACTTCTTTAGAGTGCCTGGAGTTGTGTTTTAGTTTCCAAGAGCACTCTCTACCTGCTCCCACTGATTGGAACATCTGCAGCAAACAGCCACATTTTTGTTCTTTCAGCATAAGCTCATTGTTCTACACTGCAGTGAACACGATATAAAAAGTTTATCTACTAGTGTTTATTAATACTTTACCAATCAGTAATGTTCAGCTGATGTCGACATGGTGCTTGATCTTCGTGCTCCTCAAAGTCCTCATCCGATTCTGGGTCCAACACATGCGGCTGAACGCGCTGTATCTCCATGATGAATAAAAGTTTATTCTACCTCTACCAGGGTGCACGCCTGTCTCCCCCTCCCTCCCTGAGATGGGCGGAGGAAGGGCGGCTCACTCGTCGCCTACGTCATGTTTGGAGGGCGGAGCCTGTGCTTTCTCAGGACGGGCGGGGGGATGAGCAATAGTTGGCCTTTCATAGTTCCCGGTCTGTGACTGTCTCCAAGAAATCAGTAAGATTTCAGAACTATTGTGTAATGGATGTTCCAAAACTCAAATAGTGCTTGTTTATGTGCAAAAGATACAAGGTGAAAAGAGTTATTTTGCATGAGACGGGCCCTTTAAAGACAGGGAATTATACAATACAAACCATAACACATTTAGATCGATCAAATGTTTTGCTGTCTTATTCAAAAACATCATATTAACATGTTTTATAAGTTTCCCTACCTTTGCTCTCTGTGCTAAGTCACTCCCCTTCAGAGCAGCACCAAAACGCAAAACTACCGCACATCTCATCAGGTTTGTAAAGTCATAGTGTAATGTTTTGTATCCTTCTTTTGTATGTCAGAGGTAGAACAACAACATTGACAATTACATAAGGATGTAACAGTAACCGACATATTATGATATCGTATCGTCAAAGTTCTCACAATAATATTGTGGACCATCACAATATATCGAATTACAAGGCTCTTTGCTTAAATGAAGAGTTATGGTGCAGCAATAGCTAAAGAAAAAAGACAGAGGGAACTACATAGACCATGATCCTTTGCTCCATTTCGGTGCATACTATAAGAAGACATAACAGTTCTAAACACTTTTAAGTCTTAGTTCTTCGGATTAAGTCTTGTCAAGGCATTTTAAGAGGAAAAAGTAGCATATTAACAGTTTTGTTTGCCTCCACAAAATATTGGAATAAATATCGTACCATGAGATGTATATCATGAAAATATTGTACTGAGAGATTTGGATTTTGTTACATCCCTAATCTTTAGCCTCCCCAGCATATCATGAGCTTTCCCACGATATCACAGTAAATATCCTACCGTGATGATATCGTATCGTGTGACTTGGACCCCTACAATTGCATCTTAAAGTCAGTTGGTGGGTTTTTTTCTCAAAAAAAAAAAATCTGTCATGGATGGAGACCCAGATGCTTGCATGGTTGCAACAAAATTGAAACTGATCCATGAAGTGAAATATCTGGGAGTTACATTGAACCCACAATTATCATTCAAACGTCACGTCAAAAGAACAGTGAATAAAATCAAATATAATTTATCAAATTTTCATCACATAAGCAATAATTTAACAACAAACTCACACCTAAATTATTGCATTACTAGTTGGACTCTGACTAGCAAAACTTCTCTTAAATGAGCTGAAACTATCTATAATAAAGTACTTAAGGTGTTAGACAAAAAGCTCACTAATTATCATTACTGCAGAATAATTGACAAATACAAATTTCTTAACTGGGACAACACGATCAAATATGCAGATTTAATTTTGGTATACACAGTTTTTACACAGTTTTCATAATCTCCTCCACCTCCTGTAAAGGAGTTTGTGAAAAGAAATTCAAATCGAATAACAAGAGCAGCTCTAGAGGCGACTGCTCTGTGCCGTTTAAGAAAAGTGCTTTCATACAGATTCTTTTGTGTATTGAGCAGGTCAAACATGAGCACAGAGCAGCTCATGAACGAGAACTTTTAACACTGCAGCCTTTTCTAAAGCTTTAAAACATGATGTTCAGTGGTCAAATATGTCTCCATGTTTAACCAAATGATTTTTATTTTTATTTTTTTTAATTGAAGGGTTGTTGGTTTGACTTTTTAACTCTTGACTTCGAACTTGAAATGAACTATATGAAATGAGCTGTATGCACAGTGAGTGTGTTGTATGTATAGTGAGTGTGCTGGTGTTATGTACTTTTGTGTGATTGTTGCTTTGCTTTGCTTTTCTCTGTCCTGTAGATGATTTGACTTCAACCTGCTGAGGGACTGAAGATGTTAAATGTTCATTAATATGTGCTATCCCTTTACAAATAAATAAATAAGAACATGAATGTTTATGGAACATGACCGTGCAGGAGTATGACACAGGCTTGTGGGCGGAGCATTGGACAGAATCATACTGCTAACCAAAAGGAGGGTTCAAACAGGGCCAGGGAAAGATCGCTAGATTACTCAAACTTGCATACATACCATAAAATAAACCCAAAAAAATGCATAATACCCTCTATTTTATCACTCAATCAACTTTTAATTATTTATCATCTTTTTTCTTTATACTTGCACAAACAATCAGTGTATTTATTAAAGTACCATATGTGACTTTCTGGAATGGACACACCACTTGCATTTATTTTGTTTGTCCATTCTGCCTTTTCCTACTCATTAAACATAAATCAGTATCTCAGTGCTCACTGTCTGTCCTCTGTCTCTGTGTCTGTGCAGATGTGGGCTCGGTGGAGGGGCTGGCGTACCATCGGGGTTTGGACATGTTGTACTGGACGAGCTACACCACCTCCACCATCACGCGGCACACGGTGGAGCAGGGCCGCTGGGGGGCAGTGGACCGACAGACTGTGGTCAGCATGTCCGGAGATGACCACCCCAGAGCCTTTGTGCTGGACGAGTGCCAGGGGTGAGACAAGATTAACTCAAGTCCGTTATGAATAAATAGGACAGCAGCAGTAGTAGTAGTAGTAGTAGTAGTGGTAGTGGTAGTGGTAATGGTAGTAGTAGTAGTAATAGTAATAGTAATAGTAATGATAGCAGTAGTAGTAGTAGTAGTAATGGTAGTAGTAGTAGTAGTAGTAATGGTAGTAGTAGTAGTAGTAGTAGTGTAGTAGTAGTAGTAGTAGTAGTAGTAGTAATGGTAGTAGTAGTAGTAGTAATGATAGCAGTAGTAGTAGTAATGGTAGTAGTAGTAGTAGTAGTAATGTAGTAGTAGTATAGTAGTAGTAGTAGTAGTAGTAGTAGTAGTAGTAGTAGTAGTAATGTAGTAGTAGTAGTAGTAGTAGTAGTAGTAGTAGTAGTAGTAGTAGTAGTAGTAGTAGTAGTAGTAATGATAGCAGTAGTAGTAGTAGTAATGATAGCAGTAGTAGTAGTAATGATAGCAGTAGTAGTAGTAATGATAGCAGTAGTAGTAGTAATGATAGCAGTAGTAGTAGTAGTAGTAGTAGTAGTAGTAGTAGTAGTAGTAGTAGTAGTAGTAGTAGTAGTAGTAATGGTAGTAGTAGTAGAAATGGTAGTAGTAATAGTAGTAATAGTAGCAATAGTAGTAATAGTAGTAATAGTAGTAATAGTAGTAGTAGTAGTAGTAGTAGTAGTAGTAGTAGCAGTAGCAGTAGCAGTAGCAGTAGCCGTGTCCGGAGATGACCACCCTAGAGCCTTTGTACTGGTCAAGTGCCAGGGCTGAGACAAGTTTAACTTCACTTCAAGTAATGGTGATAATACTACTACAAGTAACAGTAATAGTAGTAGGGATAGTAATAGTAAAAGTAGTAGGGTAGTAGGAGTAGCAGGAGCAGTAGTAGGAGTAATGATGTTAGTGGTAGTGTTAGTTGTAGTAGTTGCAGTAGTCATAGTAGGTAAATTACCAGGAATATGCAGGGAATACGTTGAATTATTTAGATGCACATGTTTTTGCTTTGTACTTCCAAGGTCAGTTTTGCAGAGATTTATTTCTTAGTTTGTTCTAAAAAATAAACAAGAAATGTTCAAAAAGACATTATTAAAGCACGGTGTACACAGTTTAGTATATACAAAGGTGATTTAGTCCCACTTAAAGGGAGCCTGACTTTGTCCATGCTCTCCCCCACAGGCTGATGTTCTGGACGAACTGGAACGAGCAGTACCCCAGTATCATGAGAGCCACTCTGAACGGAGGAAACGTCATCATCATCATCGGCTCTGACGTGCGCACACCCAATGGTCTCGCCATCGACCACCGAGCCGAGAAACTGTACTTCTCCGACGCCACGTTGGACAAGATCGAACGTTGCGAGTACGACGGCAGCAGGCGTTATGTGAGGACTAACCTTTGGCCTACTCATGATATAATATTAATGATAATGAGTAATGAATAATTAATGATAAAGGTTAATGAATGATATAAGTATGATAATATAATATGAGTATAATCACACCAGTCAAAAAATATGGAATGAAAGTCGGACTAGTCGCACTTTTTGGGGGAAATTTATTATATTTATATTTATATATTAATACAAATGTATATAAAATCAGAGACCAGGAACTGACATTTCATCTTGAAAGGCAAGTTCTAGTAATAACAACAGAACAGAGAACAACAGACTGTTAATGTCACATATGAACAGTTCTTCAGATAACTATAACATAAACAACAGAGCAGAGCAAGTTTACCAAACTCTCCATCTTACTCCCCAACCTCCAGAGGTAAACAGAGCGCCGCTTCCTCTTCTGTGTAGCTGTCGTCAGACTCAGCATCAGTTCCAGTTAGAATTATTCCGGCCTTTCTGAATCCCAACAGGATGGTTTTGGTGTCACTGAAGTCACTTAAATGTTACATTTTCAGTGGTTTTGTTCAAAAGTATTGAACAAAATTGACTTTTTGGAGCTTTCTACCATGTTATAACATGCCTGAAAAGGTTTTAGATGTCATCCATACATGTTTGAGCAATCTAGTGATCTCTCCTGGGCCCTATTCGACCACTTCTTAAAGTTACCTCTACAATTCTGTACAATTGTCAGAACATAAGGCTACAGCACTCATCCTCCCGCACAGCTATTGTCCATAAATATATAAACCATGATACAAAATAATAAACTACAACTTCACAAACCTGATGTGATGTACAGTAGTTTCATTAGCAAAATGAATGATGAAATGGGGAGTGACTTACCATGGAACAAAGTACAGACCAGTAGGTGTTCTTTAGTGGCAATGGTGAAAACATGGCTGGATCAGATTTATTGAGATTTCAGGATGATATCGATCTTATACAATGTGACTTCAAACAGCCATTACTGTTCATTACACCACCTAACCCCCTCGTGCTGTGTCGCTTCCTGCAGGTGGTGCTGAAGAACGAGCCGGTGCACCCGTTCGGCCTGGCGGTGTATGGGGACTACCTCTTCTGGACAGACTGGGTGCGCAGGGCGGTGCTGAGGGCGGATAAGTACACAGGAGGAGAGATGAAGGTGCTGAGAGCTGACATCCCGCAGCAGCCAATGGGAATCATCGCTGTCGCCAATGACACCAACAGCTGTGAGTGCACCACGCTCACTTATCAGTCACTGTTCTCTCTGTATAAATGGGCACACTCTTGATCCTGCTATTATGGTAACATTATGCAACTAATACGTCGATTTTTGCTTTAGACAATGGGGAGCTGGTCTGGCAAATTCAGAATGATATCTCTCTGTATTTATAGAGGGATATCAGTAGTTATTACCAGCCAGTCCCTTCTACATTCTGTTTGAATCCAGGAACAGGAACTGGACCACAGATTGTGAAAATCCTTCATCCATTGTTGAGATGATCCAACCACAGCTGCTCATTTGTATCATCTGTCTCTCTAATGCAGAAGACATCTCCTCTTGTATTCATTCAGAACAATATACCATAATTACCGTTTTTTTCTCACGCTTTGAACCTTACGGCTTATAGAACAATGTGGCAAATATACGGACAGATTCTTTGTTTGGCACATTGACCATTCATATATATGGTCTATGGTTTGGCAACAGCGCAGATGTGTGCAGAAAACGCTGCTGTCTCTGCGGTTAACTTGAAGCTGCAACGTTAGTGCTGTTGTCAGCACTAAAACAGTTTATCACCATGTGGAAAATAAGTTATGATGCTAAATGAACATCAGTGAGTGGAATACGTCTTACCCGGATGTGTTAAATGCAGGTGAGTGCGTAAATGATGAGAAGAAATGTCTCAAACTTCAGTAGCCGCACATCCACTCATACCTGATCAATACAACTAGCCCCGCCCCCAGGAGAGTCTGAAATCTGCTGAAATCCTAAAAAAAACCTGACATGATACAGACAGGACAGAGACTCTTTCAGCAGGAGACATGTGCTTTAGAGCGCGGGGAGAGACGGACGTGATGCACAAGGAAGTTGCGTGTTTATTTTTCTGTCCGTGCACACACCTTCCTCATGGAAAATACACAAAGAAATGGAGATGATGCAGCTTTTAAGTTAAAGGCAAAGGCTGTCGAAAAAGGAAATAGAGCTGCTGCACGTGAGCTTGGTATCAATGAGTCGATGGTGAAACTCCGGCGACAGCAGCTTGACAAAAGGCAAAAAGAATGAAAAATGAAAGCTTTCAGAGGCAATAAAAGCAGATGGCCCGAACATGAAAATGTTCTTGAAGATGTGGACTTAGACAGGTGTTTTCTATATGTACATTCTTTTTTTTTTTCCTTTTAAAATTTACTTGATGCGGCTTATATTCAGGTGCACTCAGTAGTCCAGAAATTAAGATATATCACTTCTTATACCTGAGATAAGTCATAGTTTGGTGCTTTGATTGTTGATTAGGAGAAAATCCACGTTTCTTCTTTGGTTATGTAGATTTTTTCCTTTTTTTTGCGTGTGTGCGTTTTTTTTTGGCATGAACAGAACATCTGTCTCTGATTGGTTAATCTGCCTGTTAGTCACTCCCTCTGAAATCAGGGAAACAGGATATGGCTCCAGATCCACTCGTCAAAGCATTTCTGTTTTTTAGTGACGAATGTGAAATGGTCATTGGACACCAAATTACATTTCTCTCACCTGGGTTCAGTTCTTTGCTCATTAATTCTGCAGAAAGTCACATTGTCAAGTCCTATTTTTCAGTCGCCTGTGATATTTTTTCATGATCATTATTTTAAGCAGTCGGATGTTTTGCTCTGGATGGACAATGTGTTCCTGATAATTACACCAAACCTAAAAGCGGTGACCGGACTCACATGTTTGTAAAACATGTGTACTGTATTCTGGATCCCAGGCAACCGCTGCATCGTTCTCTCTTAAACATTTGTTAGCTGGAGATAATTGAAAAGAAAAAATAGCTCACCATCTTTAGTACATGTTATGTTCTTTGGTCATTTAAACTAATTGACCTTGTGCTTTCATTTGGTATTTTAAAACATGGTCTATAGCAGGAGAACAAGAAACAGTCCAGCTCTTAAACATATCTTTTTACAATGTCATTAAACACACTGGTGTAGTTGTAGAAAACAAAACAAACGATTGATTCTGATGGTTCTTCGTCTGAAAAAGTGGAGTTGTAATTGACTTGATGTTTTCTCTCTCCATAATCGTACATCACAAAGCACTGGTGGTGTTCAGGCCCAGTAGAGCTGCTAATGAAGTGACATCTGGAAATTTAACATGCACTGCTTTGGCTCTGACTCAAATATATGAATGAACTGATATCTGAGGCTCTCTCTCTCTCTGGTTTATCTATATTGACACTTTGCAGCTGATGCCATCAACCTTCCCTGGGGGTGTGAAGCTAACTAGAGGCACTGCTCTGTCTGAAGCTATGTTAGTCAAGTTAGACATTGATCTGAGCTTTTGTTTTTACATAATATGACCAAGCAGTATTAGCCCACAGTTTTTCAGTTACTGCATTTTTCGGACTATAAGCCACGCTGAAGTATAAGTCACACAAGCCAAAAAATCCATAATGAAGAAAAAATCATATATAAGTTGCACTTGTGGGGGAAAGTCAAGTTCTAGTAATAACAATAGAACAGACAACAGACTGTTAATGTCACATATGAACAGCAACAGAACAGAACAAGTTTACCAAACTCTCCATCTCACTCCAGATCACTAAATCCATTCAATTCTTCATCCTCGGTGTCACTTCTGAGCAACTCCGTGACCTAGCTGTTGTCAGACTCAGCATCAGTTCCAGTTAGAATTATTCCAGCCTTTCTGAATCCCGGCAGGATGGTGTCGGTGTCACTGAAGTCCAGGCTTTGTCCGTCCATCCAGTGACTTCAGGAAAGTTTCATGGTGCATCCTCCCAGTGTCACAAGTTTCTCGCTCACTCCAAACTTTCTTTCTGCTGCTTGATTACGTTTTCAGCTGCAGATTTTGCTACTTGCAGTTTGTAATCTGCAAAGTATGATTTTCTTTTTGGGGCATTTATGTTCAGTCTTCGTCAGTCGTCTTTATAAGTTTGTTTAAATGTTAAACTGTTCAGTGGTGCAGAAGTAATGGTGCGATCGACTGACATGATACAGACAGGACAGAGGCTCTTTCTGCAGGAGACATGTGCAGTAGAGTGAAGTGACAGTGGTACAGGAGGAACAGGAGCAGCAGATACTGACACACAAGACTAGAGCCTCTTGCAGCTGTCAGTGTGAACATTTTAATATATAAGTCTCACAAGGGTATAAGTCGCAGGAAACACCCAAACCATGAAAAAAAGTGCGACTAATAATCCAAAAAATATGGTAGTCACTCTTGCCTTTTTTGTTGTGAATCACCTTAAACAGCTCTTGAACGTTCGCATTGATCACAAGCTCCTGAAAATCTTCTGTTTAAATCAGTCTGTGTTTGTCCAGTATCAATAGCTGATACATGCCTTGCAAAAGTCAAATAAAATGATAGTTTGTGATAGTTTTTGAGTTTTTCTAAAGCTTGTGACCCTTCCCCTCTGCACAGGTGAGTTCTCCCAGTGTCGGGTGAATAATGGCGGCTGTCAGGACCTGTGTCTGCTGACCTCTGATGGACGGGTCAACTGCAGTTGCCGTGGAGACAGGAAGCTCCTAGAGGACAACACCTGCATCGGTAATACGCAGTCCAACTTCATCTTGGACCTGTTCGAGGTCATCAACAAAATGCACAGATAGTGTTTTATTATGAAAATTGCATTAGCAGTAGGATGAGATAACAAGGAACATTTAGAGTGACAACCTTAAATAGCAGGACGGGTTGGGTATTGTGGTTGGACACAGTGGGACAGACAAGATTACCTTACAATGATATTCAATTTTATCTCTAAAAACTCAAAGGAAGCGATTGGAATATCAAATTGTGGTTTTGATTTGATTGCGATTGATCTCGCAGCCCTTGTTTGTGGTTCTAACCTGCTTCTGTTGTTTGTATTTGTGTGTGTCAGCCCTGAACACGACCTGCAACAGCATAGACGAGTTTGAGTGTGGAAACGGAGACTGTATCGAGTACGTCCGGACCTGTGATGGCACTCCTCACTGCAAAGACAAGTCTGACGAGAAGCAGTCCTACTGTGGTACGCGCTCCACAGACTACACAAACTACACAAACTACAAATCTGCATGTACTTCTAAGGGCTGTTACAGTATTGATAGAAGTATTGTGTTATGTCCCTTCTGTTATGTTAGAAACCAGTAGTAGTCAAAGTAGTTGTAGTAGTCATAGAATAGTGTATGAGAAACAGTCCTACTGTGGAACCACTAGGGATGGAACGATATCCAAATCTCTCAGTACAATATTTTCACGATTTACATCTCACATACATACGATATTTATTGCAATATTTTGTGGAGGCAAATAAAACTCTTTTTAAAATTACTCTTAATATAATAATAATCTTAAAATGCCTTGACAAGACTTGACCCAAAGAACTAAGATATAAAAGTGTTTATAACAGTTACTTCTTCATGTAGTCTGCACTGAAATGGAGCAAAGGATCATGGTCTATGTAGTTCCCTTTGTTCTTTGTTGTTTTTGTTAGCTATTGTTGCAACACAACTATTAATTTAAGCAAAAGATGTGTGATGGTCCACGATATCACGATATTTCTGTTATTGTTCCATCTCTAGGTACCACTACTGCACAAACTACAGATATGTGCGTATCCTCTTAAGAGCTGTTGAAGTATTATTGATAGAAGAAAATGTTAGACGTACTAGTCATATAAGCGGTAGTCATTGTAATGATAGAAGTAAGAAAAAGTGGCAGGGGTAATATTTATAGTATATAGCATACTTTATAGTAGTATGTAGGATGTAACGATATCCAAATCTGTCAGTACGATATTTTCACAATATACATCTCACAGTATGATGTTTATTGTGATATTTTGTGGAGGTTAACAAAACTGTTAATATGCTACTTTTTCCTCTTAAAATGCCTTGACAAGACTTAATCCAAAGAACTAAGACTTAAAAGTGTTAGAACTGTTATTTCTTCTTGTAATCTACACTGAAATGCACCAAAGGATCATGGTCTATGTAGTTCCCTCTGTTTTTTTTTGTTGTTTTTTTTTAGCTATTGCTGCACCATAACTCTTAATTTAAGCAAAGAGACTTGTAATTCGATATATTGTGATGGTCCATGATATTATTGTGAGAACTTTGACGACACGAGATCATGATATTTCGGTTATTGTTACATCAATACTATGTAGTACTTATCCTATTCTTTTATTCACCAAGTAAAATTACTACATACATAAATAGTTTGTATAGAAGGAGCATAATAGGAGCATAATATGGTCTGTCTAACTAATAGCTAGTTAGTAATAAGTTTAAGTTGTGGTCAGTACAGTAACAGTAAAAACTGTTGTACAAGTAATACCAGCAAGAAATAGCACTAGGGGTGGCAGTACTAGTATTTTAAGTAGTAGCATTTTTAGCTGAGCTTTCAAACAGAATCATCTCATCATCACTCAGAATGAAGACAGATTCCCACATTATTGAGAAAGAAGGGAGACAAGTATAATGAATATTTCCATTTACAACACTTCATCTTCTACATCCTGTTTGACATTTGACTCTGTATTATGTTCTCATGTGTCGTGTGCAGCTAACCGTGTGTGTAAGAAAGGATACAGACGCTGTGTGAACGGACGCTGTGTGGGACACGGCTCCTGGTGCAACGGTCAGAACGACTGTGGAGACAATTCAGATGAGCTTTTTTGCAACGGTGAGTCCAGCAACTACAGCTGTTTTATTTCAATGTCATGTATTTAGTTTAAGCAATACCAGTAGTTTGGGATTCAGTATTAGAAACAGTTACTGCAGTACTCATAATAACACTAAGAGTATGTAGTAGCTGTCGTATTCAACATAGTAGTACAAGCTGAAGTATCAGTTGTAGTGATCACAGTCACTGCAATTATAACTGAAGTTACTGAAGCAATACCAGTAATAGTAGTTATGGTAGCTACCAAAGGAGTGGTTGTAGTAATAGTTGTAGTAGTGGTGACCAGTGTTGAGAGTAACGCATTATAAACTTAATCAATTACTGTAATGCATTGTTTTTTGCTGTAACGCAGTAATGTGGCATAACAGGGAAAGAAATAGTAATATTTTACTTGGTACAAATGTCAGTAACACGCATTTTTAACCTGGATTGAAGTGGTGGGTTTTTCGTTTTTCTTCATACAAATTCACTAAAATCACCGCAATATCAGCAGCAGTGAAACAGCAGAGATGCGCCCGTGTAGACCATTGGGTGACTGTGAGCGAAAGGACCGGCGCAGAACTCCGCGCTCCACAGGGCTAATCGCAGCTCACACCCGATCACGCCTTACAGACACCCTGTTCCACGGACTCGGCTCGGGGTTCTCTCAGGGGCGGTCCTAGATTCCAAGTTCTTGTCCAAGTTTAGTCCTGGTTTGGTCCTGGTTTGGTCCTGGTTTAGTCCTGGTTTAGACCTGGTTTAGTCCTGAGTCAGTTCTGGTTTAGACCTGGTTTAGTCCTGGTTCATTTCTGGTTTAGTCCTGGTTCAGTCCTAGTTTAGTCCTGGTTTAGACCTGGTTTATACTTAGTTTAGCCCTGGTTCAGTCCTGGTTTAGACCTGATTTAGTCCTGGTTCAGTTCTGGTTTAGTTCTGGTTTAGACCTGGTTTAGACCTGGTTCAGACCTAGTTTAGTCCTGGTTCAGTCCTGGTTTAGACCTGGTTTAATCCTGTTCAGTTCTGGTTTAGTTCTGGTTTAGACCTGGTTTAGACCGGTTTAGACCTAGTTTAGTCCTGGTTCAGTCCTGGTTTAGACCTGGTTTAGTCCTGTTCAGTTCTGGTTTTTCAGATTCCAGTTCTGGTTTAGTTTAGTCCTGGTTTCAGTTCAGTTCTGGTTTAGTCCTGGTTTAGTCCATATACGGCGCAAAAGTTCAGCATCTTCACAGTTATTTTGGTGAGAGTAACTTAAAAGTAATGCAGTAACTAACTTGCCCAACAGTGGTGGAGACAGTAGTAGTAGCAGTAGCACCAACAGTAGTAGTTCTTGTAGTAGTACTAGTAATAGTAGCCATATTGTCAGTCGAAGTAGCAGTATTAGTAGCTGAAGTAGTAGTATCAGATGTGGTGATGAGATTTCATTCGTTCTTCTGCCTCAGTGCGTCCATCTTTTCAATAAACCCTCTTGTATTTCCTGTGTCTGCTTTAATTGCCCTGTTCGTCACTCGGCCTGTCTCCTCTGTTCGCTCTGTCTCAGCCACTCTGTGCACGGCCGATCAGTTCCAGTGCCGAGACGGAAGCTGCATCTCCAACTCCAGTAAATGTAACCAGAAAGTGGACTGCGACGACGCCAGTGACGAGATGAACTGCAGTAAGTTTAGATTACTCTGTCAACTCGGGCTATGTTAAGTCTGTTTATTTTTAGTTTTATGACTTTTTGGTTTAGTTAATGACAACATGTACAGCGACAACATGAAAGCTACTTATGTAACTTTAATGTTGTAATGCACTTTAATAGTCTTGTGTCTTATTTTTACTGTCTTCAAAACGTGGAAAATTTTAAACAGTTTGCAGTGGTCCAAAGTTATTCACACTTTTCACAAAGCATAATTTACCGTCATAGAAATAGATGCATGAAGAATCTCGGACTTCCAGTCATTGTGCAATGCATACTGGGAAGGATTTTCTGGAAAACTGAGCATCAAACCACCATGTCATATTTTAGTTTTGGGATTCGGACATCTCAATTGTGTGGTTGTTGGATCGTAACACCGGAAAACGGCTCGAGAAATTTGTTTGCGAACTCCATAAATGCAAAGTGAATCAGATGTGTGTGACTGCAAACCTCTGTTCAAACTGTTTCTCTTCCCAATGGAATTAAAAAATAGTGAAAGGTGAAGGCCATGGGCAGGATTGATCCACAGGAAGGACCAAAAAGGAAACTTTTGACTGCCTAAATCATCCTGAGTTTGCAGCGAACATTTTGTATGTGGAGCGCCAACAAAAAGGGATCCTGTTTGTTAATCGAGAGGTGCAGAAGACAAACAGACTGAGCTCGCACTTTCTTGTTCTTGTGGTTTTACAGCAACATCACGTCTTGATCTCTTTGCAGGGAAGGTGTTTCTTGGCGAGCACCTGGTGCCTTTCACTTTGGTGTTGACTTTTTAAATTCATCACCGAGGTTGAGCGAGGGATCGGGGTTTTGCTTTGTTGGCGCTCAACATACAAAATATTTGCTGCAAACTCGGGATGATTTAGGCAGTCAAAGGTTTCCTTTTCCGTCCTTCCTGTGGATCAGTCCTGCCCATCGCCTTCACCTTTCACTATTTTTCAATTCCGCTGGGAAGAGAAACAGTTTGAACAGAGGTTTGCAGTCATACACATCTGATTCCCTTTTGCATTTATGGACTTCGCAAACACATTTCTCAAGCCGTTTTTCGGTGTTAGGATCCAACAACCACACAATTACGATGTCTGAATCCCAAAACTAAAATATGACAATATCAGAACCAGAAACAAAAGTGATATGGTTCAAAAGACTGGAAAAGATCGACTTTGTCAATAGACTCATCCCACTGGGAAAACAAACATGGCAGTTTGAGGCTCACTTTTTCAGAAAATCCTTCCCAGTATGCATTGTGCAATGACCGGAAGTCCGAGATTCTTGATGCATCTATTCTGCAATTTTAACAACTACCATGCTAACTGTGTGCTTCCTGATTATCAGACAAAAAAACCGTTTGACGGTTCAATTCCTGCTCTCGATATAAAAATCATTGGTTGAGGGGTCGGATCCAATGTTTCGAGGGTTAGCAGTGCGAGTCCAGAGTCCCAATGCTGGTGTTGTGCCTTTGGGCAAGACACTTAACTCACCTCTCCCCCTGGTGTGTGAGTGTGTGTGTGAATGGGTGAGTGGATCCTTGTTGTAAAGCGCTTTGAGTGCCTTGAAAGTGGAAAAGCGCCGTATAAAAATGTGACCATTTACTATTTAGATGCAGACAGTACACAGCAGACTTATTTTAACCTCAAGAATTGCATAACAGTGCATACTGACGAGACTATTTTTATTATTATTTTTTAACCACATGAAAAAACTCATTGAAATTGGAATCTCTTTTTCAAGGACCAAAATGGACATTCCATGTGTTCTGCTCAAATACATGGAAAAAATCTGGTACAGGGCTTTTAATTCAAGACTAAAACACTGCAAGCTCCTTACACAAGAGTAGATAAAAGGCTTTTCTGTGTGAAAAAATCTTTTGACCTTAAAATATCCTTGTGTCCTGTGTCCCAGCTGCCACAGACTGCTACAATTACTTCCACCTGGGCGTGAAGGGCGTGACCTTTCAGAAGTGTGAGTTCACCACGCTCTGCTACGCCCCCTCCTGGCAGTGTGACGGCGCCAACGACTGTGGAGACTTTTCTGACGAACGCAACTGTCCAGGTATCACTGACAGTCATGGAAAACTCCGGATTAACACAGAAAAATGTTGCCAATGGGATTTGATTAAATAATAAGTACAAGTGTCACAAAAAATATAACTAATAACTGTTTTTTGGGGAAATTATAAAATCACAAAGTGTATTAGGGATAGTTGAAGTAATACCTGTAGTTTAATAGTTGAAGTAGTTGTAGTATTGGGAAGAGTTGTAGGAGGAGTCATAGTAGGACTAAGAGTATTGTAGTAACAGTAATAGGAGCAGTAATATATTACATGAAGGAGAAGTAGTAGTTGTAGTAGCACAAGTTGAACACATAGAAACAGTAATAATTGTAGTAGTAGTAGTAGGAGGAGTAGTGGTGATAGCAATAGTAGTAATAGTAGTAGTAGTAGTAGTAGTAGTAGTAGTAGTAGTAGTAATAGAAGTAGTACTAGTACTAGTAGTAATAGTAATAATAGTAGTAGTAATAGTAATAGTAGTAGTAGTAGTAGTAGTAGTGGTAGTGGTAGTAGTAGCAGTGGTAGTAATATTAATAGTAGTAATAGTGGTAGTAGTAGTAGTAGTAGCAGTAGTAGTAGTAGTAGTAGTAGCAGTAATAGTAATAGTTGTAATAGTAACAGTAGCAGTAGTAGTAGTAGTAATAGTAATAGTAGTAATAGTAACAGTAGTAGTAGTAGTAGTAGTAGTAGTAATAGTAATAGTAGTAATAGTAACAGTAGTAGTAATAGTAGTCATAGTAATAGCAGTAATAGTAGTAATAGTAACAGTAGTAGTAATAGTAGTCATAGTAATAGCAGTAATAGTAGTAGTAGTAGTAGCAGTAATAGTAATAGTTGTATCAATAGAAACTGCTCATAGTAATTGCCATCATAGTAGTTGTAACTTCAGTTGAACACGTAGTGGTAGTAGTAGTAGTAGTAGTAGTAGTTGCAGTATAAACAATAAGTGCACTAGTGCAGTAGCAGCAGTAGAAGTAGTAGAAGTAGTAGAAGTAGTGAAGACATTTTCGTGTTTTCCTAAACTGTGACAAAAGTACAAAATGAACCTTATAGAGCAAAAAGAAATCCCAGTTAATTCTTCTGGATGACAGACAAATCCATTCTGTATTTCCATCCATTAAATTGTGTTTGGCGAGGGACTGGCTGCATATTTCTTTTCTTTTTTGTCTTGTGTGACTTTGTGCTTGCTTAAGTTTTAATTTCCTCTTCTGTTTGAACCTCAGGGAGCGAGAAGATAAAGTGCCAGGCTCCGTTCTTTGCGTGTCCCAGCGGCCGATGCATCCCCATGAGCTGGACCTGCGATAAGGAGCACGACTGTGAGGACGGGGCGGACGAGGCGCACTGTGGTCAGTCACCAAATACTACCAGATCATGCAGTACTTTTACTCTCATGTGTGTATTATACTGTATGTTTATTCTGATATGTGACGGGGTGGACTAGGTACACTATAGGATCACAGAATACTTTTACTCTAATATGTGTAATATACTTTTGCTGTAATATGTGATGGGGCAGACAAGGCATAGTAAGCAAATACTATAGGACAATACTATACTTTTACTTTAATATGTGTAATATATTTTTACTCTAATATGTGTAATATGCTTTTAGTCCAAACGTGTCAAACTCAGATTCACAGAGGCCCAAATTAATATTGTGACTAAGTCGTGGGCCAAATATTTATTGAAAAATTTCAACAATATCTGCATTTTTTCTCTTCTTTCGAGATATGTAATGTTACGTTTTTTCTTATTAAAATAAATGTTTAGTAATAATTTTGCATAAACACTGAATCCAGAACAAGCACAATATAAAATAATAATAAAACTTTAAATAAATAATGTCTCTATAGCCTGTGGGCCAGGTCTAATACATATTTGATATGATCTCGTGGGTCAAATACTGAGTGCCTGAGTTTGACATATCTGTTTTAGTCAGTCACCATAGGACAATACAAGGACAGACACTATAGGACAATACAAACGTACAGTACAAAATACAATACTTTTACTCTAATATGTGGATGCTGCCAAGTGTACACATTAAATACAGTGGTCATAGTCAAACTCCTGATCTACAAATCTACTTTAACCATTGTCTGTAAACTGACAAAAGTAAGTCCAAAATGTAGAATTATTTGAATAGAATATATCTTTTTCTTTTTGACTCCTCCAGCTTATTTCCATGGAATTGTTGTTCCTTTGGCTATAATATTCCACAGTATGGCGTAAAACAATCAGGTAGTGCACACAGTCATGGAAATCCTGGAAAAGTCATGGAATTTTTAAAATTCAATGAAAGTTTTGGAAAACTCATGGAATTTTAGTATGTCTTTCATACAACTCCAGCGTTCTTTTAAATTCCCATGAGGATATTCTGATTATTTCTGAATGTCTGCACCTTTTGTTTAAAAGGGACGACAATAAATGCACTGACAGGATTTTGAATGTTCAAAAACTATAATCTCAAACCATAAGGTGAGTGGAAAGAGTTCACATTTCATATTTAGCCCTAAAAGTCTGATCAGTTCTACACATGTAGGTGCCGTAAAGTCATGGAAAATTCACTTTAGGTCATGAAAAAATCATGGAAAAGTTTTGAAATTTTGTGAAAAAGTGAGAACCCTGAACATGAATGTTCAATTTCCATGCTTTAGCCTTTAGAGGGTAATGTTTATGTTGATTCAGTAAAGTTCAAGTTGTTGCAACCTATTCAGAGGCAATAATGCAGTAAGAACTGAATTTAAAAGAGTTATACTGAATTATGGCATAACAGAACCATTTTCTAAAGACACTTTGTAAAGTAAAAGTGAAGTGCTGCATAATTTACATCACAAAAATTGTACAACAAGAAATATGTGTGACTGTAAGCGAGTCTGGGTGCCCAAACAGGGAAATGTGCACTACATTTTATACTAAGCCTATTCTAAAGTATTCCATTCAGAATAACTTTGCATAGATCTGCCTTTTGGTCTAACTATGCTGTTTCTTCTCTAGATAAATTCTGCACGGGCTCTCAGTTCGAGTGTGGGAACCAGCGCTGTATCCCCAACCGCTGGGTCTGTGACGGAGCTGACGACTGTGGAGACGCCAGCGACGAGGGCAGCCAGTGCAGTCAGTCTCTTCACATTTTATATGACCTTTTATGTAACCTGTCTGGATGTCAAATTATTGTGGAGCAATTATTGTTAAAATGAATGCATTTATAATGACACACAGAACAGCTTGAGAAGGTCTGAATGCAGATGACGTGAGACAGTTCATTCATTTTAAAGAGGGAATAATTCAAATTTTCTCAGCTAAATCACCTTATCCATATGCTAATAGTTGTTGTTGTTGTTGTTGTTGAGTTGTTGTTTTTCTAATTACCAATCGCAATGTACTTAACTTAAGGGGCCCATTTCATGCAAAATAACTCTTTTCACATTGTATCTTCTGCACATAAACAAGCACAATTTGGGTTTTGGAACATTCATTACACAATAGTTATGAAATCTTACTGATTTCTTGGAGACAGTCACAGACCAGGAACTATGAAAGACCGACTATTGCTCATCCCCCGCCCGTCCTGAGAAAGCACAGGCTCCATCCTCCAAACGTGATGTAGGCTCTGAGTGAGCCGCCCTTCCTCCACCCATCTCAGGGAGGGAGGGGGAGACAGGCGTGCACCCTGATAGAGGTAGGAATAAACTTTTATTCATCATGGAGATACAGCGCGTTCAGCCGCATGTGTTGGACCCAGAATCGGACGAGGACTTTGAGGTGCACGAAGCACCTCAGAGATTTCTACCTTCTAAGCGTGATGTGTGGGCCTTGTATTTGTCACAGAAGTGGTTTTTAGATTGCAATTTGTAAAAAAAAAACTGAAAAAAAAATCAGAGTATTTCTGCCACCCTCCCACATGACAACAAACTAAAGCTGCTACAACGATGACGTGGCAGATACACCTATAACGCGTTTGACGTAGCAGAAAGTGCTTCGCACCCGCCCCCTTCCCCCGCTCCATCGCCTCCGCCTCCACCCCACATCGGCTGACAATTTACACATGAACACCTAAACAGAAGCGACAGCATAAGCTCATTGTTCTACACTGCAGTGTACACGATATAATAAGTTTATCTACTAGTGTTTATTAATACTTTACCAATCAATAATGTTCTGCTGATTTTGACGCGGTGCTTGAACTTCGTGCTCCTCAAAGTCCTCGTCCGATTCCAGGTCCAACACATGCGGCTGAACGCGCTGTATCGCCATGATGAAAAAAATTTTATTCCTACCACTATCAGGGTGGCACGCCTGTCTCCCCCTCCCTTCCTGAGATGGGTGGAGGAAGGGCGGCTCACTCGTTGCCTATGTCACGTTTGGAGGGCGGAGCCTGTGCTTTCTCAGGACGGGCGGGGGGATGAGCAATAGTCGGCCTTTCATAGTTCCTGGTCTGTGACTGTCTCCAAGAAATCAGTAAGATTTCATAACTATTGTGTAATGGATGTTCCAAAACCCAAATTGTGCTTGTTTATGTGCAGAAGATACAATGTGAAAAGAGTTATTTTGCATGAGATGGGCTCTTTAATATGGTGCAACTAAAGAACAATAAAGTGTCTGTAGAACTTTCTTGTTCAGAAAATATTTGGCCTTACCAAAAACTGCTATGCTTTTTGAAATTTTAGTAAGTATATATTGTATGTGTTCTTTCCGATTAAGTTTTTCATCAATAATAATGCCTAGAAATTAATTTTTCTTGACCCTGTCTATGTTCAATCCAAAACATGCACACTAGGTACAATCTTCTAGTTGAGGTAATCCTGACCTGAGATGGGTCCACTGCTCCTGATGATGTGCCCCCATGGCCTTGAAGGATGCATTAGGACATCATTTCATTTTGATATTCTTCATCTTATTGACTGTCCAGTGTTGCTTTATTGCATTTGTATCTGGACAATCTTATCAGACAACTGTTCATACAAATTCATTATGTGTTGTTTTCTCTTCTTTCTAATTAGGTTTTCATTTGCGTCAGTTGAAGGGCAGATTAATTGCATATTTGATTCTAACTGTTTCTTGCATTTACATTTTAAACCCTTCAAAATATATTTAGTATTCATTTGTTCTGAGAGCTCTTGAAATGTAATTATAGACCCAGATAAACGGTTTGCATCAGAGATATGGAAGACCGTGACAAAACGCGAATATTACAAGCTAATAGTTAATTAAAGTAATGCATATTTATCTCTGTTTGTATTTAGAAACAAAGACGTGCAGTCCGGAGATGTTCCACTGCCCGTCATCTCACGTGTGCATCCCCCAGAGGTGGAAGTGTGACGGGGACAAAGACTGTCCGGACGGAGCCGATGAAAGCGTCAAGGCTGGATGTGGTGAGAGGGATTTAGACTCTATACTGATTTAAAAGAATATGTACAAAACTATAACACAATATCAATATGTACAAAAACTCTATGTACATTTGTTTTAATAACTTGAAATCTGAACACTGAGCTTGCTTTTAGTCTTAGTTTTTAGATTAAGGGGTGGTTTAGGTTTATTTATTTACTTTTTTTCTGATTTCTGGTAAGTATCAGAGTAGTAGTAGTAGTAGTAGTAGTAGTAGTAGTAGTAGTAAGTACCGTATTTTCCAGACTATAAGTCGCTCTGGAGTATAAGTTGCACCAGCCAAAAAATGTGCAATGAAGAACAAAAAAACATATGTAAGTCGCACTTTTTGGGGAAATGTATTTTATAAAATAAGAGACCAAGAACCGACGTTTCATCTTGAAAGTCAAGTTCTAGTAATAGCAATAGAATAAAGAAAAACAGACTGAACAGGCGTTAATATGTTAACGTCACATATGAACAGTTCTTCAGATAACTATAGCATAAACAACAGAACATAAGTTTACCAAACTCTCCATCTCACTCCAAATCACTAAATCCATAGAATTTTTCATCCTCGGTGTCTCTTCTGCTCGACCTCTGGAGATAAACCATAGATCCATGAGGTAAACGGAGCTCTGCTTCCTCTTCTGTGTCACTGTCGTCAGACTCAGCATCAGTTCCAGTTAGAATTATTCCGGCCTTTTTGAATCCCGACAGGATGGTTTTGTCATTGAAGTTCAGGCTTTGGTGATTTATCCAGTGACTTCCAGGAAAGTTACATAGTGCATCCTCCCAGTTATCGTGAAGCTGTACTCTCCATCCCCGCTTTCCTCTAGTCCTTCACAAGTTTATCACTCACTCCAAACTTTATTTCTGCTGCTCAATTACCGTTTTCGGCTGCAGATTTCACTGTTTGCGACAAGACAGCGGCGTTTTCTACAGGAGACATGTGCAGTAGAGAGTGAAGTGACAGTGGTACAGGAGTAATAGTAGTACTAGATACTGACACACAAGACTAGAGCCTCTCGCGGCTGTTAGTCTGAAAATTTTAATATATAAGTCACACCAGAGTACACCGCAGTCGCAGGGAACACCCAAATCATGAAAAAAAAAACGTGACTTATAGTCCGAAAAATACGGTAAGCTCTTTACTTAAGAAAGTTTTTTAGAGAACTGATGAAGCAGCTTGGATGACTGTGAAACGTATTTGATCAAAAAACTTTTCTCCAGTTGATAGAATTGAATTTCTCCTTTGTTATGATTTCACTTTTTGAGCTTTTGAGTTTGTTCATTATTAGATCATTTGGATCTCACATTTATATTTGCCTCTTTTTGACAATGATTGTATATTACTGTTCTGTTTTTAAATGTTGTCAAAATGTTTTGTTGCAGTTTTCAACAACACGTGTGACAGTAATGAGTTCATGTGTCAGAATCAGCAGTGCATCCCCAAACACTTCGTCTGTGATCACGACACAGACTGCAGCGACGGCTCTGACGAGTCTCCGGAGTGTGGTACGGACACACAAATACACCTTTAATAGATTTTATTATTTATACACTGTTAAAACTACTTATATTTCATATAATATAATAACATGTCAGTGAACCTGGTCCTCCCCTTGAGAAAAGGTTACACAGTTATAACATTTCCTTGATGTGACTGTGTTTCAGAGTACCCGACGTGTGGACCAAATGAGTTCCAGTGCGCAAATGGCCGCTGTCTGATCCAGAGCTCGTGGGAGTGTGATGGAGACTTCGACTGTCATGACCGCTCAGACGAGGCCCCCAAAAACCCACACTGCACCGGGACAGGTGACAAAACAAACTCTTTTACAGTTTCTTCATTAATATAATTAGCGTATCAACTGTTTTCTCCTAATTATACTAAATGCCATGAATGTGTGACTGCATGACTCAATAGTATTTTAATTATAATGAAAGGATCTGCTTGTTTGTCACAGAAAAGAAATGCAACGGCACAGCCTTCTCCTGCACCAATGGAAACTGTGTGAATGAGACGTTACTGTGTGATCATAAAGACGACTGTGGAGACGGATCAGACGAACTCAACTGTTTCATTAACGAGTGTCTGAACAGCAAACTCAGCGGCTGCTCCCAGCTCTGCCAGGACCTCAAGATCGGCTTCAAGGTAAGGCTCAACCACAAAAGGAGTTAGTATATTCCAGTCCTTCTCAAATGGTGGGGCACGATGCCGGGGGGACGTGTGTGGAACATGCTTTTTTTTTTTTTGCTGTACTAGAAAAAAGTGTAATTGCACATCCACTACAGTATGGATGGCGCTTTCATTATCAGAGTGTGCACAGGGAGTATTAGTGTGATAGTGTTGGGTTTTTTGCACAGGACATACGCACATACAGCACAGAGCAAGAAATATGAAGTGCAGTGAACAAACCCTCAAGAGACACCCTGGAAAAATATTTAACAGGGATGAAAAGAAAGGCGGAGAAAGACGGAGATACTGAAACAAACGAGAGGTAGTCTCCTGAAAGTTAAGACAACGAAATATGACGAAGCGTACGTAGGACTAGGCTTCACTGTGACTATGGTGGGAAATGAGGAAAGACCGCTGTGTTTACCAAGTCTAAAAATGTGGGCAGTGGACAGCATGAAGCCAAATAAATTATGCTGTCACTTAAAGACATTACACCCCAGTCACAAGACTCTTGAGTTTTTTCAGCAAAAACGTGCCGAATATTGCCATCAATCATCCTGCTTTGTGAATGCTACTTCAGTAAACCAGCGAGCTCTGTTAGTATCATATAAGGTGCAGTGTTGGGATGGTTACTTTTAAAATGTATTCCCCTACAGATTACAGATTACATACCCCAAAATGTAGTTTGTAACATAATCCATTAAGTTACTTAAAGTGAGTAATGTAATCTGAATACTTTGGATTATTTGATATTGTCATGCTTTTTAAAATGACATAAAAAGTTTTGTCTGCTAAAAGAAAATAAAAAGCCCAGTCTTTCCTTAACCATATTAAAAATATTATTGATACATACTTTCTATATGAGATCATTACTGCCTTCAGTTATGTCCACCCTACTGTTAGGTGTTATATTGTTTAGTCCCGGTTTAGTCCTGGTTTTAGTCCTGGTTTAGACCTGGTTTAGACCTGGTTTATTCCTGGTTTAGTGCTGATTTAGTTCTGGTTTAGACCTGGTTTTAGTCCTAGTTTAGTCCTGGTTTAGACCTGGTTTTAGTCCTGGTTTAGACCTGGTTTTAGTCCTGGTTTAGTCCTGGTTTAGTCCTGGTTTAGTTCTGGTTTAGTTCTGGTTTAGCCCAAAATGTGAAAAGAGGAAAATACTGCCGTGTAATCCATTTATTTCAACAAAGTAACTGTAATCCAATTACCACTCACTGAAACAGTAACTGTAACTGAATACAGTTACTCATAATTTGTACTCTGATTATGTAATGCTGGTACATGTAATCTGTTACTCCCTAACACTGATAAGGCGGCATATCAAACTGCTCAGTGCAAAAAAAAACACACCATACTAGTGCATTAGATGTGGTTTCTGTCACTCTGGGTGACGAAAGTGCCCTGAAATATAACACGGACATCATTAAGGACGAGGAGGACACTGGAAAGGATCGCCTCATGACGCAGGTGAGCTCAGCTCGGATTACGGACGGACACATGCTGCTGCTGCGTATGTCCCAGGAGTCGCTTTAGAGACACAACTAAAACTCTGGTATGTAGGCGACTGAAGGAGAGCGTGAGATTTGTCCACGTTTTGGAGTGGTTCTGTGGGGTGGCAGGGCATGAAATGTTTTCTTCTTCCTCGAGGTGGCGTGACAGAAAATCATTGAGAACCACTGATATAGGCAAACTGTCTAAGCAAGTGGGCAAATAATCGAGCATAAAAGATGTAATGAATCTTTACTATAAAACTGTTCCTCAAGTTGTGGTACTGCTGGTGGCATGTGGGCCCTCTGTTGTATGAGTATTTAATTCCCTTATTTTCAGGCTGGTCTTTATACTTGTGTGTTGTGTCTCACAGTGCCGTTGTCACCCTGGCTTCAGACTGAAGGATGATGGGAAAACGTGCGTGGACATAGATGAGTGCAGCACCTCGTACCCGTGCACCCAACGCTGCATCAACACCCACGGGAGCTTCCACTGCCTCTGTGTAGACGGCTTTGTACTGAGCCCCAACAACCCCACCATCTGCAAGTCCACGTCAGGTCAGAACACGAGACAGATGCGTTACAGTCATAACACGGATCTGGATTTACTGAAAAATCTCCCAAATTTTGACATTCTTTCCCAGTTTGGTCATTTTTTGGGTTTAACTTTTCTTCTTTACTTAAATACAGATGAAGAGCCTTTCCTAATCTTTGCCAACCGGTACTACTTAAGGAAGCTTAACTTGGACGGCTCGAACTACACACTCATCAAACAGGTGAGAGCTGCTGCTTTCACTCTCCTCCTTAAATTCTCCTTAAAGACGAGGTATTATGCAAAATAGGCTTTAGAGCTTTCCTCCATGTTATGACATTGTTCCATTATTAAGAACATGCCTGAAGAGGTTTTAGATATCATTCATGCACGTTTGAGCAATCTAGCAATCTCTAGCGGGCCCTCTCTTTAGTATTAGCTGTGCGATTCAGTCCAATGCTCCGCCCACAAGCTCCAGCACTGCAATTTTCCATAAATACAGTGGTTCCTCGTTTATCGCAGGGGTTACGCTCTAAAAATAACCTGCAATAGGTGAAATCTGTAAAGTAGTTAGCTTTATTTTTTACAATTTATATATCTGTTTTAAGTCTGTAAAACCCCTCACCACATACTTTATACACTTTTTTCAGACAGGACAGTTACAAGCCTTTTTGCATCCTTCTTAAAACTTACTCAGCTGTCGTCCTTTTGTTATTTTCCTCCTTCTTTATGTAATGAACCGAAGATTAATTTATTTTGTAATGGCGTTTACACCTGCATAACTTCTACCTTCCTTCAGCATGTCTAGAAGTCCAACTTTTTGTGCGATGGTTTGCATCTTCCTCTGTCTTTTGGGTGCAAGCGCAGGAGTCTTTGCGTCTTTGTCAGTGCAGAAAGTTTTGTCGACATTGTGGGTTTTGTCGGGGAGAAAACCTGCAAACATACAACACTTCAGAATCACACTGACAGAGATCCAACATTTATTTAAATTTGGCAAGATGAACACATTCTGTACTGTACAGGAGGCTGACAGTGGTCTACAGCCAATCAGGACGCAGGGGGAGGAACACAAAAAACACAAAAACACACAAAAAAATAAAATAGCATGCAAATGGCACAAAAAAAAATCTGCGTAACAGCAAAACCGCAAAAGGTGAAGTGCGTTATCGTGAGGGACGATTGTAACAAAAAACAATACACTTTTAAAAGCCTTAAATGGACTGGCCCCACGTTACATCTCAGACCTCATCCAAATTTATACCCCCGCGCGCTCTGAGATCCGAGGGCCAGCTCCAGCTCCAGCCTAAGACAGGACTTAAAACCAGGGGGGACAGGACCTTCTCTGTGGTTGGCCTTAAGTTCTGAAACGCTCTGCCCCTTCATGTTCGAACAGCCCCCACAATGGAGAGTTTTAAGTCTCATCTTAAGACCCACTTTTATTCTCTGGCTTTTAATACCTCGTGAGTTGTGTGCTCCTCTGTGTTTTTTTTTGTTTTGTTTTGTTTTTTAATGTATTTTTATTGGTTTTATTTATTTATTGCTATTCTATGATTTTGTTCTTATTTTATTTTACTAGTTTTATTATTTTAAGACTAGTATGATTATTTTAGTAGTTTATTTTATCATTTTAATATTGTTGTTATTATTATGTATTTGTGCAGCATTTTGGAAACTGTTTGTTTGTGAAATGTGCTATAGAAATAAAGTGGATTGGATTGGATACGCTACAACTTCACCCGGTGCGATGTGCAGTCATTTCATTAGCATTCTGATTGTAATGTGATAATGCCCTGAAGGTTGAGTGACTTAGCATGGGGAGTAAGGGGAGGAGGGTCTTAGAGCATCAAAAGCAAACAGTTTGTGGTGATTATGGCATTTTCAGAACAATAAAATGTAACGTGGTGATTTAAATATGGTATGAGTTAGCAGTAATTACCCCATACGAGTGTAAAACCCGTCTGTAAATCCTCCCTGACGCCCGATGCTTTCCTCTGGTTTCATACAGGGCCTGAACAACGCCGTGGCCCTGGACTTTGACTACAGGCAGCAGATGATCTACTGGACCGACGTGACCACTCAGGGCAGCATGATCCGACGGATGTACATGAACGGCAGCGACGTGCAGGTGCGTTTACTGACAACTCGGTAAAAAAGAAATAAAATCTCATTAAAATCTGTGACGGCAGCTGGGGAGGGATGGATTTGGCAATTTCACATCTGGTTAAGTCATAAAACATCTGCTTAAGTTGGCTAATTAAAGTACCTTAGAGATGTGTATCCAGGTTTACTCTTAATTTCATTTAATTTCAGGTAACTTGAATTTCATGCAGTTTAATATGTGTATTTTTACTAAATTAAACTTGAATTCTGACTTTAAGCTTTATTTTATTACATTTTTTTCTTGCTCTAATTCTCGTAAACTTCTTTTGGGGGCTATAAACAGGAAACCGAAACCTGTGAATAACAAGACACAAAACAGATTGAGGAGAATTATTTAGGATTTCTGAGATTAAAGTCATATATTTTATTTAAAAACATTGAAAAAAAGTAGTATTTTATTTGGTCAATATTTTGACTAGAAAAAATTTAACAGTTTAAATTTAAAAAAAAAAACTATTCTGAGTTCCACAGTTTAACTAGCCAGGTTGGCGCCACCTAGTGCCTCTGCTCAATTTCATTTCTGTCCAGTGACTAGGTCAGGAATCAGAATACACTAGACAGTTTGCAAGAACCCCAGAAGTGTGAGTTCGGGCACCAGCCAATCAATGTTGTCAATGATTCCCAAGATCAAGGATTTAAAGCTAGAACAAAGAGAATGTTTGGTGAATTTTATCAAGGGGAAATTGTCATTGTTCTTCTTCTAATTTTGGAAAAGCTTAATATATCATTTAGCCCCGTTTACGGGGCATTACATACATCACGACCAAATAGCAGAGATTGGTTAAATGAAAAAAAGTACCCACCTACTGTCAAGCGAACGAATCCTAATGCTGCGAGGTCAGACATTTTCCACGACGTGAAACCGGCTGATGAATCAGGCTACCGTTTAACTACATAACTGGTCCATATTCCTTTTGTAGATATTAATTATATTGGCCCAATAGATTATCTAAACGGATTTAGACTTAGACTTCGACAAAAAGGGAAATTATTTGGACACAGTAGCTCACACATCATAATATTATAGCAAAGAGTAAAAAATATAAATGGTAATAATAAATGTGTCAGATAGTACACTGAACCTCCCTGAGTAACCTGGAGGGTGAATCCTGAAAAGTACTCAAAATAGCGGCTATAGAGAACATAACACTTTATAGTATCCAGACCGTGTACTATTGATGAGTACTGTTTCTCAGGTTCTACACCGGACCTCCCTGAGTAACCCCGATGGGCTGGCCGTGGACTGGGTTGGGGGAAACCTGTACTGGTGCGACAAAGGCAGAGACACCATCGAAGTGTCCAAACTGAACGGAGCCTACAGGACTGTGCTGGTCAACTCTGGACTGAGGGAGCCGCGGGCCATCGCTGTGGACGTCAGATATGGGTACACACAATTAAACTGTCTATGTCACATGTTTAATTTATGTGAATTGACTAACTGCAGGTTTGTTAGAGGTGAGGGTTTGACCAAATATTGAAATAACTAATTGTATATTGTGGCAGAAACTATATACAAAAACAATTAACTCCAATTCATTTCCTATAGCGGTCTAGACCATTGACGAAAAGGCTTATATTACCTTTTCATAGGCACAACTTAAACTTAATAAATATTCAATCCCCCCAAAAATGCAACAAAACTTATTTAAAGGTGCATTGTGTAACTTATCTGGTAGCGAGTCCTTCTCCATGGAGATGTTATTGCTTTGTCTGGAATGTTTCATAGTATGGCTTTAAAGCCACACCCACACCCCATGGGGGGCGTGGGTGTGGCTTGGCCTGCTCCGACTTGAGTGGGGATCTGAGGCAAAGCTCCAACACATACTTAACTTATTTTCAACTGAAATGAACTAGTAATAATACAGGTAAACAGTAAATCATCTGAATAGCCTGTCTGTCCCCCGAGCCCCCCGTGCACACACACATTCACACACACCCACACGCGCGCATATGCACACACACATAAGGTCCGCACTGTCACACACGCACACACCCATATGCACACATGCACACACATATGCACACACGCACACGCACACACACACACACGCGCGCGCACACGTGCATATGCACAGACAAGCATATGCACACACACATAATGTCCACACTGTCACCAGCCCATCACCTTTGTCCCTATTTGTATGTAATCTTCAGTCATAATGTTTGTCTTGTATCTTGTATGTTGTTTCGTTCCTATTTTTTGTAATGTATGTAGTTTGCAAATAAATTTTTTTTTTTTTTAAAGCAGGTAATGAACCCCCAAACAAAATGTTACATAGTGCAGCTTTAAGCCTTGGTAATATACATTTTAAAGCTTTGGTTCTCAGCTTTGGGGAGATTTTTGTTGAAAGTGAAGTTTCCAAGTGAATGCTCGTCTGAACGCTGCTCCTCCGTGCAGCACAGAGGAAACTGCTCAAGAACAGTACAGTCCCTTCATGTACAGATAAAACACGACATGTTCTCTAAACTGTTCATGTGGAAGTGTTCTTTCGCCTATTTGCACCTTGAAATTCGAGTGGTGGTGCTTTGTGCAGCGTGTACTGAGTCCCGCAGTTTTAGCATCTCTGCCCTGCCCCAAACCATTCCATGTATTATTGTCTACTACTACAATAGATCTATTTAAATAACTACTACTGCATCTAGGATTAGCACTAGGGCAATAGGCGTAATGCATTTTAAGACATCAATTAGAATATGTCTAATAATCATTTAAAATAACTGACTGAACGCACAAAATGGCAAACTGGCCACAAAGGCCACAGCCCTGAACAGGTGCTGGGGATCTTCTTAAATGAGAAGGTGGCTGCAGGTGAGGCAGGGTTGGTCTGGTCAAGTGCTCCACCAATCAGGGACCAGGGCTCTCACAGCAGGACACAAATCAGCCAGCAAAGAAATGAAAACACACAAAACAAGTCAGAGAACTGGAGACCTGGGGCTGTAACACTGAGTTTGTGTTTTTTCCTTTTGCATCTTCTCCATCTCTCTTTCACTCATGTGTTTAATAAAAATCCCACTAAATTAGAATGTGCCTAAATCTGCAGAGATGCATGACGATAATCAGCTGTTCACCCAACTATGAAATTATTCATTCTAGGCCCAAGACTCAGCTTTTTTACTTTATTTGAACCAATGTACAGTATGCCTAATGCTAGTTGTATTTCCCTGTGTCTCTCAGGTACCTGTACTGGTCAGACTGGGGGGACAGTCCTCACATCGGCAGGATTGGGATGGACGGGAGTAACAGGAGCGTCATCATAGAGGATAAGATCACATGGCCCAACGGTCTCACTCTGGACTTTATCAATGACCGGATTTACTGGGCAGATGCCAGAGAGGACTACATTGCCTTCGCCAGCCTGGACGGCACCAACAGACACATAGGTACCAGTGATGCCACTAACGCGCTACTTAGCAGCACATTACTGTAGTCCGACTACTTTTTTCAGTAACGAGTAGTCTAACACAGTGCTATTTCCAAGCCAGCAGTCAGATTTAAGTTACTTATCTAATACACTGTGCGTTACTATTTTTGCGTTTCAGGGCGACGTAGGTTATTTATTTATTTTTTATTTTTTGGCGACGTGGGTTATGTGACCTCAAAGATTGTATAAATCGTCTCTGGTGACACGTTTCCTATGATGTTACATCATCTACACTCCACCACGAGTCAGATGTAAACAGTGGAGGGAGAGACATATGCCTTTTGCAGCTGGAAATACAAACATTATTTTGATTTTATTTCAGATAAGGATGGCAACATAAAGGTTCGTTGTACACTCTGTGCTGGCGACAAAATGTTGTCTGCCTTAAAATCTGTTAAAATCTGCGGTTAAAATCCATGTCAGTAAAGTGAGTATTGGCAAAACTGGTAGTCATTTTTATGTTATCGGCTGGGGGATCAGCTGCTGCTGAAAGGAACTAATAAAGTAACTTGTAATCTAACTTAGTTACTTATAAAAGCAAGTAGTCATTAACTTAACTAAGTTACTTTTTAAAGAAGTAATCAGTAGTCACATTACCATTTCAAAGTAACTATGACAACACTGATAGATACAGCGTATTGGTGGATAGTCATGTATATTAGGGCTGTCAAAAGTATCAAAACTCAAGATACTAATCGATACTAAAACTATTATCAAAACTAGATACTCATTTGAGCAAGTATCAATACTAGAGAAGTTGCATTCTCTTGTGGGTCTTTAAATATGTCTGTCTCTAAAAAATCTCATAAAAATCCTTTCTATCTCCAATATGGACCTATATATCCTATCTAACGTTTTAGTTTTAACTTAATTTGTGTGCTGTTTGTGCCTCTCCTCTTGTAGTTCTGGCTCAGGACATCCCTCACATCTTTGCCATGACCCTGTTCGAGGAGTTCATCTACTGGACTGACTGGGAGACCAAGTCCATCAGCAGAGCCCACAAAACCCAAGGCACCAACAAAACCATGCTGATCAGTACTCTACACAGACCCATGGACATCCACATCTACCACGCCACCAGACAGCCAGAAGGTACCAACTAAACACACTACAAGGAACATCTAAAACTAATACAAGACTGTGATAGATTTAGAAAAATATTAGGAAACTGTGAGGTTAAATCAGAATTAATTCACGACTAGAACAATTCACTTAAAGCCACAGTTTTCAGCCAAAAAAGAGAATAGAAAAAAACTTGCTTTTGGGTTTTATTGCACAGAAAAACTTACTTGATTCTTATTTGCTTGTCTCCATGGAAATGTTTAGCCAGGCTGGTGCCACCTAGTGTCTCCACTCAATTTCATTTCTCTCCAGCGACTAGGTCAGGAATCAGAATAAACACGGTTTGCAAGAACCCCAGAAGTGCGAGTTCGGGCACCAGCCAATTAGTGAAAAGACATACATTCTGTGTTGGAAACAATTCCCAAGATCGAGGATTTAAAGACATAATAAAGAGAATGTTTGGTGAATTTTATCAAGGGGAAAGACGTTATTGTCCTTCTTCCTATGGGATTTGGGAAAAGCTTAATATACCAGTTAGCCCTGTTAGCGGCGCATTACATACATCACGACCAAATAGCTGCGATTAGTTAAATAAAAAGTACCTGCCTACTGTCCGTGAATGAATTTTAATGCTGAGAGGTCAGACGGTTTCTACAAAGTGAAACTGGCAGATGAATCAGGCTAGGAAATGTTATTCTTTTGGCTATAATTTTCCACAGTATGGCATTAAACTTGTCTATCGCGATGGAGAATGTTCCGAAGTATGATTGTTTTTTCCATGGAATCTTGCAGGTGATGGCTGATGTAGAGTTAGCTATTCTTGTAAAATTGCCCATGAATTTGTAAAAAATAAACTTGGTCATGAATCTCACCACTCAAACATTTCCACCTCTCAGATACCCTCAAAGGGCTCCACATTTTGGAGCAACATAAACATGACTTTCTGTAGCCTGACAGCATTGCCGCTGCTCAAAGTATAATGACATTTCCTGACTTCTGTTGTGTTTTTCAGTGGAGGGACACCCGTGTCAGATCAACAATGGCGGCTGCAGTAACCTGTGCCTCCTCTCTCCTGGAGGGGGCTACAAATGTGCCTGTCCCACCAACTTCTACCTGGCAGCAGACAACAGGCAGTGTCTGTCCAACTGCACAGCCAGCCAGGTCAGCAGCAAACTCTCACTTTACTTAAACCTGCTTCTAAAATCCATCACCAATTTCTACCATGATATTGTGACCAAAACTCCTTCTCAAATCTTGTCAGACCTCAGAAGCTGCGAAGCTGCTGTTTCTGGTGACACAATTAGGCAGCAATATCAAAACTTTCCTTGTGTCCTTAGGCAAGGCACTTCACACACATGCCCAGTATGAATGTGGTGTGTGAGTGTGAGGCGTTTGGAGGGCCAGTGATGTAGATTGGAAGGTGTAGAACAGGGGTGTCAAACTCTTTTTGGTCCAGGGGCCGTATCCAACCTACTTTGATCCCAAAGGGGCCGGAGAAAAAAAATAGTGGCATATATACTCCAAAAATAGCAATAAGTTCAAATATTTGTGCAGAGAAACGCAAACCTATTACAGAAATCTTTTTTAATTGATGAACTCTTTTTTTTACAAAATATTATAATATTATGAACAACCTGAAACTTTAAGAAAAATGCAATTTCAACACAATGTTTTAACATGAACTGCAAATAGGAATAAGTCAATTTTTCTTGTAAAATCCTGCACTTGGCGTCCACTTTTCTCATTTTTGACATTTTGCTGATGAGGGTGAAACGGTCAACAGTTCATTTGTGCTGCTCTGGTGGGAGGGGCCACGTACAGAGACGCTGGAGACGCTGCTATGATAAACACCACAGAAAATTACCAATATTTTAATAGAAATAAAATATAATTAAAATGTTTTAGTAGAAAATCAGCCGTGTAGAATGACTAATGCACAAAACTGTAAAACTTTGAGCTATAAGACTTATTAGTTAGTATTAGCATGAATATTATTATTGTGACGAAGGCTGCAAGACATTTTGTGAGCTAGAAACGTATGTCTTTTCATTTCGGTTTTTTTTTTTTCCTTGATTGTTAGAGTTTAAAATCAGGATTCGGGATTGTCCAGGAGCATTCATATTTGAAAGAAAAGCAAGAAAGCAGCTCCTTTTACTGAACAACTTCAATCTCTGCCACCAGTTTTTATCATGTCATTGCGACTACAGCTGCAAGAACATTTGTGAGCTAGAAACATCTCGATTTGCAAGTGACAATCAGATTTGCAACTGATGTTTAAAATCAGGATTCAGCTCACAGTGTATTTTAACATGTTCAGGAACATGCAAGAGATTTGAGAATATTTTTCAGTTTTGACCATTTTTAAAATCAGGATTCAGTTCTCATTTTTACAGAGTTATTAGTAAACGAAAATTGATTCATAATGATAGAATAATGTAATTGAAATTCTAATGTTTTCTCCTCCTTTTGCAGTTTGTTTGTAAAAATGACAAGTGCATCCCGTTCTGGTGGAAATGTGACACAGAGGACGACTGTGGAGACCGATCAGATGAACCTGCAGACTGCCGTGAGTCAACGCAACTATTCTACACAAAACTATCCAGGATGGAGGGGAAGGATATTAAAGATTTTTTTGTTGATCCTATATTTTACAGATTGTTTTGAGCCTTACCCATGTTATAATGTTGAAACCTCATCAAAAACATACCTGCAGTTGTGTTTTGTTTTGTTTTTTTTCCACACGTTTGAGTATTAGTTATTATTAGTCTGTCTGCATCTCCAAAGCAGCTTTTACTTTTGGTCCAGTAGAGAGGAAATTCCTGGACTGAAATTTTCCAGATGATTCTAGTGACGGTGTTTGAAAACATGGTGCACTTCCTGTATTACCACTTGATATTAGAGTGTTTTCTGTTTGAGAGAAAACCTCAGCCTAAATCTGCAGTTTTTGTGTGTTAAACATGTGTGAATGAAACAAAACACAACTCCAGATATGTTTGTGATGAGGAAACAACATTAGAACATCGATCAGAAAGTAGCGCAATGTGAAAAGACATGACCAAACTGAAAATCCACAAATATTATACCATACCATGTTTTGGATTGACTCCACAATTTCAAAGTAATTTCAAATCAATTCAGCTGACAGCAATTGCATCTTTGGGGGTTCCTGAAAACTACTGCGTCACTTTAATTTATTTACCGTATTTTTCGGACTATAAGGTGCACTGGTTTATAAAGCGCAATATCAATAATTTTGAAGTCTCTCGTGTATTTTCATACATAAATCGCACCGGATTTTAGGGAGCATTAAGAGAAACAAACAACACTTGAGACTGATCCTTAACCCAGGTACTCACGATCCATTGGCAGATCGTGGTGTAATTCGCCTGGTGTTGCCTCCTTGTTTCGGTGAATGTCGATTATGAATGTGAATGTAGGGGGATCATTTAAGTTAGATTTTTTTATTTCCTATGACGACGACTCAAATATACCTTGAGTAATAATGTGTTTAAAGCAGCTTTGCACACATTTGTTAACGTTTTGGAGAAACGAAACTTAAAACCACGTGGCTCATTTGCATAAAATATAAGCAGCTTGTTCCTTGTGCGCTGATGCGGTCAGCTTCTGTTGGACTTAGCCATAATGCTCAGACAATCCATCAAGCGGTGCGGCTTCGTATCTTACTAAAGTCATACTAAAACACAGATTTTTGAGCTCCGTGTATCACATAAAATCGGTTAAAGGTCAGTAAGCACAACCAGAATTAATTCATAAGGCACACAGGATTATAAGGTGCGCTGTCGATTTTTGAGAAAATATAAGAATTTTAAGTGCACCTTATAGTCCAAAAAATACAGTATACTGTCAAAAAAGACGTTAAAAATAGATTTTTTGATTCATGTGGACTGAGATATGAACCATAAACCAGGGCAACAAATCTGCAATCTGACAGTTAAGCAGCATTTTAAACTTTATTTATAACATTATAACAATTTATAATGTAATTTATAATGGTATTTTGTGTACCTAATTTGGTGAATTGTTTTGTGTTTTTTAGCTGAGTTTAAGTGCAGGCCGGGGCAGTTCCAGTGTGGGACGGGCATCTGCACAAACCCTGCTTATATCTGTGATGGAGACAATGACTGTCAGGACAACTCTGATGAAGCCAACTGCGGTACGTGACACAAAGCACAATACATTTAATATCAAGGCTGCACAAGAGGCAAAATGTGATACAGTGTGCAGAGGTGCATAGAGTAGTCAAAATCTTTAGAATAACATTACATTACAAAATAATATTATTCAAGTAAAAGAACAAAATGAACTTTTATATGTTTTCAGTGAAGGTAATGAAAGATTTTATTATTTGAAATATATATTTATCCAGAGAAAACAAAAAAATGTGGCTGTTTGCTGCAGGTGTTCCAATCAGTAGGACCAAACTGAAGACCAGTTTGGTTGAAACATGTTTGCTTTCGCCAGCTAAATAAAGGCCTTTTAACTATATATTTTTCTGGTCCTAGATTCCAAGTTCTAGTCCAAGATTAGTCCTGGTTTGGTCCTGGTTTAGTCTTGGTTTTGTCCTGGTTTAGACCTGGTTCAGCCCTGGTTTAGTTCTGGTTTAGTTCTGGTTTAGTTCTGGTTTAGACCTGGTTTAGTCCTAGTTTAGTCCTGTTTTAGTCCTGGTTTAGTCCTAGTTTAGTCCTGGTTTAGTCCTGGTTCAGTTCTGGTTCAATCCTGGTTTAGTCCTTGTTTAGTCCTGGTTTAGTCCTGGTTCAATTCTAGTTTAGACCTAGTTCAGTCCTGGTTCAGCTCTGGTTTAGTTCTAGTTTAGTCCTGGTTTAGACCTGGTTTAGTTCTGGTTCAATCCTGGTTTAGTCCTTGTTTAGTCCTGGTTTAGTCCTGGTTCAGTCCTGGTTTAGTCCTGGTTTAGTCCTGGTTTAGTCCTGGGTTTAGTCCTGGTTCAGTCCTGGTTCAGTCCTGTTCAGTCCTTTAGTCCTGGTTCAGTCCTGGTTTAGTCCTGGTTTAGTCCTGGTTCAGTCCTGGTTTAGTCCTGGTTCAGTCCTGGTTCAGTCCTGGTTCAGTCCATATACAGTGCACAAGTTCACCATATTCACATTTATTTTGGTGAGAGTAACTTAAAGTAATGCAATAGTAATGTAATTCCCTAAATTTTAAATGCAGTAATATTGTAAATATTGTAATAATTGTAATGAATTACTTTGAAATGACAGTAATAAGTCATAAATAACGCATTACAGTTTTAAAGTAACTTGCCCAACAGTGATCTTGTCTGCACTAATCCTATAAAAATGGTCACAGTTTGATAGAGCGCTTTTCCACCTTCAAGGCACCCAAAACACTTTACATCAAGGAACCACTCACCAAGTCACACACACATTCATACACCAGTGAACGCAGACTATGGGGTGAGGTGGGTTAAGAGTCTTGCCCAAGGACACAACAACATCATTCATCTGTGGAAGCTGGTATCGCACCACCAACTTTCTGATCAGTGGACAAATGCTCTACCAACTGAGCTACTGAGCTTCTCCTATTAATAAACAATCAACTGTGTTAAAACAAAGCTCAGATTAAAGTCAGAGAGTCAGACAGAGCAGTACCTCCAGATAGCATCACGCCTAAGAGACGGTTGACGACATTAGTGTATTGATTGTGCAGCCCAAACTTTAACCAGTGATGTTCCAAATGATTTGCCATATCACTTAACTGTATTTCCTTGACACGTGCAGATATCCATGTGTGCCTGCCCAGTCAGTTCAAATGCACCCACCCGAGCCGCTGTATCCCCGGAATCTTCCGCTGTAACGGACAAGACAACTGTGGGGACGGAGAGGACGAGAGGGACTGTCGTAAGTATACAACACACTGTGAGACTTTATCCTCATATTTTTACTTTTACCTCAGACAAAAAAACGTTAACTTAGCTGAAGAAATAACTCTTGAGAAGCTACAATGACAGCAAAACTAAAAAGCATGGATGACGGACAATTGTGGTTTGACTAGTGCCCAGAGAGAGAGAGATCGCTAGATTATTCAAACATGCGTGGATGACATAGAAAGCGCTTCAAGCATGATGAGGGAATAACATGATAGCACTGCAGAAAGCATTTTTGCATAATATCCCCTCTTTAAATAAATCTGAAATTGTGAAGGGAAAATTGTGAACTGAACCCCACAATTTATTCATGAAAAATTAGATCAAAATCTCGTCTTGTCTCGTTCTTATGGAAATTGGCTCGCCCTCAGTATTTTCATTTTCTGGTGGAGGGGAGCCTGCTTGTCTCATGGAGGAGTTATTGATCTTCCTTTTTTTTTTTGACTTAACATACTGTATAAAGTGCATCTTCAAATGGATTCATTGTATTAGTGACAGGGCATTGAATTTACTGGTTACATTACAGGTTTCTTTCATTTTATAAAAAGAGTGTTGATTCAAATTATGATTTTAATAGAGCGCTTTTATCTTTTATCAAAAATTAGTTTACTTCTTCACTATTTAGCGTTCAAAACTGGTATATTGGACAATTGATTTGTTTTTATTTCAAGTTTGTACCAAGAGAGAAACAGTAATCATACACATACTACATGTACATTTTAAACAAAAGAAAAGCACATTTCTCGATAAGTAGTTTGAAGAAGAAAAACTTAAATTAACCCGCCTCTATTCATGACATTGTTTCAAAAATGATGTGGTTGCTTATGTACATTGATCACAAAACTTTTTATTTATCTATTTATTTTTTTATGTATGATGTATTTATTTAGGATTTTCAAATATATAAAAGACAATTTATAAAGAGGTGTTTAATATTCAGGGCTAATATACAATATTAACAGTTTACAATGTACACACCTTAAAAAAAGAAACCAAAAACCCAAAAAGGCACAAAAACACAAGGCCAACACATCGCCACAAAACAAGAGAAAAAAGGCCTACCAAAGGAGGCCAAAAAGGCAAAAAATAAAAGCACATGCTACTAAAACATTGAGCATAGTTTTATCAGTCTCTTGATAGCCATGAATTTGATCACAAAACTTTACAAATACTTACATAAATGACACACTTCTTTTTTTTTTGTATTGTACTGTATTATGTTTTACAGTTATTATTTTATGGTATACTTTTTTTTCTTTTAATTATTATTATTACCATATTTATGTTTTTTTTTATGTTACTAGGTTCTTTTTTCAATCCAAAAGTTAGTTTTCATAGCTGACAGTTTTTTCTTCTCCCTGCACTCTTCCTCAGAGTCTCGTGATGTTTCTGTGACGTGTCTCTCAGCTGATTTATACAGGTTTGGGCGCTGTCTTCCCATCGGTGGAGGCAGGACGACAGCGCCACCTGCAGTCCCACTTCCTCAGGACAATATTAAAGGAGCAATCGAAACGTGCCCACGGGACTATAAACCGGGACGAGGGGCTTTTTTACTCTCACACACCTGGGATACTGTCCTGAGGAAGTGCGACTGCAGATGGCGCTGTCGTCCTGCCTCCACCGGTAGGAAGACAGCACCAAAACCTGTTTAAATCATCTCAGCGACACGTCACAGCAACATCACGAGACTCTGAGGAAGAGTGCAGGGAGCAGAACAAACTGTCAAGTATGAAAACAAACTCTTGGTCTGAAAAAATAACCTTATAACTTAAATTATCAGAAGACCAAATGAACCTCACTGGACTATGTTTTTGTTTTTGTTTTGTTTTTTATCATCCAGTGCTGTCACCCACCCTTATACCACAAAAGCAAAAACTCGAATTTCTTTTGAAGCTGTGAATATTTGGGCACTGCTTCAGGTTTTCTTCCAACCCATTCGACAGACTGACCCCACACACATGGACACACACACACACACACACACACACACACACACACACACACACACACAGATACACAGACACACAACCATCTTTGTTTTAAATGTACTCCTTCCCCTTAATTCAGAGAGTACTTCTTGTGTCCTGAATAGTTTTTGGATATTTAATAGCAGTGCATTTTTGTTTGATTTATACTTAAGCAAAGCAGTGTCAAATTTCACTAAATCAAAAAATTTTAATAATTTGGATTTGAAAAAGAATATGATCACAAAGGTGGAGTTTTAGACAGTAGCTGGAACATTAAGCCTTCAGATTCATACGCAGTAGTAACTCCGCACACCCAGTCCTTTAAATAAAATGATGAGGTTCTACATTTATGAAAGCCCGAGTGAATCCAGAAGTGATGGCTTTAAAATGAAATACTTAGTGAGAAATTATGCTTTCTGAAGGACGACTTTTTGTCCAAACCCTGACATGTTTTATAATGCAGAGCTAAATGGGGCCATTACTAAAACGATTTCAGCCCTCGTCCCTGTCCCTGCTGAGTCTCCTGACCTTTACCTTCGGCCAAAACCACCAAATCTGCACAAAAATAATCGGCGTGACATTTTCTAAAACCATTCATCTTCCACAGGGACGTCACACGCACCTGTCGCACCTGTCACGCCTGCTCACAATTTACATTTTAGCCCCCGGCCAAAAAGATTTAAGAATAGAACGAAAAACTTCAGCGAGTTGATCATTTTTTACAATATTTCTTTACATGATTTATACCATTTTATGACGTATGTGTAAGTATTCGTCTTTGTAGGTGCACTTTTCTGTTATGTTCGCTTTTCTTTCATTCACGTTGTTGCATGTGTTTCATAGATTTTTTCCTCAATATTTAAATAAAAGAACAAAACCAAAATTAAACAAAAAATCTTTAAAAACAGTGAAATATAAAATTGAACGGTGCACTATGTACAGTGTTGGGAAGTAACGGATTACATGTACAGGCATTATGTAAGAGAGTACAAATTATGAGTAACTGTATTCAGTTACAGTTACTGTTTCAATAAGTAGTAATTGGATTACAGTTACTTTATTGAAATAAATGGATTAAATGGCAATATTTTCCAATTTTCACATTTTGGACCAGGACTAAACTATTTTCTTTTAGAAAACAAAACAAAACATCTCATGTTAAGATTTCCTAGTCTTTGCTTCTCTACAGTAAACAGAATAGAAGAACAAACAAGAATTTTCAGGATGTGGTTGATACATTCATGTTTAAAAAAGCATGACAATATCAAGTAATCCAAAGTATTCAGATTACGTTACTCACTTTAAGTAATTTTATGGATTACGTTACAAACTACATTTTGGGGTATGTAATCTGTAATCTGTAAGGGAATATGTTTTAAAAGTAACCTTCCCAACACTGACTACGTAACTTTTCTAGTGAGGGAATGTTTCACAGCGTGGAATTAAACATATCTATTTTCTAGGGATGTGACGATATCCAAATCTCTCGGTACGATATTATCACGATATGCATCTCACGGTACGATATTTATTGCGATGTTTTGGAGAGGCTGATATAATTTTAGATAGGACACGTTGCTGTTTTTAAAATGCCTTGACAAGATTTTGTTGTGAATTATTTCCGTCATAATCCCAATTCAAGTCAAAAACATATTTCTTCATGTTGTCTGCACTGAAATGAATCATGGGATATGTAGTTTCTGAAGTTCATAAACTGTTGCTACTGTAAAACGATGCATTTAAACAAAGGAACTTGTAATTCAATATATTGTGACAGCCCACGATATTATTGTGAAATTTCTGACTATACAAAATCACGATATTTTGGTTATTGTTACATCCCTACGATCTTCCATTTATTATGTTTTATTACTCAAAAATATGTTAAAAATACGCATTCATACTGCGAGCGGAGTCGTCTGCACAGGCCTGACGTGTAACTTGGCCTGGTGGTATCACCTGAAAAACTTAATGCCATACTACGGAACATTAGCCACCTAGTAACTCCACATAATTTCATTTCTCTCCAGTGACTAGGTCAGGAATCAGAATACACTAGACGGTTTGCAAAAACCCTAAAAGTGCGAGTTTGGGCACCAGCCAATCAGTGAAGAGCCAGACATTCTGTGTTGTCAACAGTTCCTGAGATCGAGGATTTAAAGCCGCAACAAAGAGAATGTTTGGTGAATTTTATCAAGGGGAAAGATGTTATTGCTCTTCTTCCTATGGGATTTGGGAAAAGCTTAATATACAAGTTAGTCCTGTTAGCGGCGCATTACATACATCTCGACCAAATAGCAGCGATTGGTTAAATAAAAAAAGTACCCTCCTACCGTCGACTGAACGAATTCTAATGCTGCGAGGTCAGACGGTTTCTAGCTGATGAATCAGGCTAGTCGAACACTACAGACAAAGTGAAAACATCTTCAGGCTGGGTGTACCATTCACCAGGAAGGTTGCATAGTGCATCTCTACGACAAACAAATGTATTTAAACGATTCCACTGCTCTTTCTCTGCTTTGTCCTTCATCCTCAGCAGACACAGCCAGGTTTGAGTAATTCTATATATTGATTTTCCCTTTAGAGCACTTAAAGTAGAACTAAACACTAAATCAACTTTGTGTCTCTGCTAAACTGTGTATACGGTGTTTTACGCATTATCTACAGTTCCAGGCTTTTTGGTCAAAAACATATAAAAATAAATGTGGCTCCAATAGGCTCACGCAATTCACGCTTACGTCACAAACAAGGAAGATGTTTGGAAACATGAGATGACAACTTCTGGTGTAGTTCCCGACATTGGGCTCACCAACCGACTGTGATCAAACCCACTGAAGTAAATGCTGTTTGGAATCATCTGGAATTTGGCACCTCATCTCTTCTAATCACATGTACCCAGTGCGTTCTGAGTTGTGTGTCAGTGGGGAAATGATGAAAACTGAAGTATGGTTGGAACTGTTGATGAGCCGAACATAGCGGAACACTACAATGACATGGAGATGAAGAAAACTGGGACATTTTCTCATTTTTCCTAGATTTTGTCAGATTTACCACTGCAGACAGAGCTCGCCGGAAGTTGTCATTGCATGTTTTCAAACGTCTTCCTGATTTATGATGTAAGAGTGAATAGAGCCTATATCCTCTGCAATTGTGTGTACTTGGTGACATCACAAAAGACTGCCCTGAGTACAGACAGGTGTTTCTGTTTTCAAACACCTGGCTGCAGGGGTGGAGTCTGCGCAGGACAGATTTTTCAGTCCCGCTCCCGCACTGTGCAGTCCTGCTCCCGTCCGCTCTCACAAAGAAATGTAATTTTCAGTCCCGCTCCCACTTGCCTCTGCGCTATTTTGTCCCGCAGGATGGGAACCTTTGCTTTCTTAAGCTCTATCAAACACAGAGAAGTAAAAGGAATTGGTTTGCGTACGGGAGGAGGAGCGGTGGGCGGTCCGGCGACATGGTTAAGTCCTGGCTAAATCCTGTTTTAGTCCTGTTTTCGTCCTGTTTTTAGACCTGGTTTAGTCCTGGTTTAGTTCTGGTGGGCTGGGGGGGGTCCACATGGCGTATGGGAGGGGTGGGACGGTCTGCGCGGCGTGCGGACGTGGGAACTCTCCGCTCAGCGTACGGGAGGGGGGATGGTCTACTGCTTAAAATGTTTTTATTAATGCCAAATAAAATATCCAGCACAAATGATGCATGATAGTCTTACATTCATCATTTGTATATTTTACTTTACACTCATATCTGCTTTGCGGGACTGCAGTTTATCATCCCACCCGCCTGCTCCTGTGTTGTGCAGTCCCACTCCCACCCGCGCCCGCAGTGAGCTTTCAAAATGTGTCCCGTGCCGCACTGTTTTGCGCCTCTAGTGCAGGGCTCTAGTGTGGATACCTCTGTTCAGCCAATCACATTTTCCTTATACCTCCACGTGCCCTTCCTCCTCCCCCTCACTCTCCCCTTGAATCCTCCAAGTTCTGCCCAGTTTAGCAGCTCTATTTAAAATGTAGTTGTGGGGGGAGATTAAATATTTAGTTCTACTTTTATAAGTCTGCCAACACCTCCTCACTGTTTATTTAAGTTGTGTAAATGTTGTTTTTTTTCAGCGGAGGTGACGTGTGCTCCAAATCAGTTCCAGTGTTCCATCACCAAACGCTGCATCCCCCGAGTCTGGGTCTGTGACCGTGACAACGACTGTGTGGACGGGTCTGACGAGCCCGCCAACTGCAGTAAGAACTACACACAGATAATACACAACTGCACTAAGAAGTACACTCAGAAAATACACAACTGCAGTAACAACTACACACTAAAATATACACAACTGCAGTAAGAACTACACTCAGATAATATACACAATTCCAGTAAGAATAACACAAGTATGGAGTTCGCAAACAAATTTGTGGAGCCGCTTTCTGCTGTTAGGATCCAACAACCACACAGTTGCGATGTCCGAATCCTAAAACTAAAATATGACAATATCAGAACCAGAAACAAAAGTGATATGGTTCAAAAGACTTGAAAAGATCGACTTTGTCAATAGACTCATCCCACTGGGAAAACAAACATGGCGGTTTGATGCTCACTTTATTGGAAAATCCTTCCCAGTATGCATTGCACAATGACCGGAAATCCGAGATTCTTGATGTGTGTATTGAATCCATTGATGTTGTTCCACTGGCGCTTTACTTCAAAAACATTAGCACTAAAGAACATATACTGGACTGAAAACATACAAGTCTGATAATAATGTTGTCCTCTCTGTTTTTAGCCCAGATGACTTGTGGAGTGGATGAGTTCCGCTGTAAAGACTCAGGACGCTGTATCCCTGCTCGATGGAAGTGTGACGGAGAAGACGACTGTGGAGACGCCTCAGACGAACCCAAAGAGGAGTGCGGTAAGAGCTCTTTCATATTTATCTGCTCGGAATCCAAATAATAAAACCAAAATCATTCAGTCTGGAGTACCTGAGCTTCAAACCATCAAAATAGATGCTACGTAGTTAAAACTGTTAACCGTGACTCGACTGACTTCCCAGCTCACAATAGTTTTGGCACATTGCTTTTTTGGCACATGCACATGTTTTTAGAAGAGCCTTTTCAGACAGCCAACTTCTGTCACTACAAAACAGAACAAAACATAACCTTAGAGTTTGCAGATGATAAAATCCTTCACTATAATTTGATGCAGACCGCACACGGCATAAACAACGACTTTTACTACTTTCACTCAGCCATTTATCTAACGTGTCCTTCATTGTTTTAACTGTGGTCAAGGAACATTACAATCTTAAGTGCAGTTCAAAGTACTTTATATTTTACTGCATTTTAGTGCAAAAAAAACCCCATACATTACCGAACAAGAAGGGTCTGTTAAAAGGCAATCACTAAAACATGGATGTCAATAATAAATGTATTTCTAAAAACCATTCATATCAGCGTGTGTGCCTTTTGTATTTTATTGAATATCCTGATATCTCCATGTTTGTGTTGTGCAGATGAGAGGACGTGTGAGCCGTACCAGTTCCGCTGTAAGAATAACCGCTGTGTGCCCGGGCGCTGGCAGTGTGACTATGACAACGACTGTGGAGACAACTCGGATGAAGACAAGTGTGGTACGCGCCTGTCTATTTTAATAGAACTGTGGGCCTGTGTTTTATAATAGAACTGTGCTTTACTGTAGACAGCAGAGGTGGAGACTAGAACCAGACACTGAATAGAAAAAAATAAATCTAATGTTATCATTTTGTAAGAAAGCAAAACGTTCGTAGAAATGTATTCTCTCAAGTAGTTGTCATCTTAGAATCTCAGTTGTTTTAAAGCTGCTCTATGTAACTTTTATGGTTCAGTTTGAGAGCTTGGCCTTGAACGTTTCATACACATTCATACATGACGTTAAACTTTTTTGTGGCCATGAAGACAAATGTGATGCCACGTACCAGGTATTTTTGTGCAAAATATGCTTGTAATAATATAAATACAAGATATATAAAGGTGGGAGCAAGTCCCAGAGGTGGGACATGCAAGTCGTGATCGAGTCAGACTTGAGTCACTATTTTTAGGATTTGAGACTTGACTTGATATAAATGAATAGACAAAGACTTGGGACTTGACTGGTACATGTAGGTCAATGACTTGGGACTTGACTCAGATTTGAGGCCTGTGACTTGAGAAGACTTGATGCTTCTCCTAAAAATATATATGTTTTTAGAAAATACTTTTCTCTTTATAGTTGATAAATGTGGTGCTTATTTTACAGAAACAAACTGGAACTTGTCCCTCCCACTTTTGTTTGGTACTTTGGATGTAACTGAAGTACTGTGATGTGGTATCCTCAAATGTACTACAGTAATATACAGTACAATACAGTGAAACAGAGGGAACTAGAAAGAACATGATCCTTCAATTTCAGTGCAGAATATTTGACAAAATATTTGTGAAGCACTCTTAAATCTTAATTCTTTCTATTCTGACAAAATCTATTCTGAAAAAATTGCATTTCTACAACTCATATATCTTATATAAATACTCATATACCATGACATTTTAAGTACAATTTAGTTTAAAGCTCATATAGTTCAAAGCTATATTTGGAACTTGGTTTAAAGACTTGAAATGACTTGAAGCTCAAAACAGAAGACTTGGACTTGCTTGTATTTGACTTGGGACTTGACTTGGACTTGAGGTCAAAGACTTGAGACTTACTTGAGACTTGCAAAACAACAACTTGGTCACACCTTTGTTAAATACCATACTGTGGAACATGAACACCCCAGCCCAAGTATCATCAGGTAACATCTCCATGGAGACAAGTAACTAAGTGCACTGTTAACATTAGGTTCTCTGAGACTTCTATGTCTAAGGCCGCAATCTAGTACTAACTTTTACCTGATTAAGACATTACTCAAATAAAAGTAGTTATGTTACATTTGAAAGTAGTGATAGTAGTAGGAGTAGTAGGAGTAGTTTGTGAAGTACCAGAGTGATTGTGAGTCCTCCTTCCACCTCTGTTTTCTGTTGTTTAAAGAGCTTCACTGTTGTACATCTGTTGTGCGTCTGTGGTTCTGAACACATTATGAACACTGTACTCTTGTCTCATTGGACTCATGGATTCACCTCACTTCATGTGTTCATCTCATGTTTGTTTTGCATCTCTCTGGGCTGTGGGCAGAGGTAGGTTTTGTGCAGCTCCACCAGGCTCTCCCTCTCTCTCCTCTCTCTCTCCTCCTCCTCCCTTATGTCTGATTCTCTCTCGGCCTTCGCTCTCCCTGCTGGTCCCAATAGCTCCTCTTCTGTAGCCTGACCAGCCATTTTACATGATACTTATTGTTTTGTTTTTGTTTGTTTTTTCTGTGAGAGATATAAATTTGATTCAACCAACAATTCTTACCTTTTGAGATGTTGATCCGAGCCTCCTATGACTCCCATAGTACCACCGAAGATTTTTACCCCATTTTCATAGAACATCCAGTCTCAGCTAAAATGTTGAAATGTTGATTACAGAGTGTTCAGAATTAGACAAAAATACAAAAAGAATTCCATAATATTAAGCTTTCTAGAGACACTAGACACTAAATGGATTATGTGGTGCCACCCCTCGTCATCATCAGACTTACCTGAAATACATGAAATATGCTGATATATTTATATATTTATATTTTCAAACCTTGTAATTCACTCATTTTTTTAGACCAGCACAAACCCTCAACTAGACTGGGGTACTTAACCTTTTTGACACTAAGGCCCAATTTTTCCAGTGCAGAGTGGCCCGGGACCCATTAAATATTAACACTGTATAGAGTGAATTGATCTCACTCATTTGTATTCAATAATAAATCAGAGCCACTCACAGTTTAACAAGCTAAAACCTGAATAAAGTGTAATGAATAATAACATGATGTGATAAAATGTGATCACCACAAAGATTTTTATTTAACCTATATTAACTTTTGCTAATAATACATGGAACAAATCAAGTAAGTAGGACTTATTAATAATAAAGACCCATATTTAGATTAAACTTTTAACAAAAAAAAAAGACTCAGAATTAAAAAATCTAAATCAATCAATCAATAAAAAAGATAGTTTCAAAGATAGATAAAATAATAAAATATATATAATTTTGTGTAGTGTATTATTGTTTACAATTGTGATGCCAACAAATTTTGATTCTGAACTCTAAAAAAATAAGTTAGTGTGTCTGTAAAGCGAGCTAACAAGCTAAATGCTGATATCCTAAGCAGTCCCTTGGCCCTCACGGCCCACTGGTGCAAAACTGAAAGTTTTTTGCGGTCCTCTAGGTGGCCGTAGAAGCTCAAGTTTGGGCCACGGCTCTATGGTTAAGAATCACTGAGCTAGACTTCATTACAGTATTTCAACTATTACCCCATCTTGCGATAATAAGAGAATTTTGAATAAATATCTGACATTATTTTGTAAATCAGGTATATCCCCAGATTATTTGTCCAATTGCTGATCTGATATGTGTCCAAAATGTGTTTAACTTTACACAGAACCAGAATATATGGGTATGGTGAGGCTCATTATCACCACAAATCCTCCAACCTGAAGAGTTATTTGAATTCCAACTCATTTGCCGCTCAGGTTTTATGAAGAAACATATTGTTATTTTCTATTAGAATTCTTGCCAATAAGAAGAACAAGAAGTTGAGCTGTTTCACGTATGTTCTCGCTCAAATTTCACTGCCAATCAAGAGACAGGCGATCTGCTCTTGAATAGCTCAGTGCTTTGTGTAACTTTTCTGGTAGAGCGTCCACCGTTTCAACTCCATTTTTTATTTTTTTTTCTGAAATCATCTCCAGTATGGCATTTAATTTCACAAAGACAAGCAGGCCACATTAACAGGCCAAGTTACAGGTCAGATCTGTGGAGAAGTGGACCCGCTCACCGTAATAATGCATGTTTTGGCAGTAGTTTGGAAAAATAGAAACACCTGAAACTGAATAAATACACTATATAGATTTATTTAATGCCAAAATCCCAGGTAAAGCAATAACAATCCATCAGAAAAGTTACACCAGATGTAAATATGTGCTGGCCAGGCTACAATGTTCTCTGTCTGTTTTAGTACTTTACCTGTGCTTTTGTGGCCTATACTTCAAACCTTTTTACTTGAATAACTCCTTTTCCTTGTTTTTCTATCAAGCCCCTTGGTTGCAGTTTACTCCTATATACTTTCCTTGTATTTTCCATACCTCTCTGCTCCATCTCGACTCCATCTCGACTCCTATATCTCCTTTAAATCAGCTCAAATGTCCGCTCTCTCCCCCAGTGCCTCGCCAGTGTTCGGAAAGCGAGTTTGCCTGCACCAATGGACGCTGTATCGCCGGCCGCTGGAAATGCGATGGAGATCACGACTGCTCAGACGGATCAGACGAAGTAATGCATCTCTTTTCTATTTTCCGCTTGGCTGGGCTTTCACTTTGGCTGTAGATTTGTGGAGCTAAAGGAGGTAGTGCTGTCACGATTTTAATAAAAGTTTGATACTAAGGAATAGACTTGATACTCAATACCGATTCCGATACAATAATGACAACAAAAAACTTTACTCAGTAGAATGATTTTCAACATTAAATCGCAGTACTTTCTTTTCTATTCCCATGTGGTCTGTGTAATCGTCAGTAGTCTAGGTAGGTTCCATAGTGGTCCATGGATGTATACTAGTCTATGTGCTCTTATACTTGTTCTTATATAGCTCAAGATCATTCTAAATTCAGGAAAGGTTAATTCTGTCATGTGAATTTGACATTTTTAATATCAATACCTGCTCAAATTAGTATCTGATTTTCAGTACTTTTGACAACTATAAAAGGAGTACCGTACCAGCCAAAAAAATGCCTAATGAAGAAGAAAAAAAACATATATAAGTCATACAGGACTATAAGTCACACTTTTTGGGGGAAATTTCAAGGCAAGTTCTAGTAATAACAATAGAGCAGAGAACATAAGACTGTTAACGTCACATATGAACAGTTCTTCAGATAAACTATAACATAATCAACAGAACAGAACAAGTTTACCGAACTCTCCATCTCACTCCAAATCACTAAATTCTTCATCCTCGGTGTCACTTCTGAGCAACTCGGCCTCGACCTCCGGAGGTAAACAGAGCGCCGCTTCCTCTTCTGTGTAGCTGTCGTCAGACTCAGCATCAGTTCCAGTTAGAATTATTCGGGCCTTTCTGAATCCCAACAGGATGGTTTCGTTGTCACTGAAGTCCAGACTTTGTCCATCCATCCAGTGACTTCAGGAAAGTTTCATGGTGCATCCTCCCGGTGTCACAAGTTTCTCGCTCACTCCAAACTTTCTTTCTGCTGCTCGATTACCGTTTTCAGCTGGAGATTTCACGACTTGCTGCTTCAGTTAATAAATTTGTTTAAATTTAGAATTTTCAGAAGTAATGGTTGTGATCGACTGACATGATACAGACAGGACAGAGGCTCTTTCTGCAGGAGACATGTGCAGTAGAGTGAAGTGACAGTGGTACAGGAGGAACAGGAGCAGCAGATACTCACACACAAGACTAGAGCCTCTCACCGCTTCAATGTGAAAATTGTAATATTTAAGTCACACCGGAGTATAAGTTGCAGGAAACACCCAAACCATGAAAAAAAGTGTGACTTATAGTCCAAAAAATATTGTATTTATTTATCTTTTTTCTTTCTGCAGAACGGTTGTGATCTGAAGTGTGACAGTGATCAGTTCCAGTGTAAGAGTGGACACTGTATTCCCGTTCGCTGGAGATGTGACGCTGATCCGGACTGTCTGGACGGGAGCGACGAGCAGCAGTGTGACAGCGGAGGTCAGGAAAATTCTTTTGTTACTGATACTTTGTGGTTACATCATCATGCTGGGAGGCTATATATGTATGTCTACGGAGGACTGTTCAGCAGTTACCATGGTGTCACAATGCACATGTTAGCAAAAAAGCTCCAAAAAACACTTCATTAGAGTGTAGCTTCAGTTCAGCTTTATCTGGGTAAAATAAATAATAATAAAAAATATCATTTATAGGAGCTTTCATGCCTTAAACATTTAATGAATTCATCAAAACAAAAATTCATTGATCAGTAAAATAATTGTTAGTTACAGTCTAATCACAAAGTTTATTTTAATGTGATCCAAAGTTATTCCTGTCTTACCTTCTGCATTTAGAGCATCCTTATTACTCAGCACAGTGAGACTTTCTGATTATTGGAGAGTAAGCAGACAGCTGCTTATACAATATATCTAAATAACTGCCTACTTGCAATGCAAAGAATAAAAACTCCAAAATACTGTGAAGACCACAGTAAGAAATGTGAAGATGATCACATAACAGCTCTTCTAAATACTGCATAAGCCTCTCGACTTTCTCTTTCTGTCTGTAGTGGATCGACACTGCCCCCAGGATGAGTTCCAGTGCAACAACACCCTGTGCAAACCTCTGGGCTGGAGGTGTGACGGAGAGGACGACTGTGGAGACAACTCTGACGAGGACCCAGAGCAGTGTGGTAAGAGTCACTCTGTAATCATTATCATTTAGAAAATCTGCAGGTAATCTTATATCTTTATAATAAACACATGTTTATATCTACTGTTCTTTTGCCCCCTCAGTGAGGTTCCAGTGCCCGCCCACACGTCAGTTCCGTTGTCATAATGACCGTGTGTGTCTGCCTGTGTCCAAACGCTGTGATGGAGTCAACAACTGTGGAGACAACAGCGACGAACTCAACTGCTGTAAGTTACACACTCCAAATAAAGCTCCTACTTTTCTCCACATACACACAGATTCTCTTAAATAATACCACATCTCCTCTCTGCCCCCACTCTCCTCTCTGTCTGACCTCCTCTCTCCCCCCTCTCTCCTCTGCCTCTCTGCCTCTCTCTCTCCTCTCTCTGCCTCTCTCTCTCTCCTCTCTGCCCCCTCTCTTCTCTCTGTTTGATCTCTCTCTCTCTGTCTCTGTCCTCTCTCTGCTCCTGCGCAGTGCCTCCCTCTCCTCCCGTCTGCCATAAGGATGAGTTCCAGTGCTCGACTGGCCGCTGCATCAGCGTGAACCTGCGCTGTAACTATTTCAACGACTGTGAGGACTACGGCTCAGACGAACTCAACTGTAACAAGAAAGGTCTGCTTATCTAAAAAGGGCATTCATATAATTCTAGTTATTTTTAACAAATGCCAAACTGTGCTTCACTGTGCAGTTAAAACACATACAGTAATATTTTGATAGTGTACTATCAAAACACTGCTGTTCTTCTTTTACTTCTGTTGTGATCATGCAAATAAACTTCTGTGATCTTATCAAAGTCATGTTTTCTTCCTCCTGTCAGACGGCACACTGAATGACTGCCACAGTAACAGCTCAGTGTGTGGAGATGGAGACGAGGCTCACTGTGTGATAAACGGCACTGACTCCTTCTGCTCCTGTAAACCTGGTTTCAAATCCATCGGACACAACCGCTGCCAAGGTACAAGACCATCACAAAGATTTACTATAAATGAAGGATTTTACATGGCTACAAGATAAATTGAAACTTTAATAGACACAATTATGAACAAAGACAGCAATTATTTACATACTAAAATATATTGTCTCCACTGGGTCTTATTATTTTTAACACCAGTTATGAAGTGTATTTAATTAATGTATTAGTCTAGTAGTTCATATTGTGAAGGAAACTTATTCTGTGTTTCTCCAGTATTGTGCAGCCTTATTGCACGTGATCATGGACCGGTTGTGTTGTCTCCAAGTCTGTGATTGGGATTGTTGTGTTGCAGATAAGAACGAGTGCAGTGAGTTTGGCGTCTGCTCTCACATCTGTAACAACACCAAAGGCTCTCACAAGTGCAGCTGCCACAAGTTCTTCAGCAGGATCAACGGCACGTGCAAGGCTGACTGTAAGTACACGCTTTTTAACGGGATCGCCAAGTACTAGTATATCTGCATCAATATCAGTGATGTCCTAGAGTTTTCCTCGCCTGAGCAGCCATTCCCTTCTACATTCAAAACAAAATATACTGTATAACTTCTTTAACTTGAGATAAGTGAGAGTTTGGTGCTTTGATTGTTGATTCAGCAAAAATCCACGGTGTTTCTCAATACTTGTTGTTGTTTTTTAAGTGTAAGCAGCTATGTTTGTTTTTGGAGGATGCATCTCTCTGACTATTTGATCCATCCTCTGAAATCGGGGAGACAGGATGTAGATCTAGATCCACTCATCTTTGTAAAGTTTTGTCAAAGTATGTGGTTCTGGCTGGCAGATATTTTTTTCTACACTGTCCCAGTCTCTTTGTGTCATTCTCTGTGGATCTTCAGTGCTTCAGATTTGTTTTTTAAAACAGATTAGTGAGTTCAAATAGAAATAGAGGAGCAGTTAGGTTAAAAATATGGCTGTATGTGAGAAGGGATCCCCTCAGTCCAAGCTGCTTCTTCAGTTCTGGTCAGTTAGCTCCTCCCTGCAGATATGAAGTGACCAGAACTGAAGAAGCAGCTTGGATGAGCTGCGAAACGTCTTCAACCAAACTAACTTTTGTCCATTCGACAAACTGAATTTTCTCCTCGTCATCAATATGGCTGCATGTTTACACAATCATGTAACAAATGATTCTATTTCTCAGATACATTTGGTTATTATTTTTTACAGGAGTGAAAAGTGAATTTGTGAATGTAACTATAATATAGTATAAATTTATGTACCGTGGATTTTTAAATCTTATTCTACTATGAAAAAATACACATTGGACCATACTTATTTTTATACCCTATGTTTTCATGGTTCTTTGTTTCTGGTCATGAGGTTAAAAACATTTTAACATGGTGGAGTGGGGTTTTGGATTAGGGGGTTGGTGTTCCTCCACTGACCCAAAGTGTCATTCCGATGTGCTGTGTTAAGTTTGCATGTCCTCCCCTGTTGAAGCTGACTTTGTAGTGACAGCGCTTTGAAGGGGGAGTGACTGAGAGAGCAAGGGGAGCAGAGACTCAAAAACTAAAGTGAATCTAATTAAACACTTTTTTGTTTAACATAAATTTTCTGATGCCTAATCCTTTTTTTCTGCTCACATAATCCACCCTGACCTCAAACATTTCTCAATTCTGGAAAGATATGTCAAATGTACAAGCACTTTTTATTTACATATATATATTACATAACACTTGTATAGCGCTTTTCAAGATACTCAGAGACACTTTACATGAAGAGACCAACAAAGACAAGCAAAAGAAATAAGAAAGTTAATGAAAGGAGGTTTTAAAAAGGTGGGTTTTCAGGGTAAAGTTCTGGATGTACTGGACTCTGTTGAGAAAATGTAATATAAAATGCACAACTTTCTATACATCGAGTAAACAAACATGATATCTGTACTCTACATTAATAGTCTGTTCCTCTCTCTCTCTTAGCTCAGCGCCAGGTCTTATACATCGCCGACGACAACGAGATCCGGAGCCTGGACCCCGGGGTGCCGAGCTGGAGGTATGAGCAGATCTTTCAGGGAGACGCCAACGTTCGGATCAATGCCATGGACGTGCACATCAAAACCAACAAAGTGTACTGGACCAACTGGCACACCGGGCGCATCTCCTCCTATGACCTGCCCACCAACCCCTCCTCTCCAAACAGCAACCGCAACCGACGCCAGGCAGAGTCCAGGGTCGCACATCTAGAGGTACAGGATGGTTTTATATACTCATGTAGTTGATGTTTCTTTTATTTGTAACACTAAGTAAATGCAAAGAACAGGAAAAAGGGAGATAATCATCAGGGAATTACCAAAATAATGAAAAGTATTTACAATAGGCAAACTCCTCCAGGTAAAATTGTTCTGAGACTAGCTCAAGATCTGGAGATGAGTCCCCGCTTCACACAGGTTTAACCCAGAGACACTGAAGGATGGGTCAAATGCAGCTTTATATTTCTGTTGAGGAAAATAACCCTTTTTCCTTGCGTGTTCGTAACAAAAAAATTACCCTTGAAAAAGAAATAAAGTCCAGATAATTTACTTATTCCAATATTAGAAAAGTCATACTTGTACAAAGAGTCTGTGCTGACATTCCCAAGCAGAGACTGAATATTTACGCCTATACAATGATTTTTATACACAAACTATAGTGGGAGGCGACCATGGTTTAGACTTAGTGCCTCTTCGTTGGTGCACAGGTCAGCCAGGCCTCTTGGCACGTTGCACAATCTTATTCGATTGTGACAGGGATCCCCCAGATTCATCTCACTCCACTTACGGGAGCATCTTGCTGGTCTGATCAGGGTGATGAGTCGTGAGTCAGCATATCCCTATCAATAAGTCCTTGCCCTATTTAGGTTATTGATTAGACATATAGATAGAAATAGAATATCTTTTACATGAACTGAACCTATCTCTGCATCCCTCAGCTGTAATATGGTCCCTGTTTTCTGGGTCATTGTATAGTGAATTCTAATAGTACAATAATAAAATATAGCAGTACATCAATAACTGTATAGCAGCACATCAGTTACATCATAACAGTAGTTATACACAACCTCAGCTTAGTTTATTCTAATATTTCCCAGGGGATCTTCTTTAATCTTAAAGCTGAGATATCTTATTTTCAAACATTATAGTCTAAAATTTTGAGCCAATATAGCCTATATTAAAAAAAATACACAAAACTGTTCTGATTTTAACATCAACAGTTTTGTCCCTGGCTCATCTCAGACACAGCCAGTTGAACATCTGAATTTGTATGTTTTATGTTTAAATCCAGAAGGGTCTAAAATTGGATCATAAAGTGCATCTAGCAACTGTCCCAACTTGTGTCGATCCAACCACAGTTGCTAATTTGTATCATGTGTCTCTCAAATGCAGAAAACATCTCCTCTCATCAACAAAATCTATAACTTTTACCTCATAAGTAAGAGTTTAGTGCTTTGTTTGTTAATTCTGCAGTAACTAACTATTTAGCTCTAATCGAGTTTAATGTCTCTGTACATTGTCCCTTCGAATAAAGACTAAATTATGCTGTTTTTAGTCCCCAGTGTTAGAAACTGTTATTTAATTTGAAATCAGGAAGACAGGATACGGTTCCAGATCAAATTTTGTCAAAGCGTGTTTTGGCTGGACTGGCACTTCATTAACTTGCTACACTAAATCTGAACTGACTAACTGTTGTTTTGTGTCAGATCCCGGACCTGAAGATGCCCCGTGGTATCGCTGTGGACTGGGTGGCTGCGAACCTGTACTGGACCGACTCCGGGCGCGACGTGATCGAAGTGGCTCAGCTGAGCGGAGGACGCCACCGCAAAACCCTCATCTCTGGAATGATCGATGAACCCTACGCCATCGTGGTCGACCCACACAGAGGGTAAGAGAGGGGGGAAATGTAACATACTAAATACAGATGTTTTGACCTTGTTTTTGGTTAATGTCTGTAATTACTGGACTTAGAACATGAAATAAAAACTGCTAGACTAATGTATTTGTAATTTAACAGGAAAATGTACTGGGCCGATTGGGGAAACCATCCTAAGATTGAGACAGCAGCGATGGACGGCACCATGAGAGAGACTCTGGTGGAGAAAAACATCCAGTGGCCAACAGGTAAAATACAACTGCAATACTTAAGTATATTAGGTATTCTGTTTATTTAAATAATAAACTATAGCTACTGCTGCAACGAAAACACACGTATATTCAAGTAATAAATCGTTATTGAAATGATAAATATGTCAATAAATTCTGGTCATGTATCCTGTCTCTACGATTTTCTATTGGCATGACTGACAGGCGGATTAACCAATCAGAGAGATGCATGGTCTGCAATAAATCCTGGTAGTCTGAGGTGTAACACGTTGTATAGCTCGAATTGAAACTACCAGAGGTCCTCTTGATAAATTTGATGAGTTTATATATTCAGAGTGAAGAATGTGGCAATTTTCTTTTACATTATTTATGTAATTCAGTGATTTATTTGATTTATTTGATTTAATTGACCTAACTTGTTGTTTTTTGACTTGTTTTTTCAGGTTTGGCGGTGGATTACTTTAACGAGCGTCTGTACTGGGCAGACGCCAAACTGTCAGTGATCGGGAGCATTCGACTCAACGGCAGTGACCCTGTGGTCGCCGTCAGCAGCATCAAGAACAGTACGAATTTATATTTTTATATTTTTAAATCAAATGCATTATTATCAAATTAAATCTGCACTTTGTAACTTTTCAGTTGGGTCTGTCTCCTACTTTTTTCTATGGATATGTCATTGCTCTGTCATAAGGTTCCACAGTATACAATTAAAGTTTATAGCTCAAAAAATCCTAAAAAAAAACAGGCATTCTGACTGTGAGCCTCTCCACAGATCTGACCTGTTATTTGGAGAACATGGAGAAAAGCTTTTCATGGACCCTCAACCAGAAAAGTTACAGAATCCACCTTTAAATATCAAATGTCTGAACGCTATTTTCCTCTGTGTCTGTCAGAAATCCACCAGCCGTTCAGCATCGACGTGTTTGAGGATTACATCTACGGCGTCACCTACATCAATAACTACGTGTTCAGAGTGAATAAATTTGGCAAAGGCCCCGTGGAGAATCTGACGACTGGAATGAACCACGCCACAGACCTGGTCCTGTACCACCGATACAAACAACCAGAAAGTGAGTAGAATGTCTTTAAAACAGTCATTTATGCCAGAAATGAAAGTCCACTGCAGACATGGAAGTAATAATGGAAGTAAGCAGTAATTTATCATAATAATTAGATGCTTAAATGTGCACTATGTAACTTTTCTGGTTGGGATTTATCACCAGCTTGTCTTTATATAGATGTTATTGCTTTGTTAGAATGTTCCACAGCATGGCATTAAATTTACCTGCTGTAAGATTCAAATTAGTGTTTTTATTTATCTCTTATTCTCAACTTGTACACTGCAAATTTCTCTAACCTGGCCAAGATGTTAAAACGCATACCAGGTTGTTTTCAGACTTATTATCTACTTACTCATTCTGAATTGGTTGTTTAATCTTAAAAATTGTCACATTTATTTCTTCCATGACTCAACTAGTCAGGAAATCTTAAATTTAGGCAATAAATGTTTAAAAGACGCTACAATCCATTTACCATACCCAGCCCATGAACACTTATCAGTGATGTTTCATTCTAGTCTAGAGGCAGTTTATTTTAAGAGAACTTGTCAAGTAGAATTATCTTGCTGCATGGACAGATAATTTCACCACTTTTAAGTTATTTTCTGACAGATTTAAGTGTTTATATCTTAAATTTTGGCCCTTCTTTTTTAGCAGTGTAACATGACCTTGTAGAGTGACATAGAATTAATGCCATAACGTGAAACTTTCCAGATAAAACAATATCTCCATGGAGAATGGCTAGTGGTAGACCCTCTAGCAGAAAAATTACATAGTAACTTCATGGAGGGTACACCCTCTGCTTTATTGCTTTGTCTGGGATGTTTCACAGTATGGCATTAAATGTGTCTATGACAAGCAGATGGCATTAGTTTAGTTTATTTATTTAATGAGACAGTGACAGACAGAGACATAAACCATAACAGGAGAAATGCAATGTACCAGTTTGTCGCACCAGCGCTAATTTCCACCTGTAGTCCCCAGGCATGCTCACTTATTATGGAGTTATTATGGATGTAACAACAACTGAAATACTGTGATATTGTGTCGTCAAAAGACTCATAATAATATTGTGGGCCATCACAACTACAAGTCTCTTTGCTTAAATTCACTAAAAAACAGAGGGAACTACGTAGACCATGATCCTTTGCTCAGTTTCAGTGCAGACTACATGGAGAAATAACTCCATTAATTACTTTCAAATATTAATTCTTTGGATTATGACTTTTCAAGGCATATTCACAACTTTGTTATAGCCTCCACAAAATATCTCAATAAATATCCTAACATTAGATGCATATCATGAAAATATCATGCCGAGAGACTTTAATATCATTACATCTCTGAAAGTTACAAAGTGAGCCTTTAAAACTTTCCCTCTTGTTCAGATGAACAGGCTGCAGCTCCCTGTTTATAAGTGATATTTTGAGGACTTTGAGGACCATTCAAAAGATAAAATATAATATAATAATGTTTTGTGTTTTCAGTGACAAATCCATGTGACAGGAAGAAGTGTGAGTGGCTGTGTCTGCTGAGCCCCAGTGGCCCTGTTTGCACCTGCCCCAATGGAAAGACTCTGGACAATGGCACTTGTGTGGAGCTGCCCACACCCACACTCTCACCCATCTGTGAGTATATACACTGTGCAGTATACAGATATGGGCATCACTGGAGAGCCTATCCAAACACACAGTCTCATCTAGTGACATATGTAATACTTCAGCCTACAGCATACATAAAGCGTCAGAGTCACACTGTGAATATGAACATATTTACAATCAGTTTACACAGAATGTACTTTAGATATATTGCTTATTATACTACTACAGTACAGCCATAGTATAGTATATGTACTACAGCCATAGTCACTTTTTTAAACTAAACTGATAAAAATAAAATCAAGGTTTCGGATCACTCCACTAAAAACATGAGTAGCCATGTCCATGCACGCTCAAAGACAGAAATGATCAGACAAACCTCTCGATGCTGACTTCACCTAAACTTTATATTGCATTCTAAAACCCTCATCGTCTCCACAGCGCCCCCTAGTGGCCCGTGCCTGGTGCAGTGTCAGAATGGAGGCAGTTGTTTCCTGAACGCTCATAAACAGCCCAAGTGTCGCTGTCAGCCCAACTACGGAGGAGAGCGCTGTGAACTGGACCAGTGCAGAGATTACTGCAGGAACGGAGGCACCTGCACACCGTCCCCTACAGGTCAGACGCCAGTACTGCACCTCTGCGTGGATATCAGGGACAATGGATGAAAAATTTACTTTTGGATAATTCTGGCACATCTACAGAAATGATGGTTAATGTACACTGTCCCTGTCACATAATTAAAAGAGGAAGTACTAGTAGTTGTAGTAGTAGTCATGTCATATCATTTTTCATATTTGATTAACAATATTTAAAGGTGCTATGAAAAACAGAACTAGTTTATTATAGACAGTTTGCAGTGGTCTGTAGTTCTTTCTCACGTACCCAAAGCTTTCAGAACATCCTAATTATTCACCTCAAGTTTATAAGTACTTTTCACAACTTTTTAGTAAATAATAATGCATTTTGTCCCCAGGCTCCCCCACGTGTCGCTGCCTCACCGGGTTCACAGGCCCGACCTGTAACCTGCGCACCTGCAGCGGTTACTGTAAAAACGGAGGGACATGTTCTGTTACTGCGGGCAACCAACCCACCTGCCACTGCCCCCCAGAGCACCTCGGGGACCAGTGCCAGTACAGTAAGTCTCAAAATGTGTTCTACTTTTATGCACACTTCTGCAACTCCATAACAGTGTTATTTTCTTCTAATATGTAGTAGATTCGAATTTATGAAGTGGCCGTACAGCCCACCTATGATATCGATGCCTCTTTTACCAAACAGTACCATCCCTTGTTTACTTCATCCTCTGGGTTTCAGTAATGCTAACTTTTTTTTTTTACAATAATCAAGACATTAGCTGACATGACAGTTCTCATTTTATTGTGTTGGCAACACCATTTAAATTAGATTGATTAAATTAGATTTTTTTTTTCCACAGCACATGTATATTATTTCAAATTACAAAACATAGATTACTATTCTATGTATTGTCTTCAATGCCATTTTAAGCATTTCTGAGTGTTTGAAAGATATAATCATTTGTTTTGCTTGGCTTATGCAAATTTTTGACACTAAACCTATGGATGTAATTAAAATACCCAAAAACAGTGTGTAATACAGGAGCCTCTTTCCTCTCATTTTTAAACCTGAACTAACTCTTGATTACTCTGTGTTGCAGGCAGCTGTGAGGGCCACTGTCAGAACAGGGGCACGTGTCTGCAGAGCGCAGACGGCTCCAAGAGGTGTCGCTGTCTCCCTCAGTACACAGGAGGACAGTGTGAAGTAGACAAGTGTCACTACTGCAGAGATGGACGCTGTATCCCCAACAACGGCTTTGGGTCTATCCCTGAGTTCACCTGCATGTGCGTCTCATATTTGTCAGTGCCAGTCACACTGTGTTATCATGATTAAACATGTGTGTGTGTATTGTGTTTCAGCTGCTCTAATGGCCGAGTCCAGCCGAGCTGTTACACATGTGAGAGCAACGAATACTGCGCCAACGGACAGTGCTCCATAAACCCCGTCACACACCTCCCAGAGTGCAGGTAAACATACCTTTATCATACAGAATGCAGGTAAACATGTCTTTATCATACAGAGTGCAACATATATTTATCTTTATTTTTATTAATGTGCCTGTGTGTTGGAATGAACAATACACAAAAAAGGATAGTACAATATTTACATAATAGGAAGGAAGTAGCTTAGTAACTGAAGTTATAATTATGTTTCTTACATAGTAATTAGTCATGGAGGCAGAACACAGCTACAGTAACTATTAGAAACAAAGCACAAAACTAAAAACATGTACTGTAAGGGCTGGAGTTCAGACTCAACTCAAATATTGGATTCAAAGTAAAATGTATATAATTTATAAACCCTAACCCAATATGACAACTGCAAATTACCATGTAAATAGTTATACTAAATAGTATATTCCAGGTAATAAAATGGAAACTGGACTGCAGAATACTTGTTACTTGTCACTTGTTACCATGGTTACCATGCTTAATCATAATCATTTTCATCAGCTCTTTATGAAACATTTGGTGTAGAGACTTGATGCATTCAAAGCCCACTTTGCCATATGCATGATGAGTGTTACATTTACCTTTTTCAATCCTGAGACAATATAAGATTAACAGAACAAGAATCACATGTATTTTTTACTACTATTATAACTCGTTTGCTTACTTTGACAGAAGGAAATAAAAGTATTAAAGCAGACCAAATTAATCTCTTAAAATGTATGAAAAGTGCTATACAAATAACGTTTGATTGATTGACTGATAAAAAATAACAGTTACACATAAAATACTCTCAGGGTAAAACAATCATTAATCGTACACTTGTTGTAACTCAGATGTTCGGCGGGCTGGACAGGACACAGGTGTGCAGTACTGGCCCCAAGTCATGACCAGGGAACAGGCGGACGTAAGTTTCACTTTTACATTTGAACACATCACATCTTTACATCTGTTTATTCTGTTCACTGTAATAAAACTTTAATGTTTTTGTTCAGGCACAGCGTCCATAGTGATCCCGGTGGTGCTGCTTCTGCTGCTGCTCCTGCTCGCTGTGGGGGCCCTGCTCTGGTACAGACACAGAATGAGAGGGTAAGGACTCAACACAAGGGGGCAGTGTGGAGCTTATGTATTAGACTGGCAATGCTGGATTTAGATTTATAGATGAAACTTCATAAACCAAACTACTTGTGAACAAATAATTACTGACAGTTGTCATTCCATCTCTATTATATATTTTGGAAGATTAAGCATTACTTGTATGGTAGATCTTTTGTATAACACTTCCTTTATAAATGTATTTTATTAAGCCCAAAATCACAGGTGCCTCTCAACAATGAAACAGACATTTGTCAATTACAGACAAGCACATTATCCAACATTCATAAAAACAAGCAAATGGAGAACTGTCCCAGAACTTCAATGTCCTTAGACCCTCCTTCTCAGCAAAGAAATAAAAAAAGAAAGAGAAGCCTCAAGGAAAACCACAGTGAAGGAGAAATCTACTCCCATGGACAGGCAGGCTGCAGAAGTGTCCAGGACTGATCTGCATCCATCTGCAGATAAAGTTCAAGTCTGTAGAAACAGAGCCCACTGTAAGGGCCAGAGGGGGTGCACCAGGACAAGGAAGGGTTCATCCAGGACAGGGGAGGGATCCTCCAGCCAGGTGAGGGAAGGGGAGGATCTGGGTCCACAGAACAGGATGATGGCACAGGAGGAGCATCTAGGGTCCAGTCAGCACTGGGTGGTCTCTTTTAGAGATGTTTCATCCTTCTGGGTTTATTTTCTGGTCATGTGGTCAGGTTGTGCAGGTGTGGGTGGAGGCCTCCTCCCTCTCTCCTCTGTAACTTACTTTCCTCTGCTCCTCAGGTCTAGCCGACTGGGAAAAACTGGCTCTAAACGTTTGGGGTAACTCTAAGCAGGATTCTACTGTGCCCTCCATGTTCTCATTCACATATGACTGCATATTCCTGTTTACATATGAGTGTATATTTCAGCTGTTGTGGTGCTGGCTGTGCAGTGTTGCCGTGGTGACCCGGGTTGTGGCTTCCGTTGGCCCTGTGATGTGTTCGGATCTATTCAACAACAAATAGATCTGTCTGTGTATTTAAAGTTGCGCTATGTAACTTTCTGTTGAAGGGTCCGCCACATGTTGGAGACAAGCAGGTGGTGGGTTTTTGTACCTGAAAAGTTCCATAGTGCATCTTTTTAACAGGCAAAGCTGTTGAACCATTGCAGTTATTGTTTTCCATATAGTGTGGTAGTGTTCTGTACTGTGCTGTGACTCGTACTGTGGTATATAATGGGACTGATCAGGGCTGAGAATGCATTTATAAACCCAGCATTTATAATACATGATGACAAGTGTCCTAACTGGATCAAGTACATGTAAAACTGTGGTTCTTTAATGATAATAGATACTCAATATCATGATGAGAATAAAAAATACTCTTTATTTAGACAATAGAATGTGATTTTCAACATTTCAACATGTCTTATATGTGTGTAATCCTCAGTGGTCCAGTAGATTCATAGTGGTCCATGGGCAGTGTTGGGAAGGTTACTTTTAAAATGTATTCCCCTACAGATTACAGATTACATACCCCAGAACGTAGTTTGTAACATAATCCATTAAATTACTCAAAGTGAGTAACGTAATCTGAATACTTTGGATTACTTGATTTGCTGTAGAGAAGCAAAGACTCAGATATCGTAACATAAGATGTTTTGTCTGCTAAAAGAAAATAAAAAGCCCAGACTTTACCAAATTAAAAATATTATTGATAGAAGAGGAGGAGACACGGCCACGCAGCATGATTTAGTCCTGTTAAATCTTGTTTTAATCCCGGTTTAGTCCTGGTTTAATCCTGGTTTAGACCTGGTTTTAGTCCTGGTTTTAGTCCGGGTTTAGTCCTGGTTTAGACCTGGTTTAGACCTGGTTTTAGTCCTGGTTTAGTCCTGGTTTAGACCTGGTTTAGACCTGGTTTAGATCTTTTTTAGATCTAGTTTAGAGCTGGTTTTAGTCCTGGTTTAGACCTGGTTTAGTCCTGGTTTTAGTCCCGGTTTAGTCCTGGTTTAGACCTGGTTTAGACCTGGTTTAGACCTGGTTTTAGTCCTGGTTTAGACCTGGTTTAGATCTTGTTTAGATCTAGTTTAGAGCTTCTTTTAGTCCTGATTTAGACCTGGTTTAGACCTGGCTTTAGTCCCGGTTTAGCCCTGGTTTAGACCTGGTATAGACCTGGTTTAGATCTTCTTTAGATCTAGTTTAGAGCTGGTTTTAGTCCTGGTTTAGACCTGGTTTAAACCTGGTTTAGTTTCCGGCAATGAGTGGAATTACCAGAAAAAAAATTTAAAAAGGGGGAAGAAAACAGGAAAATACCGCTGTGTAATCCATTTATTTCAACAAAGTAACTGTAATCCAATTACCACTCATTGAAACAGTAACAGTAACCGAATACAGTTACTCATAATTTGTACTCTGATTACTTAACTCCGGTACATGTAATCTGTTACTCCCCAACACTGTCCATGGGTGTATACTGGTCTATGTGCTCTTCTACTTGTTCTGATACAGCTCAGGAATCATCAGTAAAATATAAATGAGAGCAGCTCTGATAGAGGACTGCTGTGTAAATGCTGGGTTTGTTGTTGTTGTTTGCTCTCGTTTCTTCAGCTGCCGTGGTGGTCAGAGTCATGTGACACTTCATATGAATAACACAGAGAACTCACTGTTGTACGTTTATGTGTCTGATGTGTTTGTCCAGGGCCAAGGGCTTCCAGCACCAGAGGATGACCAACGGAGCCATGAACGTGGAGATCGGAAACCCCGCCTACAAGATCTACGAGGGCGAGCCGGACGACGACGCAGGAGAGCTACTGGACGCAGACTTCACCCTCGACCCAGACAAGGTAACAACTGTTAAGATGTAACAAAGCACAATGATAACTGACAGGACATACCCTCTGCCTCAGTTGTACTAAATGATTTGTTCATAATTATATAGTTAAAGTTCAACATCAAATGTATAAAAATAGAGAAGCTTATTTAAACCTGACATGAAGATCTTGGGACATGGGATCTTTGGATTCTCTAGAACAGGGCTGTCCAGACTTTTTTCACAGAGGGACATATAAGCAGGGACATACAGCGATACAGCGAGTCATTCATTTAACTGCTTTAACAGCCATTGTACATTTTGAAAGACCTAGGACATTCATCTTTGACTTAGACTTAGATTTAGACAAACTTTGTTGATCCACAAGGGAAATTATTTGGAATCTTATTTGGATTATCTAAAGTCTGTGTCACAGTGCAGTGAGATATTAGGTTTATTGTGGTAGAATGACCAAAATTTCCAATAAAAAGTAGCACCAACCATCATCTGTGCCAATACCCCAGGAAGCCTGAGCCAACAAAAATTGATCTGATCCACGTTTGGCTTCTTGGGCCATAGTTTAGCCTGTGATAGTAACTATAGCACAAAAATAATGGTGTAATCCCTGATTCGTCCTGGAGTGGTCAAAGATAACCTTTTATCTATGCTTGCAGGCAATTCCTTCATTTTCTATTTTATCTTTTTTTTTTTGTTTTTTTTACCATGACACCTCCCAACAGTATTGTTAGAGACATGCACATCCAACAAAAATTGCAACTGTGTGCTGGATCCAAAAACAAAAATTGTGTAAAAGAAGAAAGAGATCCACACTGCAGTTCTTTGAAGTTCCAACATTTTTATTTCAATGACACCACAATGTGATGTTTCAGGTCAAGCTCTTCTTCAGACTTGAAGTAAAAATCTGGGAGCTTCAAAGAACTGCAGTGCATATCTCTCTCTTCTTTTGCACTTCCCAACAGTATTATAATACAGTTTGTATCATAAGATTTGGATATTTACATCCCTCGTTAAAACCATATGGATGCTGCAGATGGAAAAAGTCATTAACTCACATCTTGTTAAAGTCCAGATTTTTCTCTCTGATGTAGGCTCTAGAACCACCGCTATATCCTCATGTTAGTCTAAAAGGTCCATGTGACGCTGTTTTCTCATCTATGTCATAATATATACTTGGCCAAAAAAGAAACACAAGTTCTATTTGTATAGTGTTTTAATATATATATTTATATATATATTTATAATAACAATGTTGAAAAAAGGCAGAAAAATGGTCAGTAGCGTGTATGGCCTCCCCAGCTGCAACACAAGCCAGGACCCTCCTTCTCATGGACTGTACTAGGCGTCGAATGCAGAACTGTGGCATCCTTCTCCATTCTTCCACAAGTGTCGCACGTTGTGACGCGTTGTCTGCCACTACGCAGACGGTCTGCTATACTTCCTGTATCCATGTACTGAGTCCTCAGACGGGATATGGTACTGTACATGGAGAGCTGCAGCCGCTTCTCGGATACACATCCCCGCATCCAGCACACTGATAGCACGACCCCTCTCCAGATCAGACAACCGTGGCATGATGTTACCGTGGATTCTGAGCTCCAAAACTTGGTTTTCTGATGCAAGACTCCACTAAGAGTGATTCTTCACAACTTTTGTGTGCAATATTGTTGTCCGATTCGCTGTTTGGAAATCTAAAGTCAGCCATTGTGTGGAATCAGTCAAACGTAGCAAATCTCTACTGATGTCCAGAGATCGTGCTCCTTCTTTGATTACAGTAATAGGCCCAACATGTACAGTTAGGGGCAATTTTGAATCACCACAATAATAACAAAAACGTGCATTTCTTTTTTGGCCCAGTATAGTTTCCTCATCACAAACAGACCTGGACTTATGTTTTGTTTCATTCACACATGTTTAACTCACAAACCTGCAGGCTGAGTTCTTCTCCCAAACTGAAAACATTGTTCACATTGTGCACATGGAATTGCCAATCTCTACTGAACTAAAGGTAAAAGTGCATGACATCGTAAGGTGAAACAAAGCATCTTGAGTGTTGGAGATGTAGACAGACTAATAATAAGAGCTACTCAAACATGTGTGAATGAAACAAAACTCAACTCCAGCTCTGGTTTTCATGAGGTAACAACATTACAACCTGACTTAACGCTCACAAGATTCAATTTTGCGTAAGAAAGTAATCTCTTGTAATCTCTCTGTTCACTTCTAACAATATTTTCTATGTTCGCAGCCGACAAACTTCACAAACCCGGTGTACGCCACTCTCTACATGGGAGCCCACAACAGCAGGAACTCTTTGGCGAGCACCGACGAGAAGAAGGAGCTCCTGTCCCGCGGAGACGAAGAGCCGCTCATGGACCCCCTATCCTAAAGACTGCCCCCTCCCATCTCTTTCAATGCCTTTAGACCAATACAACCACATCCAATCAAGTGTGAACACTGTAAAAATGTACAAAATGAAGGACTACTTTTGTATGTGATTGCAGTATTATATTTTGTTCTTTTGAGATCTTTTCCTCTGGTCAAAAACGAATAACATTTTCTATGAGAGAGATTTTTAATTTTCACTTCTCCCTTTCACCCTTTACCTAAATAGCCACTACCTCTGTGCACACGAGGAGAGAGAAATCAGAAACGATGTGCAGTCATGGGAGCGACCGTTACACAATTTTTATTTTTGTATGAATTGTATAGAAGAAAAACAGACATTGTTCCATCTCACCAGTGCCAAGTCTTGTGTGTTGTCTGAATTTAAGCAGGAAAAGTCAAAAGGTTGGTACGTGTTTCTTTCTTTTCGAATTTTGTGGGATAGATTTGCTAATATAAGATGTAAATTGTCAATACCGGATAAAACATTCAGGGCTGGGTGATGTGTTTTTTTTTTTTTGTCCAATTTTTAAGTTTTACTTCTTACAAATACACAAAATACTATATTTTCCATCTGTAACTACCGTAAGACCCAGGGAATATAAGGTTGTATATTTAAGACTATTTTTACACTTCAGACAAAGGTACAGAGAAGCAGTGTGTACTAGCATTTGAATTGAATAAGGTACTTTTTCACATCTTAATCGGTACTTTTTACTTACATTTTCGTTACTATGCGTATTTGGTCCGTGTACCATTTGTTCATTTGAATTTCAACAAAACAAACAAAAAATAAAATAGGAAAACAGTTTGCGGCAGAGGCTCAGTTGGTCGAGCGTTCGTCCACTGATCTGAAGGTTGGCGGTTTGAATCTCGACATAAACATGGGTTGTGCGGTCAGATCCACTGACCCACAGGTTGACTGGTGTGGTTCCAGCTCCCACAGATGAATGCTGTCATTGGGTCCTTGGGCAAGACACTTAACCCACCTTGCTCCCAGTGTCTGTGTACACTGGTGTGTGAACAGGTGAGTGGTTTCTTGTTGTAAAGCACTTTGAGAGCCTTGTAGGTGGAGAAGCGCTATAGAAAAATGTGACCATTAACCATTCCACTTTAGTGTCAAACAAAAAAACTGATTTCAACCTCTATTTCCAGTATTTAATTTAAAGTTTATTTCAAATAACACCAATCAAAAAACAGTCTCAGTGTCTATTTTAATTTTGATATTTTATTCTCTGGTTTATGCCCCGGAAGTTCTGCTGCTAGAAGGATTTACCTGAAAATAGTTTGCAGTTTTATGGACAAACATGTTTCTTCTTTATAGCGATGCTTTTACTTTTGCATCTTAGAAAGTCACCGTTGAACTCCATGACAAAAAACACGAAGCAGAAATAAACTCTCCTTTGTTCAGTGACTCTGAATTCATATGTGTATAACTTCTGGGGCAAATAAACCAGAGAGAATAAAATATCAAAATTGAAATAGGCACTGAGACTGTATTTTGATTGGTGTTATATGAAATAAACTTTAAATTAAATACCGGAAACAGAAGTTGAAATCTGTTTTTTGTTTAACACTAAAACTAAATAATGAAATAAACTGTTTTCCCATTTTATTATTTTTCGTTCTTAACTGAAATTCAAAAGACCGAATGGTAGACCTTTTATACACTTTTTTTTATATATATATATTTTTTATTGAATTTAATTGAAATTCCACCACCTGCTTGTGCCCATGGAGTTCTTTTGCCCGAAATGTTCCACAGTATAGCATTAATAATCTTAAGAACCAAAACAAAACATTTTAATGTATCTCCAATGTTTTTGTAATTAAGAACAAACCAGCATCACAGACGTTATTAGTCAAAATCAGATGTTTTCCTTGTATCTGGGGACACCAATAAGTCATGTTTATGGAAATTCAAATCAAAATGGTTTCTGTATGAACTTCATTGCATCACCCAGCCCTCTCTCCTTCACAGTATTTACCTTCCCATGTATCTATTGTTTGTTTTTCTCAGAGACCAATGTCCTAGTTGTGTCTTCCTTGCACAGATTAGCCAGTGTGGAGTTGCGGGCCCCGCGCTGTGATATGTAAAGCAGGTATTTGTGTTTATCACTTTGTTTGACAGTGTTACGTGTTAAGTGAAAAGAATGAGGCACTTTGAATTTTTTATTGAAGAAATGTTGCGTTAAACATTCCACTCGGAGATGATGAGAAGTTCACGGTCCGGCGATAGGTTGCGTTCACGGCATTTTAAAAGTCAGATTGGAAAAGTTACGATTTCAGACGGAGGGCAGGGCAATTCACGGCTTTGTAATTGATCACATAACAGAAAATGTTTGTTTTTTTATGGATTGGCTCCACTCATTTACCATATTAAAGTAATAGCTTAAATTCTTTCAGCTAAACTCAATGTTTCATTTGTAAATTGCGACGCTTTTTACTGATGGAAGAGAGTAGCCAAAACTGAACTTAATAAAAACAACTGAAGAGTAACATTAAGAGTGTTTCTTTTTTAACATAACTTTTTTTGAACCTAACTTTCTGAAGAGTTGCGTTCAAAATAATACTACTCAAATAGAAGTACAAGACGTAGTGGTCCAAGAAACTGAAAAGTAAGAGTGAAAAAGTAAAGTAAGTGAAAAAGTATTAATGTAAGAGTAACTTTTGGGACATAACATCTTATTTATAACTTGAAGTGAATGTAATTGGAAGGATAAAACGTTAAATAATGCTAAAAATCTGGTATTTTCAAACACAAAAATTAGACAAATGTTCACACAAACGTTCAAATCATTTCATATTGTCAACGTAACTCTTTTGTCATTTGTAGACTTACTCACAGTGGGAAGAGGAAGCACAACTTTTACTCAAGTAAGAGTACTTCAGTAATAAGATTAGAGGAGTAAATGTATGCTGCTAGAAAAGTATTCCGAAAATAACAATTTCTGCATGAACCAGGTCAAAACATCTGCATTTTGTTAGTTCGTTAAACAGCAAACTCTACCATAGATTTCTGACCTGTCCTCTAGCTCCAACAGTTTTAAAATATTGTCAGTTTTGAATTTTCCAACGTCGTCATGTGAACCCAACCTATAAAACATACAGGGCCATAGAGGGTACGGTACAATGTCGCACCGTTCAGTTGCCTATAAAGTGTCTTCCTCCAAAGGCAAGTTGCAATTGTGTTCAAATCGGAGGAAGAGAGTTCACTATGAATTGTTCTTTTGTGGTTTTTTTCCTGCCAAAATTTGTGGTTCGATTTTGAAATTTTGTCCACAATTCTGTATTAAGTGCATTACTTTGTTGATGTTGTGTTTTTGGGCTGCACAAGGTTAAAAATAGACGATAGAAAAGCTGAACGTTGCAATATTTTGAACATGAATTAAATATTAAACTCAAAATACGTATTAAGTCTTGTCAAAACTGTGTCTTATAGGGTTGTTAAAAGTATCGAAAATCAGATACTAATCGATTCTAAAACTAGTAGCATTTGAGCAGGTATCAATACTAGTATAAGTATAAAAACTACATAGACTAGTACATTCCCATTCCTTAGTATCGAAATCAAGTTTGAGATTTTAATACACACAATGCAAAAATTATTTGGACAGTTGATGAAAACGCGTAGGATAATCGCAGTATTTTGAGTTTCTTGTGAGAATAATATTATCGAGTACTGCATTTGCCGGTATAGAGATTTGACAAGTGCGGTGTTTTGTGCAGCCCTGTGTATTTCCCTGTTTTGTGTGGTCTGCTGCTGCTAAACTGCTACCATTGTGGTCGCTCTGTGTGTCCTTAGCCTCTGTGTCCCAAAAATGCTGCTTATTGTGAACATAGGTTGCGTTCACGGCATTTGAGAAGCTGATGTCGTAATTTCAGATGGAGGGCAGGGTTTATGTAAATCTATGGGAGATTCACTGTTTTTGGAAGAAATTATAGAACAGAAAATCCACAAATTTCCATATTGAACTTACAAGGAATAACGCATTGGATTTGTATAGTGATTGCAGAGGTGGCGCTACCATCTGGCAAAAGTAGGTGGCTTTCTAGGGGCCCCCAAACCTGGAGGGGGCCCTAACAATTGCCCTCAATGCCACTAATGACCGAGACCTCAGAGCAATTAGATTTTCTCTCAATATAACATTAAATGAGAGTAGTTTTACTTTTAAACATTAATCATAAGAAAAATAATCAGATGTAATGATGTAAACTAAAATTATACTGTACAAGCAAAAAAATAAAACTACTTTCAGTTCTGCTAGAGTAGTAGTTCTAGTTCGGGGATGTCAAACTCATTTTGGTCCGGGGGACGTATCTAACCTACTTTGATCCCAAAGGGGCCGGATCAGAAAACTCATAGCATATAAACCCCAAAAATAACAATAAGTTCAAATATTTGTGCAGAGAAATGCAAATCTATTACAGAAATCTCTTTTAATTGATGAACTGAATTGATGAATTGATGAAAAATGCAATTTCAACACAATGTTTTAACATGAACTTGTTTGCAAATAGGAAAAAGTCAATTTTTCTTGGAAAATCCTGCAGTCTCATGTTGGACATTTTGTTGATGAGGGTGTCACGATCAACAGTCAAAACAATCGTCCTTTAAGAGCGTTTGGAAAGAGACAAGTCTTCATTTGTGCTGCTCTGGTGGGAGGGGCCACGTACAGAGACGCTGGAGACGCTGCTGTGCTAAGCACCACAGAAAATTAACAATATTTTAATAGAAAATATAATTAAAATATTTTCGTAGAAACTCAGCCAAGGGCCAGATTAAAGGTCTTTGAGGGCCAGAAGTATGTTTGACACCCCTGGTCTAGTAGAACCGACCAAACTAATAAAACAAATTTCCAGTTCACCAAAATTCAAATAAATGGAGATGTGCTTGTCTCAAGAATGATGGGAAGAACAGACAATAAATAAATAAATAAATAATATATATATATATATATATATATTTTTTTTTTTTAAGTGAGGGCCCCAAATTCAAGTTCGCCTAGGGCCCCCAAATTGCTAACTTCGCCACTGAGTGTTTTATACATTTTTCTTCCACTACATAATCAGTGGTGATCACCTGGTCTCTCATCCAAGCAAAAATGCAAAAAGGCTTTCGAACCACTCCAACGATCTCTAATATTTCTCTGATAGCTTCATTATAATCTTATCTTATTTCATAGATGGTGAACTTTGTACCAGTTTTTGTTTCACGTGGATAGTCTCACTACTTACAGAACCATAAACTATGTCAACAAATATTACATTTTAGCAGTAAAAACAACAGATTCCACCATAGATTGACCCTGACTTGTCCTCCAGCTCCATGTTTAACTATGACATCATGTGAACCCAACCTAGAAAACCATCAGCCATATTTAAATGCATGTGATGGATACCACCACACACAATGTACCTTAAGTAAGTTTATTTTTGTGGCTACGTGTCTTATTTTCAATCTGTCTTTAGTCTAATGAAAAGTACAATCATTTTAAAGAATCGTACATGCATTTGAGACTTGTTTCTGACCAGTCCTTGTGTTTTTTAACCAGATCTGACACATAGCTTTTGTAGTACACGATGCATGGAGGCGCAGACTTTCTCCTGGAAAAAACGTATTCTTTCATTCGCTACTTTACAAACTGAAACAGATATTGTTATAAATAAAGTTTTAAAATTGTACAGAAAAAAGGTTCATTGTGTTTTATTCATTCGTTTAAAGACAGCACATTATCATCCATGGATACATTTATGGAGAAACAGAAAGTGCAAATCAACTGTAAAGTAAAAACCACAAACGTTTCATTCCAGGCAGAGGTGGGACCAAGTCGTTGTTTTGCAAGTCTCAAGTAAGTCTCAAGTCTTTGACCTCAAGTCCAAGTTAAGTCCCAAGTCAAATACAGGCAAGTCCAAGTCGAGTCTCGAGTCACTGGCCCATAAGTCCAAGTCAAATCCAAGTCCTCTGTTTTGAGAATCAAGTCATTTCAAGTCTTTAAATCAAAGCTTAGTTGTTTTTTTTTTACGTTCATATCAATTTTAAATTAAATTGTACTTAAAATGTCCTGGTATATTTACACATTGTATTGAGTATTGAGTGAGTTGTGCAAATGCTAATATTTCCTTTTTAAATGTCTTGACAAGATCTTAGTGTGAATCATTACAGTCAGAACACAAAGAATTCAGATGTAAAAGTTTTAATAATTTATTTTGTCACGTAGTCTGCACGGAAATGGAAGGATCATTTTCTACGTAGTTCCCTCTGTTTTACTGTATTGTACTGTATATTACTGTAGTACATTTGAGGATACATATCAAAGTACTTCAGTTCCATCCAAAGTAACAAACAGAAGTGGGAGGGACATGTTCCAGTTTGTTCCTGTAAAATTCAGCTATGCATTTATCAGCTGTAAAGAGAAGAGTATTTTCTAAAACATATTTTTTAGGAGAAGCATTAAGTGTTCTCAAGTCACAGGCCTCAAGTCCGAGTCAAGTCCCAAGTCTTAGTCCATTTTATCAAGTCAAGTCTCAAGTCCTAAAATAATAACACAAGTCTTACAAAATCAAGTCCAAATCACGACTTGCAAGTCCCACCTCTGATTCCAGGTACTTAAAGTAATCAGTTTTAAAGGAACAGTATGTAATTTCCAGGAGGTGGCCAATTGATAAATCCATGGAAATAGAAAGTTAAAACCATACTACGGAACATTCTGCATGGAGATAAATATGTTTTATGCCATATTGTGGAAGAGCACAGAGTTGTTCAGAGTGACGTCACTTCCGGATCCATCACCTATTTGAAAACAATACACCTTTATAATTTACAGATTTTTTTTTTTTTAGAGACAGCACATTTCAAGTTAAAAAGAGATTGCAGTAATTTGAAGCTTAAACAGTAAGCAGGGATCTGCGGTTGAGGGAGGGTGAGATAAGTTAGTGTTAGTGAGATATACACACTGGTAACACTATGATATGATCAATTATTATTTGCATATTTGACAACATTTGTGGTTAAACATACACTTTTGAAAGATAACTGTTAGTGTTGTAGTCACTAATCGAGACCAAGACCAGTCCAGTTTATAAATCTGGCTCCATTTTATCACTCGTCGAAGGTGAGACCTCAAGACTGAGACAAGACCGAGTCCAAACGCCTTCAAGTCCGAAACGAGACCAAGACCGCAAAAAAACTGTCTCAAGGCCGAGGAGCACTACAACACTATTAACTGTCTCTTGTTTGATGAATAAAAACAAAAACAAAGGTGAAAATCTGTAAAGTTACTGGTTGGACCCGGAAATGACATCATCACTTAACAACTCTACAGCCAAAACATTTCCATGGTAACATGCAAAAGGCCAAATAAGAAGTCAGGTTTGTGGAGATGCAAGCCCGTCCATAGCAAGAACTTGTGCTTTTGTTATGTTTTTTTGGGTGCAACAAGAAAAAAATAACAAATCGTGCTTTTAATTTGGTCTATTTTTGGCTGAAAAGTTACATACTGTGGCTTTAAGAACTGGCCGTATATCCTATGGGCCAATAGTAGCATGACTAGTCTACAGACACACAAAAAAATCTATCTTGTAGCAATGAAGTAAACCTTAACCTTAATATTTGTATATATAAGCTCCTAAACATGCTAAACTCTTACATTCCCCATTTCCATTAAATGTTATATAGGTCTGTAAATATGTATATAATCTAAAACTCAGCAGGTAAGTTGTTTCATTTGGCACCTTTCTATACTCTCCTTTCTGATTGAACCTTCTCTGCCATTTTTCTTTATTGCCACTCTGCTGTGTAATCCATAGGAGATAGTTCTCACATGGATTGTCTCTAATAGGAACAAGCTTCATTTATCACTGTGGTCAAAGATTTTAACAATAATACAGGAAATCAAATTCTGTATTTACAAACTAAATTACAAGTACTTCATTAAAAATAACATAAGGTGATTTGTAGTTATTAGAGGCAAAATAATATCAAAGATTATTACTTTAAATTGGCTGTACTCTGTTTTTTCAGCTCTTCAGGTCAACAAAAGACTGTTGTGTGTTGTCTGCATCTAATTATAAAAAAAAATAAAATAAAATCAGGTACAGCTCCTTTAAGATAAGATAATATTCACTTGATGCCTTTTGCCTTCAGCTCCTCTTTGACTCTGCTCAGGTAATTAGGGTCAGGGTAACCAAAACTGGAATGACAAAGAAAGATATTGTATTTTTAATCAGTAGTCATATTTTTAAAATCTATAAAATAAAATACACATATCTCTTACCTCTGGGGTCCACCGTATATAGAAGTCTTGTGGTGAATATCGTTCCATGTGACCATATTGTTGGCTCCAGTGGTCCGTGATGTTCCCACAGTAAAGATGAGTTTTTGGTCGAAGGCTTTCCTCAGCAGAAACAGAACCTCGTTACCCTCTCTGTTGTCTGGTAGATATGCTGTTCTGTTTATTCCACTATACCATTGTCCAGGACTGGGGTGTTTAGCCTGAAAAGTTTATGAGAGAAATGAGTGCAGATTATTTAAATTCAATTTCATGAATTAATCTGAATGCAATTTTTATTTATTCAAAGTATTTTCTAAATGTACTGACACACTATAGTGAGGGTTAAATTACTGATAATTTTAAATGTAGTATTATGAGGCAAAAGGCCATCAATCTCAAATGAGTACATGGACTTTAGAGACAAAGACCACTGTTGTGTTTAAATATAATTTATTAACTTTTTAGTTGTGACAATTTCTTTCACTTATTGTGTCTAGTTGTTGTATAGATTTTTGCTGACCTCAGTGGCGCATATGACACGCTCTACTACAGGCAACAGTGGCTCATGGTAAGAGCTCATATGAAAATGGTGTGAATGTTGGTGGTGGTTGGAGGGGGCGCTCTCATCATTCTGCCCCAAGGCAGCTGTGGCTACAGAGGTCATCTTTGACTGGACACTTTGACATCACTCCCTTAATCTTTACATGGTCAACTTTATTTTTGGTTGGAAAAAAAAGTTTTGACTATGACTTTATTTTTAAAATGATATATATATTTTTAATTAGTTATTTGTTAATATTTAATACTTATTTCCCATAGTGTCCACATATTTATTTATTTAAAGGTTATAGAGAGGATTTTCCAAGAAAAGAGACATACAGCAACTGTTTATTCTTTTTCAAATGTTTAGCTTTGCTCCTTTCCCCCTTTTCTTCTTCTTTCAGCGACCTCAAAAACAGACTTTCTTTTGTGGCAAACATGTCATGGATTATTGTCTGCCATAGAAACAAACTGTGAAAACTGCAAGGAAACTACAGTTCGAAAAAGCTGCTAAGAACCACTGTGTTGGTTGAGTAAACAGCATCTTGTGTATGTGGAATGCATGATAGGAGAATGTAAACCACATAATCCCAATACATTAGCAAGTCAGTTGATTGACAACCTAACAGCCAATAGATAACAATGCAGCCTCGTCTACTGACTAATGTTTATCTGGCTCCACCATGTCCACAGTTGGTGGATTTTCATTCTTTTTGTTTGATTATGATAATTACAAGGCTGCTGCAGCTGCAATGCTAGTTTGAACTTTCACTGACAATTTGAAACAAAAAAAAATCCTCCATACAACCTTTAATTTAATGCAATACGATTTCCCATATACATATAAATAAACACTCAATAAAGTAAATTTACCGTCTGAATTCCACTTGGGATGTCATAGCTGATCTCTATACTGCCAAAGCCCTCGTACCCAGGGATGGATGAGCGACTTTTTCTCCATGTCATATTCCCATGAGGCTGGTCTCCTTCCACCTTACCAAACACGTCTTTACACACTGGACATATGGCTCCTTGGGTTTTCACTGATCGCTCCAGACACTCCTCACAAAATTCATGTTTACAAGATTTGAGTTGTGTCTTCTTGGTGAAAGTATCTAAGCACACAGGACAGGTATCATCTTTCTCATCCTTCTTAGCTTCAGCATCAAATTGTTTTTTCACAGCGCCCCCTTCTGTCAATCCATTGGTGCTACTTTTCTCATCTGGTGCATCATTTTTGCCAGTGGCTCCTTTCGGTTCATCGGAGGCACTGTACAGATCTTCCACATCGTCATCATCACCATCATGAAACGCCCCGTTGTTTTTCAAGAACAGGGATGTCGCCACCTTCTGGTAGAGTCGCAGCAGTGCTCTAATAGCGTGGCTTTCCATTTGCACATTTCCTTCAGATCTGTTGTAATACACTTTGATCACTTTTTGGCCTTTACTGTCAGCATCTTTAAAACAGACATTAAACTTGGTCTCAATCCGACCTAATTCTTTTGGGTACTGTTTTTTAATTAGATCCCAGTAATATTCTTCAACTGGCAACCCATCACATACAAACGGATCTTTAATGCTTGAATTGATCTTAATTTTGTTTCGATTTGGATAACTGCGGTCTTCGCTGTGAGAGTTGGTATAAACCTTGGCGTTACCTCTTCTGTGGTCATCAATTCTTTTTTCGTCAGTTAGATTAGTGCTAATTTTGGTGCGTTTAAGGGACTTATAGATGGCGGTTTGCTGAGGGCCAACAATTTTGATTTGGTTATCTGAAATCGTGATCTGATATTTCTCATCTGTTGATTGTAGGATGTTCAGTGTTTCCTTCCACTCTTCGGGACCTACTGCTTTGAGAGGGAGAACTATACCACTGGATTCATTGAGGCAAGACTGGACCAGCTTAATGAAATCATCTGATGCCTTTTGGAGATCTGCGTCTTTCTTGTCAGCTTTGATGGACACTGCCACATTTTCAGTAATTTTGACGCCATTTTGTCTCTCGATGCATTCTATCTTGTCTGCGTGAAAGTTCTTCATGTACCAGTAAGGGCCCAAAGCCACGAGATGGTTATCACTGTTGTCATCCGCAGGAGAGTTCACCTAGAAGCATGAATTAAACAAATGAATTAAAAGCAAATTATTATTTTTTTTTCCAATAGTGAAATAAGGAAGTGACACTTACAAGATGTTCATCTGACAGGTCCTGTGGAGATTTCACAGATTTCTGCTTGACTGGAGGTGTTTGGGGCACATCATTTTCAACAATTGGTGTAATGGAAAAATTTTTTTGGTCTTTGGTAGCTAACGTTTTCCCACCAAGTGTGAGAAGCTCAGAGAGAGCTAACAAGAGGACAAAATAAAACAATTAGTACACAATAAAAGCTAATTTTTGACAGTGATTCCTGCATGTGTGTGTCCTGCCTAGTCAATTTAGCTTAACTGACTTTTCTGATTATCAGATTATATGCACCCTTTTTCTGCTTTAGAAAACCATGCACATCTAATATATTGTAGATTACTAGATTAGGCCTACGTTTACTTTAAATATTATAAGTTCTGAAATTGTTATTATTAAAAGGGGTTAAAATCTATAATTCTTAAATCTAGTCCCAACATGCCTTGTGTATCATTTACTAGGCTGCGTTCATGTGACATCACAACATGTAGAGTTTAAACCAGACCTGGGCATTGTGCAGCTCCCGGGCCACATACAGCCCTTTGACTAACTCTGACCTGATTGTTTAAGATAATTTAGAATTACAAAATAAACATATTTTATAATTTGATGTCATGCATGGACTAAAGCTATATTGCTTTTATTTTAGAGGTGTTTTTTTTTTTTAAATAACATTTTTTTGTAAGGCAGCCTCACTTTTTCATTGCTTGATTCATTGCTTGTCATAACATAAACTCTAACCAGTCTGACCAGCTCATCAAAACAATGCTATTTACTGCTTTTTATAAAGAAATACAATTAATATAATGCAGAACTGAGTAAAGCATGTTGGTCTCCACAATATTTTCTGCTTCTCGTGTGGCCCCATCGAAAAAAGAATTGCCCACCCGGGTTTAAACTGAGTTGGAAGACGGTCAGAATTCTATGGTAGAATTTGCTGTGTAACTGTCTGACTGCAAATGTAATTTTTGTAATTACTGGACCTATCCACATGATTGGCACAAAGTCCAATGTAAAGTAAAGTTGTTCTTTTTTTGCTCCACAAATTATTCAACTCTAAAGACATGATTATTATCAGTTGAAAGACTTAAAGAGTTAAATAGCCATGATATTTTGAAACTAAAACCCTGACAAATATAAGGTTCAATTCGTGGATTTCCATTTTGTATCTCTTTCAAAAACAGCAAATCTCCCATAGAAATATATATACCCATTCCGATCATCTGTAATTATGACATCACCAAATTCTATAATGTGAACGTTGCTATTAAAGTGCATATGACAAAGCTGTTACCTAGCAACCATAATGTTAACAAAGATCAAAACATATTTAAATTGCATGGTAATCATCATTAGACAAGTGAAATTAAATTATAACATCTTTATTTTGTTAAATGAATGTTTAAAAAGCTAGAAAAATGCTCATAAATTATCAGTGAACTGGAGATGAAATGTTTCGTGTTATTGACATAGGTAGGGGTATGCTGTTTTATAGCTCACCAATACTTCCTGTATTTTTGTGCTTTTCTTCTCAACATTATCCTCACAAACTGTCACCTAACTGATGTAAAACTATGATAATTACAGGTACAACGCCACCAAAACAAGTCATGATTAAGTAAAGATGAAAAACTGTCATATGCACTTTGCCATGTTTTTTCTTTTGTTGTATAGATCTCTGCAGTTGTTCAGCTCAAGAAATATTTCCTTCTTTTGCAGTTAAGTATATTAGATGAATTGTGTTCACTTTACCTGCTGCAGGTGTGACAGAAATGACAGCAGTCGCCCCATCTGCAGAGATCTCAGTGGCTGTAAACTCCCCTTTCACTCCGTTTTTATTGGCCCAGCTCTGCAGAGTCTTGGTGAGGGTATTTTTAAACTTTTTTGGTTCAGCTAACTCTGGCGGCGTCACACGTACTTTCAGTGTTGCCACACTTATGTCAGTCTGAAAAAAATAAAAAAAGAGTTGTACAGCCTTATTTTGCCTCATATTTCTCAGGTCATTACTACTTTATGAAACTTGTTAATTAATCTGAAATTACTGATGTGCTCAAAAGTGCACTGTCATGTTTCCAATGGGGAAGGAGAGGGATAGGCTTGAATTGTTCCACAGTATGGTATTAAACTGAGCTATTACAGTTGTAGTTTATTGCTAATAAATAAATAAATAATAAACAAAAAATAATTTTTTACTAAAGTGCAGTCGCCTCAAATCTGACCTGTAACTTAATAGCACAACCTGCTTGCCACAATGGAGATGGATAAGAACCTTCTAGGCACAGCTCTCTACCAGAAGAGCTTCATAGTGCACTTTCCTACTAATACTTCTACACTAGTATTAGGGAATTGGCAGTAGAATAGGCTGTAGACATGTTGAGTCCCTCATTCACCAAGGAGTGTTCCATAGAAATCCACAGGTGAGTAAAAGAGTAAATAAATAAAGTTTTTACACTTTAGGTAAAGTCTTATACTATTCACCAAACATGCCCATACTCACATCTTCAGAGTCGTCAACTTGTATTGGCTGTGGTGGTGTGGAGGTCTCATTATCCTAAAACACAAAAAATCAACTCTACAATAACAGATGCTGCATTCATGTGCTCCTTGGGAACTCTGGAAAATGTTTTCCTGAGCTGACAAAGCCACATGAACACTGCACAAGTCAGAAAAACAACTCGGGATCTCAGACCGTCTGCCCGAGTTCCACAGCTAATGTCACTGCTCTGTGGAGATGAACCAAAATCAGTTAATTTGTCTAGTGATCTAACACATTGGAGCTCTTTGACTAAATATTACCACATTTACGGGTTACAGTGTATGTTAATTTTTGAGAAGACTAAAAGCAACGACTCTTACTGGTTAGCTTTATTAAAACGCCATTAATATGCAGACTCATTGATTTTATTATGGGCAACATCAAAATCCAGACTTTGTGACTTAAAAGCACATGAATGCTTGAAGTTTGAACCCTGACATATCATCTCAGAATTCTAAGTTCCCGAGAATCACATGAACGCAGCAAGAAAAAAAAAACAATACTGCAAATATATTAAAAGTATAATGTAACAGTAATAATATAACTTTATATAATAATATAATTTTTAGAATTTTGCATTTTAATTATTATTATTACTTCAAGTTAAATCTTTAGTCTACTTTTTAAGCTTTAGGTTTCAGTTTAGGCGTTAGATTTAAAGTCTAAGTTTCACTTCTTCCTGTCATCAAACATGTCCATACTTACGTCTGCGGAGTGGGGAGCTTGTTTTGGCACAGGAAATTTGGAGTCAACATTATCCTAAAAAACAAAATAATAATAATAATAATAAATAAATAAATAAAAACAATTCAACTCTACATACGAACATATAAACACTGACGTTATTACGCATCAGGCTATTCTTCTATATTTATGTCCATCGCATTGGCTTTTACTTTCACTTTAGCGAACAAACAACAGCTATATTTTAGCATTGATCGAAATACTCACAATATCCATGTCCTCTTCTACGTTGCTTGCCATTTTGTCAGCCCTTTAAACACAATAATCAGCACATTTAACATATTTTTTTAATTTACATAACAATAATGCGTAACTCGTCGTCTCTACTTTCGACAGACAGCCTGGACAAACAACACCGACTTCTTCACTTACTCTTGCACTTTAGACTTCACTAAACAAATGTCTTCAGTTTAAAGTATCCAAATGTGCTGAGAAAGCATTAAATATATTGTCCATACGTCTGCAGAGAAGCTAAAGCTCACCGTGTGCCTTCGTCACGCAGCTCTTTCTCTTCCGCATCAATGAAAGTGAAACTTAAAGAGCTCCACTTACGTCGACGTAACAACACGCCCACTTTTATGCGAACTACGTCGTATTTGAATAAGATAAATACATCACATTAAGATAAATACATCACATTATTCTCAGTAAATACAATTAATTCAATAAATAGAGTTTTGATTGATTATTAGTATATTTAAAAGTGAGGCAGAATGACCCTATCCTAGTCCCTATCACTAAAAAAATGACATTAAGTTTATATTATTGAGTAGTTAAAGGCCACTAGATATTAAATGGCCCATACAATACTATTTCCTGATCTATGTTATAATGTTTTTCCTCATCACAAACAGACCTGGAGTTGTTTTGTTTCATTCACATGTTTAATACACAAACCCTGCACATTTAGGCTGAGTTCTGCTTTCAAACAGAAAACACTCTGTTCCACCACAGAAAGTGCTCCTCTGTGTTTTTAAAGTTACACATTCACTAGAATCATTTGGTTGATTTCAGCCCTGGAGTGACAATCTCTACTGAACTAAACATAAAAGGAGCTGTCAACTTCTAGTAAATAGTAAACTACTGCTTCATGACATCACCAGGTGGAACAGAGCATTTTGAGCTTTGGAGACGTAGACAGACTAATAATAATAAAGGAATACTCAAACAAGTATGATTGAAACCACAAATCCAGGTAGGTTTTTGATGAGGTAACAACATTCTAACATGGTTTTAAAATATATATAAAAATATAGGACATTTAAACATAAAATAGCCTGTAAGAATCAAATAAAACTACACTAAATTAATGAAGTGGTAATAAAGTATAGACATAATGTGTGTGCAAATTCACGTTTATTTTGCTTAGTTCCCTTCAACAAATACTACAACACATTGACAATCTGATCATTGCCATATTTTCTTCATGACCAATATACACAAAATTAAATCAGCTTTAACTGTAACAGACAGAAAACACATCGCAAACATATTCAAAGTTTAATATATATATAAAAAAAATCCTTCATCTACTAAACTACTCAGATAAAATACTGAAATGGTAACAATATAGAGAGTTTTCTAATTTTGCACTAAATTAAATACAATTGCAATTATTATTATTTCTTCATGTTAAATCTTCAGTCTTTGTGTTTCCGTAACAGTTAGAACATCGTACATCATATTCAGATAGCGTGGTTATCTTTGGTGTATAATACCATAAGTGTACACTAAATGGCCACAATATTAGGTACACCTAATCAATGTAAACTAGTCAATGTACATGACCTTTATCATAAAATAAAAAATTATATTATCATTTTCTGGGGCCTAAAGATGGTTTGTGGTTGTGAGTACGAATCCAAGCAGCAGTTTCTGATCAGTCCATGTCATGTTCCATGTATATCACTAAACCCGGGACTAAACCCGGGACTAAACCCGGGACTAAACCCGGGACTAAACCAGAACTTATAAGGTAATGAACCAGAACTGAACCATAGCCTATATTTTGACCAGTTAACTTATTATTGAGCTTGTAACAAAAAATATTGGTCCTTGTTTAGTTGTGTTTTAGCTTTGGCTCCTACCTGGTCTAGTCCCGGTTTAGTCCCGGGTTAGTCCCGGGTTATTTCTGGAGTAGTCTGGGTTTAGTCCTGGTTTGTTCCTGATTTAGTTTTGTTTTAGTCCTGTATTTGTCTTGGTTTAGTCCTGGTGTAGTCTCGGTTCAGTCCCGTTTCAGTCTTGGTTCAGTTCCGTTTCAGTCTTGGTTCAGTCCCGGTTCAGTCCTGTTTTGGTCCTGTTTTAGTGCTGGTTCTGCTCTGTTTTAGTCATGTTTTAGTCCTGGTTCAGTCCTAGTTTAGTTCTTAAATACCAAGAACAACCCAAAACAAATTATTCTGAATTTAACCATTTTAACCTATGCTGTATTATAATTTTTGCAGCCCAGAACTGCTGAATTCACAAAGCTCATTCATACTAACATCTCCACCTGTATGTGAGCTGTACCTAATAAAGTGGCCGGTCAGTGTAAGTGCATAGGATACAGGTAAGGCTGCTGCAGATACTGGCTAGAGGAAAGGCATCAGTGTGAGTGGTTGTAGGCGTGGCACAGTGCAATGTTACAATACAGCATCGATAAAACAAATCAAATCAAATAAAACATAAAAAACGGATCAATCAGCTTCATCCTTCAAAGTGAACCTAAGAGACAAACAAGAGAAAAATATACGATGTAAGTTCACATGACAGAATAATACAGACAGTAATCACACTATTTGTACTAATCAGAGGGGGGTAGTACACAGTTACATTTACTTCAGTAACTTTTCTAGCAGCATACTTTTACTTCTACTTTGAGCAAACGTTTTGGTTACTCTCCCCACTGTAAGTAAATCTACATTGACAAAAGCTTCATGTGACAATATGAAATGATTTGAACATTTGTGTTTTTTGCGCCGCTCCTTTAGATATGATTAAGTTTGTCTCGTTTTTTGTGTCTATTCTTTGAACAAAAACAGATTTAGAGCATTATTTAATGTTGCGTCCTGACAGTTACTTTTTAAGTTACTCTTACTTGAGTAGTAGTTTTCCCAAATACTTTTTTACTCTTACTTGAACAGAGAAGAATCCTGCACACTGTTCTACTTGCAAATTGTGAATTTAATTAGAACATAATTAAATTAAAGTCCTAAATAAATTTTTCTCTGTTGATATTTTTGGGCTGCTCTCTCTCATTCCGTTTCAAGAAACTGATGAGTAAAGTTCTCATTCTTTTACTCAATTTCTTGGACCATTATTTTGTACCTGTACTTGAGTAATATTATATATGTTTTGAACGAACATTAATATTACTTGTACAATTTTTGACTGCTCTACCACCTCTGACAGCAATTAGCTGAACAATTTTGGAATTGCAATTTGACATGTTTTTATTTTATTATTATTACTTTTTTTTTATGAATGTATTTTTTTTTAACAGCAGTATTTTATTCACAGCTACCATTTTAAACATGTCCTGGAGAATTTACGTTTGAGAGACTGAAATATGAACTGCTAAACAAAAACAAGAATCAGCTGCTGTACATTTCACTCTGAACTACAGAGTAATCCGGACATTTGTTTGCCAAATTATTTGCTTTTTTACCCTTGCTGCTGTTTTGTCATTCTTCTGAAGTTCTACTGTTGGTAAAGCTGATTCTCAACTGCTCAAAAATTATGAAGCCATTACCTGATCAATAATTACCAATCAATTTAATTATATTAGATGGATTTTTACAGGAACAGTATGTTACTTTCTGGACGTAGCGCATCACCTGCATGATTCCTTGGAAACAGAAAGTTAAAACCGTACGGAACATTCCTCGTGGAGATGGATATTTTATGCCATACTGTAGAATATTATAGCCAAAGGAACAACATTTCTATGGAAACAAGCAGGTGGAGGCATTGCCAAATAAGAGTCAGGTCTGTGGAATTGCAAGCCTGCTCACAGGACGCATGTTTACTCTATTTTTTTGCTAAAAGTTATATACTGTGGCTTTAAATACATTATACAAGACTGTTTAAAATAGGGTGGGCTGCATGTATGTGGAACCGTATCAATGATCGATTTTAATGAGTCCTTTTACTTCAGTTTGAAAGGAAGTCTGATACATTCAAGTAACTCTTACCACTGAGTAACTCCAGAGAGGTTTATTTCAGCCAAAGCGATCTGAACCTGTGTAAACAAATATAATTTAGTAATATCTGTGCATGTTTCTCTTGTATTAGATTGTTTTATATTGTATTTTTGTATTGCAGTTGTACCTGTCCTATCACATCAGGCCCTCGGAAAGAAGCGTTATTCTTCACTGACACACTTAGATGGCGCTGTTTAACCTCCTCCAGCGGCAAGTCAAACTCAAATCTGCGACAGAACAGGTTAAGTTTCGTGAAAAATAAAAAGCAATGTATCAAAATATTAGAATATTAGAACTAAAAGGTGCATTATGTCACTTTTTCTGAAACGCCGCCTGCTTGTTTCCATGTGGATGTTATTGCTTTGAGTAAAATGTATGGCATTAATCTCCATGGAAACAAGCAGGTAACGGTACCAAGCCTCATTCAAGTCAGATCTGTGGTGTGGAGAGAATTAAACAACAATGCTAGATACAAAGGTTACATGTCATACTGCGTAACATCCTAAGCAAAGCAATAGTATGTCAAAAGTTACATAGAGCATCTTTAATATGGCAAAATGATTTAAAATATTTTCAGTTTGGAGATGTCTTTGAAAATAGTAAATGGCTAAAGTGTTATACAGACCCCTGCTCTTTATCTGAAGTCATGACATCATCAAATTCTCAAATGTGAATGTGTCTTATTGCAAGTCAATAAAAGTGAAACAGAGTAAAAATCACTTTGACTGACCTCTCATTGAACTCCGGGTCGAGCACTTTCTTCTTCACGGCCGTCTTCTTCTTTGTAGATTTGTGTTTGTCTGGGAGCAGCATCAGAGACACGTAACTGTCAACGCCATCCTTACTCTGAGACAACAGGTCCCTGCAGAAGACAACAAATACAATAAGATACAATACAATAGAATAAATCAAATAGAATAGAATTAACTAAATAAAATAGAATAGATTATATACATTTTATTGATTTTGTTTTTATTTCGAGTTTGTGCCAATAGAGAAACAATAATCATATAAATACTCCATGTACATTGTAAACAACAGAAAAGCACATTTCTCGAAAAGAAGCGGGAAGAAGAAAAACTTATATTAAACCACCCCTGTTCATGACATAGTTTCAAAAATTATGTGGTTCTTTATGTACAATGATCACGAAACTTTACAAATATTTACATGCCAAAATAAATTACATACTATGCATACTTATTATAATTTTAAACCAATTTCTTTCTTTTTTTGTATTGTACTGTATTATGTTTTACAGTTTTATATATATATATATAAATATATAGATACATAAATATCATAATGTAAATATCGATCAATACATCTATGCAAAACCTAAGGCTGACTTTACACTTGTACTGGTCCAGTCCTGGTTTAGTCCTTGGGTTGGTCCTGTTCAAGTCCTGGTTTAGTCTTGGTCTAGTCCAGGTTTAGGCCCAGGTTTAGTCCTAGTTTTGATAGTCTCTGTAATTACCGAGATATTGCGAGCAGTGAGGATACAGTACATTTGATTCTAAGTACAAAATGTTCACTGCAAACTCGGGATGATTTCTTAGGCAGTCAAAAGTTTCCTTTTTCGTCCTTCCTGTGGATCAATCCTGCCCATCGCCTTCACCTTTCACTATTTTTCAATTCCGTTGGGAAAGGAAATGGTTTGAACAGAGGTTTGCAGCCTCACACATCTGATTCCCTTTCGCAGTTATGGAGTTCGCAAAAAAATTTCTTGAACTGTTTTCCATACAATTATGATGTTCGAATCCCCAAACTAAAAGATGACAATATCAGAACCAGAAACAAAAGTGATATGGTTCAAAAGACTTGAAATGATCAGCTTTGTCAATAGACGCATCCCCTGGGAAAACAAACATGCCGGTTTGATGCTCACTTTTTCAGAAAATCCTTCCCAGTATGCATTGCGCAGTGACAGGAAGTCCGAGATTCTAGATGCATCTATTATAAAAAATTTAACAGATGTGCCCAGGTCAGATCCAGCTGTCAGACCTCTCAACTCAGTTTGTCGTTTATGCACATGTCTTGTCACTTTCAGCAATGGCTATGATTTCTTTATTCATTCTGTTCCTAGATTAAAATACTTAAAATACCCCTTTTCTATGAGTGCATGTTGACGTTGTATACATAATAATCTGTGAGAATAATTCGTTCTAAACTGACCTGCATTCGTGTACAGTGACGGTGAGTTTCCTCTCCTGCGTTTGGTAAAACAGAGACATTCTGATCTGACCGTTCCCAGAGGGCGAGGGCAGAGACCCAGAGAGCATCAGGTCCACCAGCCTGGAGTCCAGGATCTGCTCAACAAACACACAAGATGAGGACAACAATGAGCTATTATTCACATGATCATACTGGCAACGGAGTCATATTTTCATGTTACAAGAGAAGCAACTTTGTGTCCATTGTGTAACTTTTCTGATGGAGTGTCTGTCAAATACTTTTTTTTTATTTAGATGTTATTTCTTTGTTTGTAATGTTTTCGCCGTATCTTCCTACCTTTCTATCTTCATGGAGACCAAACCAGATCAAGTTACAGGTCAGATCTGTGGAGAGGCGACCCCGCTCACAGTCAGAATGTCTGATTTTCGAGGTATTTTTGAGCTATAAAACCACTCGTAATTGAATCAATGTAAGGCAGAGCTGTTTAATGTCATACTGTGGAACATTCCAGGTAGAGCAATGACATACCCACAGAAACAAGCTGATGACAGATCCTCCACTAAAAAGTTACACAGTGCACCTTTTATTATTTATTGTTGTCTGTCTTCTTTTAGTCCTGGTTCAGTCCTGGACACATCTCAAGTCAGTCTGCTGGTTTTTGTTATTTTGTATTTTAGAGTTTTTTTACTTCTCAAAAGTGAAGGAAAAGGAAATTAACTTGGAAAAGCAGTCATGATTTGATTGCAGGGACTGTTGTGTACCTTGAGTTGAGCCCTGAGGAGGATCTGGCTTTGTGGCGTAGCTCCGTCCAGAGAGAGCCACTCATCCAGAACCAGACCTGGTCCAGAGAGCAGAGACCGGACTGGGACCACCACGGACCCCATGGGCTGCTCCCATCCACTCGACAACTGCAGGGAGGAAATACATGACAGGGCCCATCTCATGCAAAATCAACTTTTCAGAGCTTTCTACCTTCTAAGAGTGATGTGTGGGCCTTGTATGTGTCACAGAAGTGGTTTTTAGATTGATTTGGCATTTTTTAACAAATTGCAGCATATTTCTGCCACCCTCCCACGTGACAACAAACTAAAGCTGCTACAACCATGACGCGGCAGCTACACCTATGACGCGTTGGACGTAACAGAAGGCACTTCGCACCCACTCACTCAGTCTACGTCACGTTTGGAGGGCGGAGCCTGTGCTTTCTCAGTACAGGCGGGGGGATGAGCAATAGTCGGTCTTTCATAGTTCCTGGTCTGTGACTGCCTCCAAGAAATCAGTAAGATTTCAGAACTATTGTGTAATGGATGTTCCAAAACCCAAATTGTGCTTATATATGTGCAGAAGATACAATGTGAAAAGAGTTATTTTGCATGCGATGGGCCCTTTAAAGGCCACCACACCCTACAGGATTGTTCTGTCTTAAACAACCTTTAAACATGTGACAAAAAGAGCACACCACAGACACGAGGAGAATCTTATGAGAGTTAAAATCTCCGATTACAAAGACTGCAGTGGGATCTGTCTGCGGATCACAGGATATAAAACTGTGAGCACGATGGTGTCTGCTGTTTCCTGTCTACAGTAAAACCACTCGCTTTGAGACTCTTAAGTGTTCAAATGATCAGAGCACAAGTCAAAACTGTGTTATTATTATTTGTGAAATGTGCTGCAAAACTTCAGATACATGATTTTTAATGCACAGAATGTTGGAGATGAAGTCCACAGGAAAAGTCACTATCATTAATCTGCAGCTTCACCTTGATCCTTGCACTGTGTGGATGTAAACAGACATATGTGAAGAACAAATTTTGCTTTTTCACTTTTAAAGAATGCCTCAAACTGGATTAACAGCGAGATTTTGTCGACTGGATGTCATTATTTGCGGAGGACATTTTCTATGAATAATATGGATGAGATGCTTTAAACTTACAACTTTACTAAAGGTGAGGAATAAAGTCTTGTCATTATTTTTGCTGTATCCCGAATTTATATCTTGCGCTTCTGTGTCCGTCACTCCTCTGCCCCTGACGCTCTGTTTTATTGGCTGTTACCATAGTGTTTCTCATGTTTAGTGGTTATGATCTAACAGAGCAGCTCAGAGTCACACACGAGGAGCAGCGGCTTCAAAATCACACACAAAGACACAAAGTCGGGTCACGCCTCCTCCAACTCGGGGAGAAGCAAATTGCAGGCAAAATAGGGCAAATCCTCCTGTAGTGTGCGGTTAAGCCTGAACAAATATAAACAAAGTGTGATTAGAATAAACCAGAGACGTACCTTCACGATGAGCATGTCGTCTTTCGGGTTTTTTATGTTAAAGTAGAAGGACTCGTTCCACTCTGGGCTGGACGTGCGCTCACACAACTACAGATAAAAGGAACAGTAAAAAGCTAAAATCATATAATATCTAATCTACAGTCTTAAATAGTTTTGTCAGCCAGAATGAAGTAAATATAAGATTTATAGGGAAGAATAACAACCATACTTCAATAAGGAAATCTCATACAGTCTATGGTAGGGCTGGGTCTCTGTTATCTGATGATTTCTTAATGACAACTTTTTTCACATTTTTGTAATTAAAATATGAATAAAATAAAAATCTAGATAGTCAATCTATTTTGGACAAACCTTTATGTTATGACAAACTTTGTAAATAAGTCTAGTAAGTAAGTATTTATATAGCGCTTTTTCAGACATTTTCTGTCCCCAAAGACGCTTTACAGAGCATTATTCAACATTATTCACATTGTTGTTACCAGTTTTACCTGTGATTTATATGAAGTTTGTCCAACAGTCAGCTCTGCTCCAGCTTTGGGCTCCTTTCCACTTTTCTTCAGCTAAAGGAAATGAAGTAACAGAAAGAAAGACAGACAGTATTAAATAATGGACAATATTAAAACTCTAGAGTAGATCTGTGGTTCTGGTAAAACAACAGGTTGGGTTCACATGACTTCACAACATTCTGAAATCTTTATAGCTTAAAGTGGGTAACAGGTTTTTATGATTTTAATTAATCATTACATTTATAGCACCTTTCACGATGGAAAGCGCTTTACAGTTCATTGTTCATTCACTCAACACTCAGTGGTGGTAAGCTACTACTCTAGCCACAGGTGCCCCGGGGCAGACTGACAGAAACGAGGCTGCCAATCTGCGCCATCAGTTGTTATTATTATAAGCCTGAACAATGCACTTTAAACTTTGATGTAACATTGTCATCTAGCTTATTAATATTTGTATCTTGTTTATTTCACAGTGTCATGTGTCATCTGCAATAATTATCTTTATTTATGTGGTAGTTTTGTCTCTTGGTGCACATTGAATTTTTTGCACATAGTTTTCCAATGTGGTTTTTAACTACAAATAATAACTTAACAAATAATGTTAAAGTTCAACATTTGTAGATCATACTCCAGGCTACTGCCCTCCACCTGAATTTACGACATCATAAAATTCTAGATTAGAAAGTGATCATAAGAAGCAGTATTCCGTAGAATATTCTACAGACACTTTCTGCAGTGTTTGGAGTGTATTAAATGCTGTGTCACTTACGGGAAGTGAATGAGCTCTCTCTAAGTAGACAAAGAGCAGAGCGGCTGACAGAACCGCTTTGTTTTGATATGTTTGTAGAGACTGGAGCTGCAGAATCTGTAGGGAAAAAAAAAAACACACAAAAATGTCCTTCAATAAAATGCGGTTTATGAGACTAGCGTGTAGGAATGTGGCAAGATAACAATATAACTACAGTATTTGAACAAGGGTTAGGTTCATGAAGTTACACAGTGATAAAATGAAGACTGGGCTGCAAGGTTATTCGCAGCTGAATCAAAATTACAGTTTGAATGGACACAATTAGCAAATCTCAGTGGCTGCAGTGTTAGACATACAATAATTTCCTCCATAGACAACAAAATCTCCTGTGTTATTCTGGATAAAATCTGCTATCCCTGTAGTTTAGATCTGCACAAACATGTTCTGAAATGTGATTCTTGTATTAGTTTGTCAGTTCAGATTTCAGTATTTTTAAGTGATGGGCAAATGAGTCGAAGCTCCGGAGCATGTCTCGTTCTTTCTGAAACAAATTGCACCGAAGCACTGCCTCGGAGCTCGTCTCGCAGCAGCCGCTCGCGTGACCAAAGTGTGGAAGTGTCGGTCCCTCCCAGTACTGCTTCGCTCTGCGTGTCAGTCGCTTCAGTGTATCGAAGCGTTTTTTTGGCTCATCGAATGTTCCGCTCTGCGATTGGTTCAGAGTGCTTCAGAGTGTTCAGCGCACTTCAGCTGAACTGCTACAGTATAAAAGATGCACCAATATTTCTTAAATATGTTGGGTAGTCAGAAGTATTGTGTGACGTTAGTGGTGATTTTGGTGACTTTTGGCATTTGTTTCATTTCGATGGCATCTGCAAGTAGAAAAAAGCGATCCATGGTTTGGGATCACTTTGATCTAATTCCAATGAACAAGGTCACCTATTTTCTTATTTACAGCATGCTGTTTATGTTGCTCTTTACATATTATTTTAAATCATCATTATTATTGTTGTTGTTAGGTACGGTGTCGCTCTGTACACAAGTATTGTCTTACACTAACAATACTTGATCGATGCTGAGACACCTGCGTGACAATGGTTAAATTTGTCCACTAGAGGTCAGTGTTTCTCCAAGGCCTCAGACACGTCGAACCATTTGAGACAATATTGCGACTGAGGTGACAATGCTTCACGAGGCTCCATTCGCCCATCACTAGTATTTTTGTCAATTCTCTCTGGATGTGTTTAAAACATGAACACTGAACAGAATCCTATTATTAAAACATAAATCGCAATGACATATTTTGGAAACAAATATAACAACTCACCTGGTCGAGTCGTGCTGGGTCGGTCACTGTAGGAACCCACTCTAAAATCAGGTGAATGCGTCCAGACTTTACGTCGTTTAAAGTGTACCACTGTAAACAGAATGTTATGAAGTCTTACAAACATGTTCATAAAAAAGGAAATGCCTTTAAAATTATGGTTTAAGTTTGTAATAAATAGTAAAAGAAGATGAAAAGAAATGATGATGGTGAAAATAACATTAGTTTAAGTATAGGGACTAAAAATGTTTATTTAAAAATGGAAAAAAAAATTGGCCAAAATATTTCAATGTATGGGTGCCTAGCGGTGTGTTTATGTTGCACTACCACATAACTTTGTTTCATTTAACCAAATTTGTGTCAGTGTGTGTGTGGTTGGGGGGAAATGGGGAGGACTTTTTTTGTTGTTGTTGTTGTTTTGTATTTGTTGTGGGTGTTCTGGGTGTTGCTTTATGTTTCTGTGTTTTGTTTTTATGTTGATTACTGTAATTAATTAAATGTTGCTTATTGTATTTTGTCAAATGTTATATTCTGTTGTCCTTAATAAATAAAAATAATAATAAAATAAAAAAACTTACAGTGTCTTCACATGACTTCACTGGATGATTGACTGACCTGGTCTGTGTACTGGGATCTGATCACATCTTTCAAGTTGATGCTAAATCTGTAAAAATATGCATTACAAAATTTATTAGAAACACAATTTGAAACCACTGCATGTACACATTATTTTCTGAAATAAAGAAAATGAATAACTTAAGGTCCAACTAATTTCAAACTGGACGATGATCACAACTTAAATGTAGATGCCATTCTGAGGATAACAAACACAACTTGGTTATAGCTTTAGAATCTGGCAACCCAAAACACATTCAACATTTCAATGGACTGGATAACTGGCTTGGCTAATTCTGGCATATTTTTAGAAATGTTAAAAATAAAACAGATGGTTTCAATGGTGATCATTTGGAGAACCATTGAAACCTTTTCTACATTGAACCGCTCCTGGACAAATGGGGCTGAGATGTGTTATCCCTCATATCTAATGCTTGCAATTGCCAATAATAACTAAAATAAGCCTGTTTTACATTGTTAGGTTAAAGACATTTTCATTCTGTTTATAATGTTTATATTTACAACATCTATTTGGAGGTTTATAAAATGTGAAAGCATTTTATGAGCAACAAAACGGCCCAGTTATGTAGAGCAATGACGAGGGATTAACAATAACCAAAATATCGTGATATCGTACCGTCAGAACTCTCACAATATATCGAATTGCAAGGTTTTTCACTCAAAAGTATTAAACTGCATAGGCCATGATCCTGTACTTACTTTACTATATTAACAGTTATTAAGCACATTTAAATCTTATTTCTTTGGAATATGGCAGGAATGATTCACACTGAAGACTCGTCACGGTATTTAAAAAGGAAAAAATAGTGTATGTACAATTGTTAATCCCTTCAAAATAATCGCAAATAAAATATCGTACCGTGAGATTTGGATATTGTTACATCCAGATCTTAATCAAGAGATATGACAGATTTTAATCAAGAAAAAGTCAATTAAACAATGCAAGCACCTGTTTAAAATATCACTTGTATCTGATCAAAACTTTAATGTTAAGTAAGATTCAGTTCTCTCTTATATATAATAAATATTTTTAACTATTAAAAAAATGCACTGTCTTTCAAATAAAAACACGACATGGAATTACAAATGTCATCAGTAAATCAATAATTAATTTGATGCAATCTAAGAATAGGGAGTCACACATCTATAAATCTGACATTGTTTATTATTGGTCATAGGCACACCACTTGACACACCATGGAGAGAAAGCCATAATACCATAATATGGAATCTTATCCGTGAAGAAAGGCCAGTGCATAAGCTCCATACTGAGTGTTGGTGTTGCTCATATCTTTATAAGTGTTACTTATTAAACTCACCTGCCCAGGAAGTCATCAGAGTCCAGGTCTTTGTCAAACGCCTCCACGTGGATCTCCTGTGCACTGTCTGCTTTTAACACCACCTGCAACGACCACAACAATATTTAATTTCACCCATTTACAACCATTAAAGCTGCACTATGTAACTTTTCTGGTGCAGGTCTGCCATCAGCTTGTCTCCATGGAGATCGTATTACTGTACTTTGCCTGGAATGCTCTACAGCAGGCTGTCTAACCTTTTTTCTCTGGGGAGTTACCTTTATGAAATAAAAATGCCAGAGAGCTACTTGTTTTAGCGGTTGCAAGAAATTGAGAAAGTAGAAGAGCCATGGTGAGCCTTAGACAGAGTACAATTAGATGCCTATTAAAGGGCCACTGAACACCAAAATCACTTTTTTTTCTAAAATGGGCCTAAAATAGAAATGTCTACATATCCCTGGCCTTATTTTGGCATTTTACTGCATATTTGTTAAAAATCTGACTTTTGGGTCAAAGTCGTGTCTGTAACGACTTCTTTAGGATCAACTATGGCCAGGACATTTGAATTTTCGGGTTGGACTAACGGCCACCAGTGAGTCAGATGCAGGTTATTACATGACAAGTGCAAACACTGGTGCCTATGGGCAGGACGTGAGGAGCTCCTCTCAGCCCCGCCCTGACCTGGCACTGCTGGACACTACGATGTCCCACCGTGTCTGGAGAAAAGGGAAATGGCATGATCCGAGCACAAATGTCAGCTCTGTTTCAAAGTCCAGAGCGCACCGGGTCGAGCCGTGTTGGATTTGCTGTCAGTTATCCCCCAATCTGCCGAGCACCGCTCACTCTGGAGGCTTTTTCAGGTTTTGCTTCAGGGAGTAAAGCTTCAGGAGAGTGTTTAATGGCTCTTTGAACATAAATAATAATCCATTTATTAGTGTACAAGTTCGGCATCAAAATTATACATTTACAACAGCAATTACCGGTAATCAGATTTTACATAATAATCGCAATACATATACTTCAGAAATCCCTTGGTGAGCTACTTGGAAGGGGGTGGAGAGCTACTGGTGGCTCCTGAGCTACATGTTGGAGACTCCTGCTCTATAGTATGGGATAAAAGCTACTGTACCCAATTTCACCCCATCTAGTTTGGCCACAATTAGTACATATATTTTATAAGCAGCTCTTGAGGTGTGTGTACTGTCACATAATCAGGGTGTGTGTGTGTGTGTACATTGCAGTTGTTGTTTGCTTTACTGTGATGACAAAACTCTGGTCTGCTCTCTGAAAGTTGTGAAAAGTGCTTATGCAATGCAGTGAGTAGGTGTTCTTACTGCTAAAAGAAACCTTGAAATACAGCAGATACAGCACAGCAGCATCTCCATAGAGACTATCAGGGGACCTTCCACTAAAAAAGTTACACAGTGCACCTTTAAATGTCCATAATAAACTGATATTCCAGCTCCTACCTCGTACATCTCGTTCCAGGTGGGGTTGAGGTTTTCCTTGATCACATGACTCTTGAAAGCAGTTTTGCCTATGGTGATGTTCACGTAGGGGTCGCTCTTCCCTTTCACCATCCCACCCATCAGATTGTCTTTGGCCACCAGACTGCGAGCTTCCAGCAGGAGAATCCTCAGCAGGCCCTAAGAATATAAAAAAAGATCTGTGATTATGGTTATAAAGGTGAAAAGGGGGATAGAGGAAGGAGAGAGGAAGGAGAGACATTCAGACGAAGAAATAACTATTTTAAAGCCTCGCTGCTTAACAACAGGCGTGTATGCTCCTTATTTGTCTTCATAGAGTTAGATTAGTTTACCATACCCATGTTGAATTGTAATTAAAAAGCTGATTTTTGATTATTAAAAAGTAACTACCACATTTTTGGGCAACATGTAAAGGTGCATTTGACAATAACGTCCTGTCATTTTTAGCATCTTGTTTAATTTAGTTAGAAAAACCACAGATTTTTGCAAAAAGTCTGCTATTTTACATGTCTTTAATATACTTTGATATAACAATGATAACTATACTGACCTCTGTGGCAAAGTCATGGTTTGGAGTGGTGTTTGGAGGCAGGACTTCTGCAGGTTCTTCAGGGAGACCAGTGACTGTGGCCTGGACTAGATCCTCCAGACCAGTACTGAGACCAGACAAATAAAAAATATATATATTACCTTTGATAAAAAAAATAAAACATATGAACAAAATATTTCGGAAATACAGTTTTTGGTACAACTACTACATTATACAAACTGCTGCTTGTACATACAAAATGATTATTGGTTTATTTGGTCCATATAGAGCATGTTTAAGAGGGAGTATTACATTTTGGTGTATTAACGGGTAACATATAACATGTTTAGTTCACTATGTTACCTTTTATTGTTTAGAAAATGCTATATTCGCCGAAAACAACGTATTAACATGTTTTATATGTTTTGTTTTCATCTTGATGCTCTGAGTATCCCCTCTCTTTGCTCTCTGCACTAAGTCACTTCTATGGAGTAAAAAAGCTTGCAGAAATATTTGTGTGCATAGGATAGAAATCTGTGCATATTTGGGAAATCTGTGGATATTTGTCTGTAGTTGAGCATAAAATAAATATTCGTAAACTCTCAAATGAGTCCATCAAAATACAAACTGAAAAGTTACGACATCAGGAATTACAATCACAAAATGAAAATGTACGATTACCCTTTTTTCGGTATGAATACAAATTCAGACGCGACTTTACTGTCAAAAATACGTCATCAGTATTGAATGTATTCTGATGGATAAAATACACACAATACATTTCATGTATGACTGGACCCTTTCGATAGTTTACGAAATTTATTTTATTCTCAACTACAGACAAATGCACGGATTTCTATTCTATGCACACAAATATTTCTGAAAGCTTTCTTACTCCATACACTCCCCCTTCAGAGCATTATCACAACACAATCAGCATGCATCTTGCTAAATAAAACTACTACACATCACATCAGGTTTGTGAAGTTTGCTGTGTTACAATTTTCTGTCATGTTTTTGTATATTTATGGAGAATTGCCGTGACATATCTAAAACTTTGGGCATGTTTTTGATGAGGGAACAAGTGTTATAATATGCTAAAAAGCAAAAAAAAAAAAAGTGCACAATTATCCATAGACAGACACGAGATACACAAAACAATAGCGTAAACTCACCCTTTCGTGTCTACCGTTGGTTTTAAGTGCTCGGTTGCTGTAGGCCCTGAATTGATAAGCTGCTCCTCTGTCTCTTCTTGTTCCTCCTCCATCTGAGAAAAGTGTTACGGTTCAAATAAAACAAATTTAAGCGGCCATTCTGAAACTCTTTAGTGCTGTTGTCTCACCTCGGCAGCTGGAGGAGCAGACGGTAAAGTGTGAGGAGAGGTGTGCGTCTCCTCAGGTTCGACATCTGTCTCTTGGACCTGAGGCTGCGTCCATTCTGAAACAGGCCTGACAAAACAGAGAACATATTGTATTACTGTTGGATGTTCAGATGTTTTGGGCAGGTTTATGGTTAATATTTCTGTAATTACTGAAGCAAATGAAACAAAAACTGGTTTAATGTCTTCCCTGTCAGCACCTGAATTGTGAAGCTGAATTGTGTAACTTTTCTGGAGGAGAGTCCATCAAATGTTTGTGGAGATGCTATTGCTTTGTCTGGAATGTTTCATAGTATGGCATTAAACCTTTGTATCATCACAGAGACCAAACCAGACCAAGTTACAAGTCAGATCTGTGGAGAGGCGACCCCACTCACAGTCAGAATGTCTGTTTTATTAGGTATTTTTGAGCAATAAAACCACTTGTAATTCAATAAACGTAAGGTAGAGCTGTTTAATGTCATACTGTGGAACATTCAAAGCAGAGCAATGACATATCCAAAGGCATAAGACCCTTTTAAGACCCTCCACCAGAAAAGTTACATAATGCAAGGTGCATTAACTGCATAACTAATAATGTAGCATTACCCAGTTGATAGAACATCAAGCCTTATTTTAAACATATTTTGGCCATACGTGATGATCAGAAATGTAGCAATCGTGCAGTACATATGTTTTCTGCTCGTTTTTGCTCAGGGTGATCACAACAAATCAACAAAACAGTGGGAACATTTACTTTGTCGGTGAAAATCAGATAACTAGAACAGGGGTCTCCAGCCTATAAGTTGGGAGTTACCAGTAGCTCTCCTCCCCCTTTCAAGTAGCTCATCAAGAGATTTCTGAAGTACAATGAAATGCCTATTACCATTGTACATGTATCATTTGTACACTACTAAATGGAAAATGGTTTATTTTTTATAGCCATCTATCTTTGGGTGACCAGACGTCCCTGTTTAACCTTGAGAGTCCCAGTTTTAAGCCCTGTGTCTCCTGTCCCAGCAGATTCATCCAAAACCATTGATTTGTCCCAGTTTTATACAAGAAATGTCCCAGGTGTCCCTATTTTTGACCAATTTGATCCTTGTCAACAGTAAAGAGAAGCATACATTGTCATTTGTTTAGGTAAAATAAAGAAAAGCGGCTTAAGAATGACCAGAACACAAAGAAAATGTGACTACATTGACTCACATTAGTGCAGAGTGCAGAACAATTTTCCTTAGTTACGCACCTGCTTCGTAATTTTATTATTACCAACTAACCCAAACCAAGGATGTCCCATTTTTTTATTTTGAAAATCTGGTCGCCCTAATCTCTCTGTACATTATCTAAGGCTTGCTGTGGCTCTTATATATACTTAGTTTCTCGTGACTGCTAAAACTAGTAGCTCTCTGGCATTTTCTTTTTGTAAAGGTAGCTCACCGGAGAAAAAAAGGTTGGAGACCCCTGAACTAGAGTAATCAGACAACCAATAATTACATCTGATTTTGGCCTGATTTTGTATATGAGCAAAATTTGCCTTGCCTCTGCAGAGATATATTGTATAATATGTAAGTCCACTGTGCACTGTCTGCATCTTATTAATAAAGAAATGTATTATGTGATAAACAGGTCACTGTTAGCATGCTAGTTGTTGTGAAACACGCTTGGAAACTCATCAAAAAATTAGGATACTCTGAGCTCATAAGATATGTGTTTTTTTTAAGGTTGTACCATGTCTATAATTATAATCCATAATATAAACTTGATGGCTATAAAAATCTATCACTCACTCCGGCTGCAGCTGCTCTGGTAGTTTCTGGTCTTCAATCACTGCTTTAAAAGTGGGTTCAGTTTCTGCAGCTCCAGGGACAGACAGCAGTGGCACCTCTGTCAGCTTTGAGTCCAGGATCTATAAAATACATTATAACATTACATCAGTCTACCAAGGTAGAACAATCTGAAATAGACGAGTGACAAAACTGCATACTGTTCATACTAAAACAAGTACTAGGCCTACAGCATATTTAAATACTGTCAGGATCAATACTGAAAAATAATGTCCAATGTTCTGAATAGTTTAAACAGAATTTGAAAATAATGCGTACTGTATATGGTACAGTACATGGTATTATTAAAGAAACAATTATTGTTTTGTGTTGAAAATCACATTATACTCTAAATAATAATGACTGTGATATAAAAATCAGACCTGAACCCTTTTTCTTGGTTGTTCAAAATTCAAAGTTGAAAATATTGCAGCACTATTGTGGAATCATTTAAAACATACAGCATGTAATAAATCCAAACTATGCTCTAGTCTGATCATACTTGTCTATACTTTATCTATAATCACTTTGCACCTGTAACTGACAAAACTGTTTTAGAGATCGTTACCAGTCTGAGTTCATCTACTTGCTGCCTGGACATGTTACCCACTAGATTTCTAAAGTCCGTCCTCAACAGTTTACTTTCACCACTCACTCACATAGTTAACATGTCACTTCAATCTGGAACATTCCCAAACGCGTTGAAAACTGCGGTCATTAAGCCTCTCCTAAAGAAGAGCAGTCTTGATGCCACAGTACTGAACAATTTCAGACCCATCTCAAATCTGCCGTTTTTTGGCAAAGTCCTTGAAAAAGCTGTTTACCAACAGCTTACGAACTTTCTCCAAATGAACAACTCCTTTGATGTTTTCCAGTCAGGTTTTAGAGCACCACAGCACTGAGACTGCTCTTATCAAGGTGACAAATGACATCCGCCTGAACACTGATGCAGGCAAAGTCTCAGTCTTGATCCTGTTAGATCTGAGTGCTGCTTTTGACACTGTCGATCATGGGATCCTCTTACAGAGACTAGAGGACTGGGTGGGCATTTCTGGTACTGTACTAAACTGGTTCAAGTCCTATCTAGAAGACAGGAAGTATTTTGTTGAAATTGGAAACTGTGTCTCAGATGACATGGCCCTGACCTGTGGGGTGCCTCAGGGGTCAATCCTGGGCCCCCTGTTGTTCAATCTCTACATGCTGCCATTAGGCCAGTTAATAAGCAGCAATAATGTGTCCTACCACAATTATGCAGATGACACTCAGATCTACGTCTCTCTGGCAGCAGGAGACTATGGACCAGTGGAGTCACTTGTCACTGCATCCAACAGATCAGTGTGTGGATGCAAAACAACTTTCTCCAGCTAAACTCTGACAAGACTGAAGTCATAGTGTTTGGTCCACAGAAACAAAGGGACAGTGTCAGCAGTCACCTCCAGTCTCTCGCTCTAAAACCTTCAAATCAGGCAAGAAATCTAGGGGTAATAATGGACTCAGACTTGAACTTTAACAGTCACATAAAATCAATAACATCTGCCGCCTTTTACCATCTAAAAAACATAGCAAAAATCAAAGGTTTACTGTCTAAATCAGACTTGGAGAAACTTATCCATGCATTTGTCTCCAGTAGGTTAGACTACTGTAATGGTCTGCTCACTGGTCTCTCCAAACGAGCTGTGAGACGCTGCAGAACATCCAGAATGCTGCAGCTCGGGTCCTTACTCGAACTAGGAAGTACGAGCACATAAGTCCTGTGCTTCAGGTCTCTGCACTGGCTTCCTGTGCCTCAGAGAATAGACTTTAAGCAGCTCTGCTTGTGTACAAGTCTCTCCATGGCAGAGCACCAAAGTACATCTGTGACATGTTAGTGGCATATGAACCATCTCGCACTCTGAGGACCTCAGGGACCGGCCTCCTGCTGGTGCCCAGAGTCAGGACTAAACAAGGGGAGTCAGCGTTTCAGGTTCATGCAGCTAAAACCTGGAACAGTCTGAACATGTGAGACAGACTCTTCTGTGACGCTGTTTAAATCCAGACTCAAAACATTTCTGTTTAACTGTGCATATAACTGAAAGGTTTTCATTCCACACTCTTCTTCCAATTATGTCTCTCTTTTTTAATTTTAATCTTCATGATTATTTTGTTTTGATTTGTTTTTATTATGATTTTAATGTATTTCTTATTCTGTAAAGCACTTTGAATACTTTATGTACGAATTGTGCTATACAAATAAACTTGCCTTGCCTTTTAAAATCCCTTAAATATCTGAAATGTCTAACCTTGAGTTCAGTCCGCAGAAGGATCTGACTTTCAGGTAAAGCTCCGTCTAAATTCATCCATTTGTCCAGAACTAGCTGAGGCTCAGAGAGGAGGTCCCTGACAGGGACCTCCACAGAACCAATGGGCTGATCCCACGCACTGGACACCTACAGAGGGGAAGACAACAAAGTTCACATGATTTAAATTCTCTTTTCTTCTTCGATTTAAAACATGGTTCGCACTATTTTGAACTAATTACAAAATATACATTCAAAATAAAAATAAAATAACCTTCAATATCAGCTTTTCCTCTGTTGGATTCTGAACCAAGAAGTGGAATGATTCTTTCCACTCTGGAGCTCTGGAGCGGTCGCACACCTGAACACACAACAGAAAAACGATGTTTCAGTGGGGAAACACATGTGTTGTTGTTTTGAGTTTGACCATGAGGGGGCGTTACAGTTGTGTATAATTCTTTGCTTGTGTAATTACATACCTTGGTTTTGTGGCTTGTCTTCCCAAGTACGAGCTCCACCGCAGGCCTGGGCTCCTTTCCACTTTTCTTAAACTAGAAAATCATTCATAAAGGTTTAAAATAAAGTTTAAATGACCATGTCAGAAAATCTTTCAGAACATACAGTATTTAAAGAACTCTATATGTCCAGTGCTCTCACAGACCATAAAAGTTATTACAATCCGAACTGAACCTGTGCTGCCAGAGTCTTAACCTGCAGATAGATATATATACAAGTTTTCTCATTCTCAGTATATAGACAAACCATGTCTCATGTGAAAACTCAGAACTTCCAGAATTCACTCCCTGAGCTGCAGAGGCTGCAATAGCACTGACTCATGACATGAGCGGAATCAGCATTACTTAATAATTCAGTAAAAGCTATATGTGATTTGAACATGTTTACCTCATATTTGGGGACACTGTTAGATTAATTTTATCATTTTATATCTGTATATTTGTTATGTTCATTTAGTTACAAGTATAACACTCTCTAGTTTAATGACGTGGTCACATGTTTGTTTTTTATTATTTCATGTCTGTGTTCTCATATTATAATTTTTGTCACTGAAAAAACTTCCCAAAAACGTTGTTGGGAGGACAGAATTTACCTTTCTTTTGCTGTTAAATCTAATAGGGCGTCCTATGTAGTGCCTATGGACTTGTCTTGCCTATTGGGAATGAAAATAACTTGAATAAACTGAATGAGAGCAGAACATGTTTTTCTTACAGGCAGTGAATGAGCTCGGTCCACATAAACGAAGAGCAGAGCAGCTGTGGGAACAGCCTTGTTTTTGTATGAATGGAGAGACTGCAGCTGCATCACCTGATAGAGGAATAATGAAAAGCACATTACAGGGATATGAGATATACAGTATATTATAACAGAAGGATAGCTGCACTTACCCTGTCCAGAGATGCATGATGGGAAACTGTTGGGATCCACTCCAGAATCAGACGCACACGACCAGATTTAACGTCATTTAAGGTGTACCACTGACAATAAAATAAAATCATACTTGGTCAGATTTTTCAGATTTGAATATGGGAACAATTAACAAGAAAAAGTGCAAACGTACTTCGTCTGAGAACTGTGATCTGATGATGTCGGCTACACTCACTTTGAACCTGTTTACAGTAAAGAAAAGGCCTTAGGCATGAGATGTACCATTTTACAGCTGCACTATGTAACTTTTCAGATCTGCTTGTCTCCATGGTGATAATATTGCTTTGCCTGGAATGTTGCACAATATGGCATTAAACATATTCATGTTTTATTTCCACAACAGGTTTTTATTGCTCAAAAACACATTGAAAAACATTCATTCTTCCTGTGAGTGGGGCCACCTATCCACAGATCTTACTTGTAATCTGGCAAAGCTACTACATCTCCATGGAGACAAGAAGGCTGCATGCCCTCCACCATTTTATTTTCTTAGATTCTTTTTAGAACAAGGTTTAATTTGTTTTCATACCTGATAAGTTTCAACTAGTTAAGGTTAAGGTTAAAGTAAAGGTACACTTTATTGTCTATACCCTCCAGAAGAAAAGTTACACAATGCACCTTTACGCCACAAACTTGATTGTTAAGTGACACCATCGATGTTGAAATATCACCTTTTTACTGAAATCTAAACTCTACTAAAAATGTGCTAGAAAACATCACTTGAAGAAGATGGAGCGGTGATGATATGTCTGGAGTTATAATTATATCCCGTTGTAATGACACAGTGTGAGGCCTGTGTGAGTGCAGAGGGATCAGGCAGAACCTCACCTGCCCATGAAGTCGTCTGAGTCCATGTCTTTGTCAAACAGCTCCAACTGCACCTCCTGCCCTGCCTGCGCCCTCAGCACCACCTACACATTATAAACATTATTATGTGGACTCATTACTGTTTTTATCAAGAAAAAAAAAGAAAAGTGCCACTACTGATACTTCAAGTTCTACAACTATATAAGAGTAGAGTAAGATTCATTCAAAATAATATTACATTACTGAAGTAGAATGTATTGGCATAATATACGTAGTAGATACATGAATTGTGAGATTCTGTTATTTCTAATGAATTTACCTAAAATAAAAAAACAAAAACTCATATCCGAAGTTAAGGTGTCAAAAGAGCAAATGTTCAGATCATTTCATATTGTCAGATAAATTGTCAGATACTTTAAGACAGAAACTGGTCCACCCAAAGGACAAAACACCAAGCCACAAACAAAGCAATGTGGTCTACTCCATTCAGTGCAGTGAAAACTCTAGTGAACGTTACACTGGAGAAAATAAACAGCTATTTCACAAGAGGATGAACCAACACAGACGAGAGAGCAACACAAGACCTGAGTCTGCTGTACATCTCCACTTAAAAAGCCACAGGCCGCTCATTTGAGAACAGCGAGGTACAGATTTTAGCCAGAAAAAAGAGTTGGTTTGAGAGGGGAGTGAAAGAAGCCATTTTTGTTAAGAAAGAGAATCCTTCTCTAAACAGAAATGGAGGCCTACGGCACTATCTAACTCCTATTTACAAGTCCATCCTCAAGCCTTATTCAAAACAAACAAGAGAACAATAGGTGTAGTCAGGTCAGGTCCAGAGGTGAGGGAGCACCCGTTATGCCCCTGAATTGTTATGCTAATTAGACCCCACACCCATTACAGGTCAATAGGCCAAACTAACAAACAGAAACTGTAAACAAATAGGTGTGTTAGTTTCAGTTAGTTAGCTCCCTGCAGACAGATATAAGGAAGTGTCCACCAACATTCTGCCCAGAACTGAAGATGCAGCTTGGATGAGCTGCGAAACGTCTTCAACCAAATTAACTTTTGTCCAGTCGACAAACTGTATTTTCTTCTCACCATGGATTCTACCTGGACGACTGAGGGACTCTTCACACTCATAGACTTACTCACAGTGGGAAGAGGAACCACAACTTTTACTCAAGTACTTTTTTCTGCTACTACTACAATCCCAGCACTAACCAACTAACTACTACTACTATCTCTGCTACTAATATTACTACTGACAGGACTATTATTACTCCTCGACCCCCCTCACCTGGTACATCTCGTTCCAGACTGGGTTGAGGTTTTCCTTGATGACGTTGCTCTTGAACACAGATTGTCCCACAGTGATTTTGGCGTAGGGGTCGCTCTTCCCCTTCACCATCCCTCCCATCAATTTGTCTTTGGCCACAAGACTCTGAGCCTCGAGCAGGACAATCCTCAGCATGCCCTGCAGAGAGGAGCACAACAAAATACCAGATATAAAAGAGTGTAGAGGCTATCTGTAATGAGGTCTGTAATGAGAATTATACTGGCATTAGTTTTTGTACATTATATTTTATGTACTATGAAATGTTTCGAAATGTTCAGGGTCAAATAATTAACATCTGACTCATTATATAGGGCGATTAAAAACTGAAGTGTTTGTTTTTTTTCTATTTATTTAAGTCTTTAACAATCTGTTGTTTTGATTTAAGGGTTTACTGGTTTTGTCCTGATTTAGGGTTACTGTATAAGTAAGTTTTTTTTTAAATTCAAATTTTTATTGACAGTCTAGTAGAAATGACAGTTTCAAATCACAATTTTTTCCCCTTCAGCCTTCTTTCACTTCACATATCTCACTATTATAGTATTGAAAATTTCTTTCTTTTTTTCCCCCTTATTCCGTTGAGAATACAAAGTAAAAAAATAAAAAACAAATATTTGAACATTTGAGTAGCAGTGTACAGAGATTGTCACTGATGTTCCTTTTTTTTTTTATGTTTGGGTATTAATAAAGTCTTTCCATGGTTTCCAGCCTTCCTCATACCTGTCGTATTCCAATCTTTGTTTGAGTGTCAGTCTTTCCATTTGTGAAATGTCTTCCACAATGTTAATCCAGTCCTCCAAATTCGGTAGTTTAGCACTCATACATTTTTGGTTATTGTTTTCTTGCTCGCGACCAGCAGAATGTTCCACATATATAAGTGGCCTTTTATTGCTCTTTTATCTCTTTCTGTAATGTTTTAATAGTTTTTTTCTGTATCTGTAATACTGACACTGTAACTGGTACAGATGTTTATTAATATGCTCACTTCCTATAAAATAATATAAAGATTAATCAACAGCTAAAGGGGAACATACCTTTAACTACATTTAAAACAGAGCTGCTTTAGAAATTCTTTTGTTTCTTTACTTTATTTCCCACAAACCTCGCTGGCGAAGCTGATATCTGGAGAGGTGTGGGGAGGGAGTGTGACCACAGGGACCTTCTCCTCCTCTTCCTCCTCCTCTTCTTCTGCTGTTGGGGCTTCTGCAGCTTTAACCTCCTCCTCTTCTCTCACCAACACTGAGGGAACGATAGTCTCAACAGGAGTGGGGTCCACAGTGCTGGATCTGGAAGAAAATGGAGGAAAATAATAAAGACAAATAAACAAAATAAATTTATGTGTAATCGTTGTGTCTTACTTGAGAGCAGGGTCAGTCTCCTGTTTTCTGGGGGCAGGGACAGGATCTGAGGGAGCAGGGACACTCACTTTGGGCTCTTTGGGCACTGGACATTTGGAAGGAACCAACATCTGAAAGAAAATCACACAGTGTAACTTAATATTTGAGTAATTAGGCATGAAGTTATTGTTTTGCTTTTGAGGAAACTCCAGCTACGAGGTAGACATGTTTTACTGGTAGCAATTGTAATGCTGATTTATTCTTAATTATAAAAACATTGGACATGATGGTGTTACAACTTTGTATTTTGGTTCTAAAGACAATTATCCAATCAGAAATCAGAATGAGTCTCACATGAGTCTCCTAAAAAACCTAAAGTGCCTCTCTCTGATCTGAATGGTCACTACCTAAAACCCAGTATCTACAGCCAATCATGAATCAGTGCTAGTGCAGCTTCTGCAGCTCAGTGAGGAAATTCTGGAGGTTCTGAGCTTTTATATGTGGCCTGTCAAATATGTGTCCTTTATCTGCAGAGGTTCAGTTATGATTGCAGTACCTTTTTGAAAACTGTTTGAGCACAGGCTACATACATTTCCTTTAACCAGTCCCTCTAATTCTCCTAAATGGATATATGAGGATATTAAAAGAGGAATCATTCTGAAATGCTCTACCATGCAATTTTTTTTAACAAATAAGCCATGTCTTGCCAATACTAATGAATAATACTGTATGAGTACTGTAAATCCGACAGTCATTTACCTTGAGTTCGGTCCTGAGCAGCACCTGGCTGTCTGGGAGACCTCCGTCCAGATGGAACCACTGATCCAGGACCAGCCCCGGCTCTGACAGCAGCTCTCGGAGTGGGATCACCAGGGAGCCGATGGGCAGCGTCCAGCTATGGGACAGCTGAACAAACATAGAAACAACATAAGAGAGTTTAAAAGTAGACACTTGGCTTCATTTTCATTTCATTTTACTCATAGACATTAAAGTGGGACTAAAACCCTAAGCTAGGCTCACCACCACATTTCAAACAGAGCTGTAAAGGCCGGTTTAGAGTCCAGAGTCAGGCCCTGCTCAGCTGAGAGCTCAGGCTCTGACACAGATCTGAACCACACAAGCTTCTGTTGAGATGATCAGGGCCCAGGTATGTCGTGGGAATCCAAACTCTTTCATTTGCTTGAATTATTTGTTTTTTTATTTACTGTGATAATCAGCATCACATTGGCTCATTTGCAGACATTTCTGTGCCACAATGTACCTGTTCTGAGCTGTTTTTCACCAGTTGTCTGTATAGTCTTTCTCTCTATCCTACAGATAGATATGTCTTATTTCATACAACATATACAACACTTATTTTAGCATTTTTTGGCTAAAAAGTTACACAGTTGTGTTTTAAATGAAAGGAAATGTAATCTATAAATCAAGGCCTGCTTGTGTCCATGGAAATGTTGTTCCTTTGTCTATCATATTCCAGAGTATGGCATGGAGAATGTCCCTAAGTATGGTCTTAACTTTCCATTTCCAAGGAAAGCATGTGTTACCTTGATGACCAGTATGTCCTCTCTGGGGTCGCGAACCATGAAGCAGAAAGCCTCGTGCCACGCTGGAGATGTAGTTCGCTCACACACCTACAAAGTGACATTCATTTATTTATAACAGTGTGAATATGTGTCTAAAATGATGAGTAACTTTATTAAATAAACTCACAGTTGTTTTACGAGACTGTTTATCAAGTCTGATTTCTGCTCCAACTTTTGGGTCTTTGCCACTCTTCTTTACCTGAAAAAAAAGGACTGAACTGTATGAAAAATATATATAGTGAAATACTGTATTGACCTAATACTGCCCGCCCACATTTGCCTCTAAATATTTCGAAACGGCGCTTTCTATGTGGTGGTCAATCCATCCAGCTTTCTATGTGGTGGTACTTCTGATTAAGCGAGAATCACACTTTTTTTTTTTCTTTCAGCCAAAATCTGATATAAAGCAGGTTTATTTGTGTAAAATGCTCAATACTCACATGTACCAACAAGTCAACACTGCACCAATTCTCTGAGGGGCTTTAAAATGGCTTATGGAACCGCATAGATCTTATTTACTGTGAAGATCGCCCCATACAAAATAATACAACCCCAGTGACGATGGCAGCGCCCACGGCAACTTTCAGAATAAGGTGGGCAATAATAAAACAAAATCCTTATGTGTTTTTATACTCACTGGTAAACCATCAGCCTGTTCAATAAAGACGAAGAGGAGAGCTGCGGAGGGAATGGCTTTGTTCTGGTACGACTGTCTTGAGAGAAAAGTAAGAACCTAAAACACAAAATAAAAAAAAATAATAATTATAAACCTTTTGCTGGATTATCAAACTACTGCATTGTGAATGAAACAAAGCACAACTGAGACTGCAACTTGATCTGTTATGATAAATTCTCTACCAGCGTTTAAGTCAAAAAGACATTCAATGAAAACAAATGCAGTTTATTTATTACCTGGTCGACGTGATCTGACTCAGAGGAGGTTGGGACCCACTCCAGCACCAGATGAACACGGCCAGACTTCACATCGTTCAGAGTGTACCACTAAAAACAAAACAAATCAAATATAATAGAGTTGTTTTAAAATAACCTTGTACAGCAAGATGGATCCTCGGACAATATGGACTATTTAGTTTGTGAAAAACATGCAGAAGGGAAATGCTTTGTGCACTTGATGTCAATGCTTTTCTCTTAATTGGATTTAACTAAGGTTTGATTGTTCTGCTGTTGTGACACTGCAATAGTCAGGCTGGCACCAACTACTGCCTCTGCTCAATTTCATTTCTCTCCAACGTCTAGGTCAGGAATCGGAATACACTAGATGGTTTGCAAGAACCCTGGAAGTGCCAGCCAATCAGTGAAGAGCCATACATTCTGTGTTGGCAACGACTCCCAAGATCGAGGATTTAAAGCCAGAACAAAGAGAATGTTTGGTGAATTTTATCAAGGGGAAAGATGTTGTTGCTCTTCTTTCTATGGATTTGGGAAAAGCTTAATATACCAGTTATCCCCATTAGTGGCACATTACATATGTCACGACCAAATAGCAGTGACTGATTAAATAAAAGTACCCACCTACCGACGAGCAAACTAATTCTAACGCTGTCAGGTCAAGACGGTTTCTACGAAGTGAAACCGTCTGATGAATCAGGCTAACACTTCGACCAATCAGATTCAAATAATCGCCATGGTGTCAAATAAATTTTTATACTGTGATTCTGAATTGCTTCCTTGAAAACTAACCTGATCTGTGTACTGGGATTTGATGATGTCTTGGAGGTTTATCTTCAACCTACGATTAGGGAAAAATAACATTAGAAAACAGGACTTAAGAAATCCTAACTTCCTATGCAAAGTATATTTTATGTAAATTTAAAACATTAAATTTAACTGGCTGCCTACCTCCCCATGAAGTCGTCCTTTACATCCATGTCTTTATCAAACACTTCCAGCTGCAGATCCTGACCGTGAAGTTGAGTCAAAATCACCTAATTCAGGCAAACAAACAAAGAAAAGGAAATTACACACATTACACATCAAAAACATACAACCCTGCAATTTAGAGCTCTATAAACAAGTTCTGAAATGCCTGAGATTTTTGTTTAGCACCACATATTTTAGTCTTCTCTGAAATGTTAATACTTCAAGAAATGTTTAAAATCTGAACTATGAACAGATTTTTTTATTTTAAAGAGTATTAACAAATCTGATTGCAATAAATTGGGACGTTTTGGAGCGTTAGGCCCCGTCCACACTAGTACGTATTCGAGTCATTTTCATTGTGGATGCAGTGTTCGTTCACACTAATCCAATGGAAAACGGTTCCAGAGACGGAACAATCTGGTGCCACCACCTCCCACGAATTCATTTGAGTATGTTGGTGTAGGTCTATGCGCCGCGAAGTAATTCACGCTAAGAGGCTAGAATATAAATCCATTCATATATACGGTCTGTGTGTACGACCTGCAGACTTATAATCTCTGAAAAGTTTCACATGAACCATCTCCAACGTGATAGAAGCACAGAACAGACTCACCATCAGCAGAACATCCCTCTGTCACAGAAAGAACACTCATATTCCACTGAGTTGTGTCCTTTAGTCTGACAGAAGCTGAACCAGCGCACAAGGAGCGAGATGTTTTTTTGAGCACTTAGTTTATGCAAATGAGCCATGCAGTTTTAAGTTTCGTTTATGTAAAACATAAACAAATACGCTCAAAGCTGTGTGGGTAGGAAAGACTTGCAGACACAGAAACAACGTACATCGTTTCCCATACGGTGACACAGTGATACGGTGATTAATTTCAGGGTAAACGTAGCCTTAGTGATGTTATATTTGCCTAAAATTTTCAACAGTACGATATTTAACTGTATCTCCATGTAAGCAAGCGGGTCAGTCCACCAGGCCAAATTATGGGATCTCACCATTAAAAACACCTGTAACTGAATAAATGCAAGATAGATCAACTTAGTGCTACACCGTGGAACATTCTAGGCAAAGCATTAACATCTCCATGAGCTGGTGGCAGACTCTCCCCCAGAAAAATGACATAACGCACCATAACTGTCCGATCAAATGTTGTTAAATGTCTCTACCTCGTACATCTCGTTCCAGGTGGGGTTGAGGTTGGCCTTGATAACTTGGCTGGTGAAGGTCTCTCCTCCGATGTTGATTTTCACATAAGGATCGCTCTTTCCTTTCACCATTCCTCCCATCAGGTTATCTT